GTCAACACTTTATTTAAAAACCGTTGATTGGTCACTTACCACGTGAATGCAACAATGGAAAAGAAATGTTGTCCTCTGTTGAGCAGGCGTTTGTGGGGAGGGAAGAAATACGAGCTCCCCTAAAAACGCCTGCGTGGGAGGCTACCGAGGAGCCGGCAAAATCCGACCTCCCAGCCGAAGGCCCAGACACGACATCAAGATCCAACTGGCCGTTACCTAGGGAGCCGGCACCATCAAAACTTCCGGCCACATTAGGCAGTGCATCAACATCCTCATCAGGGTGCAAGAACCGCTGACGTCGGAGAGGGCAGTTCCGCTGGAAGTGCCCTGGCTGCTTACACTCCATACACTTACCACGCATTGTGCAATTTTGGGCAATATGCCCCTTTTTACCGCAAATATCACAGTCGAGTTCCTGCCCAACATAAGACACTTTCATCGGAAAACCATCTATTATCAGATTGCGAGGAATGGCACGAGTATGCACCAATATCACAGTACAAACCCCGTCACAAACCTCCGTGAGATGAGGCCAATGACGGAAGCGCACAGGCACAACCTCTCCGAAAAAAATCAACACAGCCCGGACCACAGAGTGTTCAATTTCGTAAGGGAAATTGTAAATCAAAACATTTTGGGGACGAGCCCCCCCCCCCCACCCCCCCACGAATCTCACAATCAACCCCATTAACAGAAATCGATTCATTTCGCATAGCATCCCGCTTATGGACCTCACGCTCAAAGGTAACTTTAGCATCCGTACCACTAAACTGAATAGCGGCAATGGGCGCGGAATGGAAATATTCCACGAGAGCCGAAACGACCTCAGGACGATTAGCGCCCTGGGCCACAAAACCCGAAACATCCACTGAAACAGTACACGCAAAAGCCTGCGCGTGAGGCAAAATAGGACGCAACTAGCCCAAAAAGGGGCCACCCGCAAACGCGTGGGACCACTAGACGATGTTAAACTATAAGACTAAACCTAACACACAAAAAGAAAAAACTCACGAACCACAAGGTACAAAAAATGACGGGATACCAAGCTACCAGGCTACCAAAGCACCACTCCGCCAAGTTAGGTCCTGATCCGGAAGGCACCAGAAGTGACGGGCGCCCACACAAGGAAGACCAACAGCTTCAAAAGGCTGGGTGACGCACCCACCGAGAGGGCGAGAAAACCTAAGCAGTGAACTTTGGCGTTCCCTCCCGGTAGGTACTTAGCACTTATTCACACAAAAAAGCGAAACTAGTTTGGAAAAAAACGCCACAAAGGACGAGATACTACCCAACGGAACCACAATGAAGTGTCCCGCGTCGGGTAAGTGTCTACAGGGAGAACCCGTATTTTTATTTGTATTTTGGCGGTCCAAGAGGCGCAATGCAATGCCCCAAGGCCAAGAAAAAAAAAGGAACAAAACGATCCGACAGAAAGAAAACCAAAAACACTGGGTTAACCTACAGGGTAAAAAGACCGCCAAATGTATCCGAAATAAAAATAATAAAAAAAGACCGCCAAAATGGGAGGGGGCACCTCCATACGGAGCTCTCCAACTTCGCCAGGGAATCGAACCCTGCCTACCGACTAGTTAAAATACTACTTAAACACTATATACAGTATATAAGGGCTGTATACAAAGGACAAGAAGGAAATAACACACACACCCGAGCCACACTCACTCAAACCTATCTCAAGAGAAGAAACCACAGTGCAACCAACAAAGGCGACCGAGGGGAGCAGCGAGAAGGGAGACACGCACACTCAAGCAAAGCCAACTCAGCACCCAAGAAAACCGTAGTACAGCCAACGAAGGCGACCGGGGGGGAGTAAAGAGAGGGAAGGCTCACACACTCAAGCAAAAACCTCAGAGCCAAAGAGACGACAGTACAGCAAAGGCGACCGAGGGAGACAAACTCGAACCACACTAGGAAAGACAGAAATGAAAAGAGTCACCAACGAACTTACCGATACGGCCATTAGCTCCCCAGTGGCGTTGAAAAAAACGGCGCCTGCGCCGAGACCAAAAACGTTTAAAAAGCAGAGGTAAATAGAGGGACAGGCGACCCTTGATGCTAGCGATCAGACCCACGGCACTTGCAGGTTTGGACCGAAAACGATATTCATTCCTTTGACACCAGACAAAAAACTTAAGTAAAGACAGAAGATAACAGAAGACACGAGGAACACACAACAGCTCATCACTACTGAAACTGAAAAGAACATGACGCACGGTAATAGCTGGTGCTAGAGTTGAGAACAGAAAGAGTAGTGACTGAATTCAATCCACACCAGTTTGGGCCAGGGGACAATGGAAGAACAAATACTCCAGAGTCTCATCAGAGTGACCACAGAGACAATCAGACGAGACACGCCGCGGGCAACTTTCCAACAGAGATCAATGGGTTTGTCGAGAGGCATGAAAAACAAGGACTTCCAGGTAGAATTACAGTCTACGTCACCATAATTTGAGCGAAACTTTACCACACAGTGGGGTTGCGCAGGATTCAAAGACAAGAGAAGTTGATAGCAGGATTTGCAGGTCAAGGGGTCGCCCCTGAGTAACCAAGTGTTGGCAGAACCAACAAACAGGCCAGCCTGAGGCAAGGAGCCGTGAAGGGCAGTCAAAGCACGCAAAAGCGCACGATAAAAAGCTGGAAGGTCCGAAGTTACCAAGAGGAAAAGAAATGGGGTAGCAATCACAGTTTGGGGATCAACCCCAAAACGGCCAAAAAGCCAAAAGAACATCATGTGGGCCCACGTATTCGAGGCAGTAGCATAACGACGGACCCACTGAGCCAAACGTGCATGAACCTTGTAACGGACGGACACAACGCCAAAACCTCCCTAAAGAGTAGAATGGTGAACTCTGGCAACCAAGTCAAGTTTGCCGCTCCAGAAAAAAGAAAAGACAAGAGTATTGAGCTCGGAAGCAACCCAATCAGGCATAGAAATAAGGGACGCTATGCACCACACTCTAGAGAGAGGCAGAGCATTGACAATTCGCGCTTTGCCAGAGTACGATAGAGATCGGCTACGCCAAGAATTTAGACATTTCTCAAAGGCATTAATTCCAGGCAGCCAGTTTTCCTCCTCCAGGTTGCCATTACCAAGATAAACACCCAAAACCTTTATAACAGCCTTGGTCCATTTGATGGGAACGGATGCATCTAAACGGGCACGCCACGAACCCAACCAAACACCCTCACATTTATCAGGATTAAGCTTGGCAGCAGTGCCTTGTTCTAAACGGCACAAAACGGCGAACGTGTCATCAGCATACAAGGACAGCAAAGGGAGGGGAGAAGAAAGACCAGGGAGGCGTATACCAGTAATATCAAGATGACAGCAGACGTTAGCAGCGAGCACTTCCATGGAGAGAACATACAGAAGGGGGGACAAGGGACAGCCTTGACACATTCGACGCGAAGGCTTGAAAGGGCGAGATCTACAGGTGTAACCAATGACAATGACGGAGCTGTGAACGTCAGTGTAAAGAAACCTGGCCCCCTGGATAAAGTTGTCACCAGAGCCCATTTTAGCAAGGGTGGCGAAAAGGAAAGGCCAGTCAACACGGTCGAAAGCCTTCTCCTGATCCAGAGAAAGGAGAGCTACTGGCAGGTTGTACTTATTGCCAGTTCAACTACATCGCGTAAAAAGGCCTCGTTCTCGCCGATATAGCAACCCGGCACACCACAAGTATGATCAGGAGTGACAACCGTAGCAATAACTTTCAAGAGACGGCCAGCCAGAACACGAGCACAGAGCTTGTAATCAACATTAAGAGGAATAATGGGTCGCCAGTTCTTATGGTCTAGGCGATAACCATTCTTGAAAATTAAGGCAATGAGCACCTCACGCTGAGAGAAAGGCAGGAGGCCAGTCTTCAGAGAAGAATTGAAAACATTAACAAGATCCCCAGCAAGCAAATGCCAGAAAGCAACATAAAATTCCGTTGGCAAACCATCAGAGCCTGGAGACTTGCTCTTAGCCACGCCAAGGAGAGCAGCATGAGCCTAATTAGGCGAGACTGGACCGTCACAAGAAGCGGCATCATCAACAGAAAGAGATAAAGTGAGACAGTCAGGAAGATCTGACTGGACCCCAAGATCGACACGGCAAGCCGTAAAAAGGTATTGGTAAAAAGAAGCCCGGGACTCGCAAACACTCTCAACATCCGTTACAACCACCCCATTGGAAACACGCATGCGGAATCCAACTATCAGTTCCTCGCTTTTTTCCAACCTTAAGAAGAAACGAGAGGAGGTTTCACCCTCCTCAGCCCACTTGACACGGGAGCGAACCCGCGCTCCCTCAGCCTCAGTGAGATCGAAAGACGCAAGTTGAGCAAGAACTCGCTCATATACCGGCATAAGAGATACAATCCCATCATCGATTCTACCCTTCAGATGACAAACAAGGGCAGAAAGGACAGAGCGCGACAGAGAACGTTTATTATGATCACCTCTACAACGGCGGATCGCAAGACTTTTGAGATGTTCCTTGCCTGGGTCTCACCAATCCTGAAGAAATGAAAAAGAGGGCTTACGCGACCTCCATCTAGGCCAAAAGTCGCTAACAGTTTGAAAAAAGACAGGGTCCCTGAGGATGGATACATTCACTTTCCATCTGCCAGGGCCAAGAGGAAAAGATTCAGGGATAGGGAAGCCGAGATAAACGGCATCGTGATCAGAAAAAGGACGTGGAACAATAGAACAGGAAGACACAAGATGAAGCCAGGTGGACGGGAAGCCAATAAAATCGATGCGGGGGTACAAGGAACCATCGGGATTCAGCCCGGTGTACGCGTGAAGATCGGGATGGAGATGGCGCCAAACATCCAAAACACAGAACTCCCGGAAAAGTAACCCCAGTGAGACAAAGCTCTCACGGACGGTGACAGCAGGATCAGAGCCCCGACGATCCTTGGCTCTGTCAAAAACAGCATTGAAGTCACCACATAGTATCGTGGGAACAGATGGATCAGCAAAGTCCAGACATGAGGTAAAGAATTCGTCGCGCTCGGAGTCCGGTTAGGTGCATAGACAGATGAAATCCTGAAGAAAGAGCCCCTCCTGCTGAATTCGGCCATCAGAAAACGTCCTTCAAGTTCAACCCAGGAGTTGACAAAAGAAAAGCTGGGGCAGTACAGAAGGACCTGGCCACGAGAGTGAGCAGTACCAGGGGCCGTAACAGTGAGAAAACCAGAAGAGGAGAACCATGAAGTGGCCTCAGCAGTATCAGTAGCACGAGTCTCTTGGAGACACACAGAATCACATGACGGTGGGCTCAGCCACTGCAATAAACCAGCACGCTTAATGGGACTGCTAGTGAGTGTTAAAAAATGAATGCAACTGTTGGTGGGGAGGGACTACAGATCAAGCTCCACAAGGGAAGCACTACGGCGAAGACCAGACCCTTTTGGTTTGCTAGCAAGAACTTGCCGCGAAACGTGCTTGCCAGACAAAGGCTTAAGAAGCGGGGACTGACGAACACTAGCAGTCCCAAGCGAGCCTTTGGCTTTAGCGCAAAGGCTACGCTCCTCATAGCGAGACCCAACTTGACCAGAAGAAGGGGGAAGAGAAGGAGGAGAGGACGTTTCTTTGGGGGGACGGTCGCTATCATCCATAGCGTCAGCAAAGTCGGGGCAACGATCGGAGAAGACAGAGGTGAGTTATGAAGGGGAAGAAGAGTCTTCAAAAGACTCTATTCCATCAGAACTGAGGTCAACCTGACCCTCATCGATGATCTCAATTAAAGGCCGTCCACTAGTGGCCGCACCAGCACCAGCCATTACATCAACAGACTCCATCTCAGCAACATTTTCAACAACCGCAACATTAGGGTTGATAGCATTAACCTCATTCAAGTCTGCACTACTTTCATTACTTTCATTAACAGTAATATCATTGACTTCATTTGATCTTTCAGTACTACTATTGTTAATAATTTCATTTACTCTTTCAGTAGCATTTGCACTAGTATCATTAATAACTTCATTTCATTTTGATCGCTCATTACTAACATTACGTACTGCAGTACCTTCATTATTTCCTTTACTAGTAATACCTTCTAATTAAGCAGAATTGGCAACAAGAGAGTTAAACTCGTGGCTGTTGGCAAAACAAATATTGAAAGTAGGGCTTGGAGCAGAATTACTCCTTTTAGCAGATGAGCCCTTGTCTTTCCCGGCTCCTTTAGAGGCCCTTTGGTTGGACTCCGCCTCAGAAGAATCACCACTAAGAGGGAATAAGTCCTGCAGAATCCACTGACTCTGCAGTATATCGAGCTTGTTATCCTTAAGAAGTTGAGAGTCAGAAGAATCACGAGAGACACTGGCCTCCGCAGACTTTGAAGATAAGGCCAGGTGCGGAAAATCCACAGAGTCTCCCGCTGACTCGTCAAAGGTACAGTTCTGAACAAAGTGCCCGGTTTTCCCACACTTTCGGGACTTGTCCTTGTTAGGGCAGTTTGCGGATCTGTGTCACTGAACGGCACAAAGATTGCAAACAAGGGGTTGACCACGATACCACAAACGACACAAATACCCGTCCACCATCAGAAAGCGGGGTAATACCTCAGATAAGGCAACATCGACAAGCCTGGTACCATTAAAGATGTTTTGGTTGGAGAGAAACCACAAACCGAAAAGGTACTTTCCCGAAAACGATTTGGCCGCCCAAAAGTGCTCCGGAGAGGCGAAGGTAACACGGACGACCTCGTACGCAACCTGGACAGCCTTGACGTCAAGACTGGCGAAAATCCCAAGAACATCGGTCATGATCTCGTCTTTGGTTTTGTGAGCTAGCTTGCGGCCAACCTTCAAACTAATGGTTTTTGGTAGGCGCATGATAACAAAAGCGAAGAAGCAAAAAGGCAAAACGCGAAAATGCAAAAAACCAAAAAACGGCAAAGAGCAAAAGCAAAAAGCCGGGATTAGAAGAATACAAAGAAAAATAAAGAATTAGAGTCGAAAGATGCTAATCCACACAGCAATAATGAAAACATAACAATTGGTGGCAGAAGGACACCAACTGCAAGAAAAAAAAAAACAATTAATGTCGAAGACACCAACTGAAAGCACAAAAAACACAAAAAGGTAAATTATAGTCCAAAGGACACCAATCTACAAAAAAAGAAACAATTAGCGGCAGGAAGACACTAATTGCAAGAACAAATATACAATTGGCGTAAAAACGCCAATTGCCAGATGACCAAGTAATAAATTTGTGTCCAGAAGACGCCAAAAACCTTGCGACACAAACAAAAGCTATATAGAGCACGGCAAAGACAACTAACAAACTAGACAAAGTAAGTAAGAGACAAGAGCTGGTGAAGGTGAAATCAAAGATGACGGGCGCACGTATTTAAGAGGCAATATGCTCCGCGGTGGGTGTTGTATTAAATGCTTGAGGTTTTAGACACAGCAAAGAGAGTGATTGCACTTGTTGTATGTAGTACAACTAATTGTTTGTAACAGTATAAGTGCAAAATTGGCGTAGCTTAGGTGTCGAAATGTTTAAAATCGTAAAGGGTAGATACTCTCACACAGACTTTTATGTAATTTTTACCAGGTGAACTCCGGCAGGAGATCATTGGTAATGAGGATGAGAAAAGTGAATACCGAATTTGGGAGGCAATCTCTGTTTTTCAGAGGTCCAATTCTCTGGAATGGCCTCCATAATGAAACAAGAATTCAAGATGAAGTAGCTAGATTTAAAGTAGCCTTGAAGAAATGTAATCTGGAACAAATTAGTTTAATGAAGGGAACTTGTAAAATTTTAAATAAAAATTTAGATGATTTCTTTTATTATTAACTTGTAATTTTAACTTATGATGCTGTGCTGATAGGATAATTTTAGTATTACTTATAGCTGTGAAACGTCCCTCATCGGCGATGAGCGAGGAGAAACGTCTGCCGTTCGTAGGCTAGCTTTGCAGCCCAGTGATTACCACTCGATGACTTCGCCTGCAATTTGCAAAATAACTGCAAGACTAATCTAAAATCCTATTATATTTTGAATTTGTAGATAAACAGGAAATAAAAGAAGAAACAATCGGTTGAAATTTAAGCATAATTTTAAATCTGGAATATTTGAATGGACACTAATAGTTGGATTCGGCTCTTGTATAATATGAAGAATCCGACTATAATGCAAAAGCCGAGTCCAATAATTGCTAAATATTGAAATTTTTTTTTCTTCCTTTAAGGCAATGCATAGAAACGAAAGCAAATATCATTTCCAAATATTGCAATTGTTAGTATATTCAGGAAGACTTTTACGTTAAAATCCCGTCGCCAAAAAGTCAGCCTCAAGACAAAACAGAAACACGTAACATCGTAGGGTTCATTTCTCATACATATCCACTTCAATTTGTTTGCAGCCAAATCAAACTACTATTTCATTTTACATTTCATGGCGTTTTATGTCTTGCAAACACCATTTGATAACGGTGAGTATAAAAATTGTTTTTGTTAATTTGCGAGTATAACTGTCTTTTTCAAGAACAAGGCACAATGATCTTTCTCTACCAAATCCAGCGGTTAATATTCGAAAATATTTCCTGATTGAATAATAAATGCAAGATTACAGAAAAACCAAAGCCAAATAGCTCACTATAGTGAATAATAAGATTAGCGCATACGTTGCATAACGCTAAGATAGAAAAGAACTTTCAAAGTTTGATAGCCGAAATAGAACTGCAGCAGGGGCCTAGCCAGCCCATAAACCTAAATGCCCGGGTCTACTGATTTTTGGTTCGATCACTCTACCGCTTGTAATAAATGATGTGTCCATGGGGTGAGCTAAAATGCATAAGAAGTCTAAGTATTGGTAAGTTCAGTGCGTACTAGTCATGCGTGCAATTTTCAGGATGTATGGAACTGAAAGTCAGCCAGGCCTACAACTATAGTCATGGACAAAAGTCTTGGGACACGTTTGCGTTTCTGGGGCGTTTTCCAATTCACACAGGGCCAACCCCTCCCCTCATCCCACAAACAATGTTGGACGCGTGTATCTAGAATTTTTTTTTCCGAGTTTCAACTTTGTATAGAGTGGGGGGAGGGAGAACTACAAGAAAATTTCGAAAACGCTGCACTGTTTTAAGAGGGAACCGAGAAATAACAGAAAAATAAGAATATTGCGGTACTGTTCCAAGGACTTTTTTCCAGGATTGTCGTCAAAAAGCTGGCTACGCCCCTAACTCCAATCTAACTCGGTCGGTTCTGTCACAACGATGCGAGGTGAATTGTTGTTCCATTGTACAATGTGTAGAATTGCTACGATTGGTGAGCTCTTCTCCGGGGTCCCAAGTAGTGATTGTTGAATGTCATGATACCTTTTCTTTCTACTCTAGGTTAGTTCCACAACTGGGTGTAGTTCCAGTTACCCAATGACAATAGCATACAACTCTCCAGGTAAATTTTCGAGATTTTAACCACAGGCAAGGAGTAGCGTCACCATTAATGTCACCTAGAAACTAGAATGGGCAATGTCCTTTTTATATTTAACCTTAAATCTTCGCTAACAGGGATTGCGTAGTGGTGAGAGCACTTGCCTCCTTTCGTAATGTGGGTTAATTGATTGGTTTTCCTCTTCTCTGCTGGTGCGTCAAGACATTTCTCAGTCCAGCAAAGCGTTACTGCGGATTTTTCCTTCTTCTTCAAGTTCCAATTCCATCTAGATAGAAAGTCATTAGGGATAATACTTTAATTATAAGGGTTTTACATTTTCCAAATAAGGGTGGCTTGTTTATTTATTTATTCATTTGTTCTGATGTATTTATACAAATGTGGACTTCTGTGAGTGACACATTTTTTGTGGGATTAATTTGTTTAAGCTATCCCCTGTTGTTTTGTTGTGTCTGGTCGATCAATCATTCGCTGATGCAGAGGATTCGAGCAAATAATAGGTCTACAAATAGTTTGTTGGACTGCGAAACTTAACACTGATGATATTTTGCAAAACAAGTTAATTTAATGGGCGTACCTCTTTTGAGTTGAAATTAATTATAGAAATGCGGAGCCGTTGTTGTCACCACAGACAATCAGTGGTAGAAGCGGAATCATTTGAATCTTGATATTCATGATTCAGGTCGTTTTTGCCTCAATGCTTCATGATTCCTACAAGAATTTTTTCCAGATTCAAGATTCACGAACACCCATTGACTTCATGATTTTCTCAGTGGCAACTTAGTCTCGTTTTGTACATGTGTAGTTCCTTTGGAGCTCAAACTTCTCCCTCATAGAGACTCGGTATCATCATTCGTTTTTCATAACTGGCATGAACATTAAGCACGAGGCCGGAGAAGGTACTGGAAAAGTAAGCTGACTGTCAGCCTCGAATGCACGAATTACCGATAGGGGGTTCTGGGAGCATGCTCCCCGAATGTTCCCCCGCGAAAATTTTTGAAAATTGGACTCTCGGAAACACCATATCCTGCATTCCATGGATCGAACGCTACTAATGGATATGTTTATTTTGTTGAGCTTTCCTTTGAGTCTCGTTATTCATGATTCCCCAGCCGAAGTACAAAGAGTCATCATTCCCTAGTTTTTAAACGAAGATTCTTGATTCTTACATGTTTTGTAACTATGGTTCATGATTCATGATTCTGCTTCCACCCACCGACAGACAAGGGCAAAGTGCGAATAAGGAAAGCATGTTCAGCAGTAGAACGAGCTTTTCGTCTATTGCGCATGAGCAGACCATTGTTACGAAACTACTATCTGCAGTAACGTAATAATGACCTCTGAATCGATTAAACCTCAGAAGAAAATTGTCTGAATGATTATACTGATCCTAAGGTCCACAAATTAGGTTTCTGTGATACTTGAAAATATCACTGCTTTAAAAGACAACCACTTAAAGGTAATTATCTCAATTCTTGTCCTGAGCGATCCAAATTCTGCAAGATATGGCCCTCTTGTCCTACTCTCTTCCCTCGATCTCTACTAGAATATCTTTTAAGTAACGAAATTGAAATGTTTTTTAATTGTTTTACTGGTAATATACACTTTTCTTTCAGGCTGTGATAATATAACCAATTTTCCCAAAAGCAAATGCTTCTTCATCAAATGTAAGTTTTAGAATTATTTGCCTCCGTTCACTTATCAGACGATTATGGATATCCACCTGTTTGTATATTAACATCACTTATTTACTGCTTTTCCTTTTCCTTTTTTCTCTTTTACTTTTGTCTTTTTTATTAAATGTTTAAATTAACGGGTATGCTGACACTGTAAACGGTCAATTAATTAATATTATTAATAAGTTTATTTCTTTTTAATTATATATTAGATGGTACCTAATCCGATATTGTCAGCAAAGCTATAATCATTTAATTTTTTAAAACTGTCGAATTATGGGTTGATTTGGATAGCTTGAAATAGACAAATTGTCCACCGTCCAAATCAAGAAAAATGAGCCAATAAAAAGCCAGTACAATTGGCTATGCAACTTAGCCTATCAGGGAACATACTCACTCATTCACTCACACTCACTCACTCATTTTCAAGATTGCTTAAATAGCTCTGTAGAAAAATATGCAAACAAGGAAATTTACAAAAGATTGACACTCAGAAGAATATCTTAAGAGAGTTAGAAAGCCAGTGCATAAGATTAGTGTAACCAAGCTGCGATTAGGAGTTTATTCTTTACGCATAAAACCTTTTGTTTATCTGATCATTGACAATCTTTTACATGTTTAGCTGTTCCTCGAGAGGCGCAGAGGGCGGTCAGAAATATCACATCTTCTATTCCTTTAACTGCAAAAGATGACTATCCATTCAATGTGACTATAGACTGGCATCCGCCAGCTTTCGAAGAGCTGAATCCAGTGTTTTTGTACCTGGTTTCGTTGTTCGTATACAGAAACAACAGCTGCGACGGGCGAATAAGTCTCGATCTCGTTAGTTTTTATCGACAGGTAAGTTGGTTAATACATTACAAGTCAAGGTTCTGGTGTCTTATTTTATATTCGGACGTTACTTGCAACTTTCTGGTGCCGGTTAGATCTGCTCCTGGATTTCTAGGTGGTGCTGATTCGATTCTTCAGCCCCTCTTTCTGCGTTTCGTGATTACCTCCAAATCTAAATCTAAATATGACTTTGTCGGCAACATCCACGAGGGATATCACGCCAACTCTAAAACAGTAAATATATAGAAGATGATAACAAAAGCTTAAACTACCAATAAAAACTATTGTAATATAAACTGCTAATAAAAGATAACCTAAAGGGGTTTAAAATCTTGCAGCATTCCCGTCAGGCTCGCTGTTCGATCATAATTTCCCGTGACCAAGCGAGCCGCTGTACCCTGTCAGGTGCGGCTTTATCTTTCTAGTAGTCTTATACGTGGTTTCTTTCACTGGGCCTGCAACCAGCTTTGAATCCAATGCAGTGACTTCATTGCTCTATCCTACGTCGTTTTAAACTTGAGGCCCAATCCTCAACCTGGAACTCGAACCGCTACTTTTGATAATTTTACTGAAAGGCAAATTGGCCTGTTCGGCCTTTTTGCTATTTCTAGCCTAGCTGTATCGCAACATTTATTGCGTAAATCTAATGCTTCTAAATTTACTTGCAGGTGGCACCGTATATCTCATTTACCTACCTTATACCTAAAACAAAATACAAAATTCAAGTAAGTGCTACAACGAGCCCCCGTATTGTAATGTAGGCTAGATGCAACTCAACACCCTATTTACTCTATCTACCCACCGTAGCAAATTCTAATTGCTTAGAATGAATGATTTTCCAGTAATCGGATACTCATGTTTTGCGCACAGGATTTTGGGATCGCCAGGGGACAAACATTGCAAGTCGCTACAAAGAATTGTATGGCGTGGAGTTGTTTCTCCGTTAAAAGCAGTGTCTTTGGACATAGAATGCCGCACTTTGCCGTGATTTTATGAGAAACGGAGGTGACTAATGTTAGTGCGTTGAAATTTCAAGTTTCTGTGTGATTAATGCGATAAATTCTATCGATAAACACTCCTTGCGTGAGGTTGAGTGTGAAATTTATGTTTACTGAATTTTACACAGTGATCCACATGAAGAAAAGGTGTCGAAATATATAGTGCAAATTTAGGTATACATGTAGGGGGACTGGCTCATTTAAGCTTTTTAGTTTTAATTACGTGTGGTAATATTTACAACGAGTGTAACTACGCTCGGCCGCGATCAGCTCTGTGCGGGTTATGACGCTCAACAATCGTAGGACGTGGCCATAAAAATAAAAAATCCTCCTTTACTTTGGTATAAACAAAGTAACATCTACGAAATATTTCATGGAAAGTACATGGTATTTAACCATTAGTAGAGGAGGCAGAAATCGTGCGAACGAGTAAGATTTCCGATACAATAGCAGTGAGTGTGTAAATAAATACCAAGTTGATGTGCGAAATTCAGAGATTCTAGTCTTCCCTCAAAATGATCAGAAAAGGCATTAGAACTCATTGGTGCTCTGGATCATGACAAAACATTTCGCTTGTGTTTTTTTGGTTAGAAGGAATCAATATACCAATGTGGGGAAGATGTTTTTGCTTTTAAAGTTAATACTGTACATATCAAATTCGACAATACATAAGCTTACCTTCGATCGTTGTCACAAACTGGCACAGCGTTGTGATCGCCGCAGAGCCGAACGTAATTACACTCGTTGTAAATATCAGCACATGTACTTACAACTGGAAAGGCTTAATAAATGAGTCCACATTCCCCGCTCATTTATACCTGGTAAGTTAGTACCCCGGGGGGGGGGGGAACTCCCATATGAAACAGACGGGGATGCTCGTCGGAAATTTTGAATTTAACCCCTAAAGGAGACCATCTGGGCGTGGCTCAAGCTTTTTGTGACCCCTAAAGGAGACCAATCTGGGCGTGGCTTAAGCAAATTTTGACCCCTAAAAGAGACCGCTTAAAAACACACAAATACGACATGCAATGAGTTTTAATGATATAAAGACATAATCATCGAATGCTTTTATCTAAAAGTAGTTTTTAAAAGCATTGTCATAAATCTCAAGTTCTTCGCGGAACCCTAAACGAGACCTTGGCGGCCTAAAATATTGGCGCTTTGCCCGGAACACCCTAAGCGAGACCAAAATCCAAAATTTACACCCCTAAACGAGACGACGAGCATCCCCGCCTGTTTCATATGGGAGTCCCCCCCGGGGTTAGTACTATATATTTCAAGACCATTCAGTAAATTTCACAGTCGACCTTTCGCAAGAAGGAGTGTTTATCGATAGATTTCACCGCATTGATCCCACAAAAACTTACAATCAACGCACCAACATTATTCACCTCCGCTTCTCATAAAATCACGGGAAAATGCAGCATTCTCTGTCCAAAGACACTGGTTTTAAACGGAGAAACAGCTCCACGCCATACATTTCTTTGTAGCGACTTGCAATGTTTGCCCCCTGACGATCCCATAATCCTGTGCTCATAACTAAGTCTCCGATTACTGGAAAATCATTCATTGCTATTTAGTTATTTTTCTTTTAAATGTGATATTTTGTCATGATTTCATCTTTATTTGGGTGTGGTTTGGTTAGTGTCATATTCGTCACGAGTAGTTGATTGTCTTGATTTAAGTCTGCCTGGCTACCTGGCTCCGATAGAACCCATGTAGACGGACATTTCTCTCAGTCATCATATTCCTAACTAATTTTACTGCTGTTACATCAAGTTGTGACGCCAATAAAGAGTACAAATCTGTAGTCAGACTGATCTTGAAAATAATTTTGGCCCAAAGCAGGCTAAAATAACGATCTCACTTCGTCAAGGCATTAACTGATCGGGTGAAACACTTACCCTAAGAATTAGAGCCAATACAAATGTACTTTAAAAACCTTTCACTGGTCTTACAATATGTGAATCTAATCTGGAGTATTATTATGTACAGGTTGAACCATTATTTGCTTATCTCAGACCTCAGTCGCCGACGAGGCACATAAACTTTACAATACCTGGTTAGTTAAAACTTACAACTAACGTACACGTAATACAGTTACAATGGCATAAAACACCAGATGGTACTTCAGTAATTTGTTGTATCCCCTCAATGCATCAGGTTTAGTTTCAGCCAAAAACATCTGGAGAGCCACTGGGGTATGATCGACAGAGCCTTATTTTACTGCTACTGCCAATTCAAAATAATAGCAACTCTGAATCAATTAATAACGGGATTCTTCTGGGACTTTCAAACTGCGGTATGCTAAGAGATTGTTTTCCTTAAAAATCGTTGCTAGATTGAAATCAATCTAACTGCATTTCTTTTCTTTAAGATATAAATTTGGAGAAACTAAAGGTTCATTACAAAGGTACACAATTCCACCTTTCGTCAAACGGGAGTAGCTTTGATGTTAACATTTCTTGGGACGAACCAACATTTAACAGGAAACTGACAGGTTATCAGTTTTCTTACCAAGTTGGATACCAAAAATCGGTAGTCAATGAGACTGTAAGTATTTCAAATTAATTTTCTTTTGTTGGTGAATAAAAACAGTGTCTGAAATAAACATAGTGTGAACAGCGCATAAATTTAACCTCCAGAAGATCTCTACTCGATCACTTCTTTCCTTAAAGGAATACCTTACGACACCACGGAGTAGCTGCCTCCCAGGGCTAGCTCCCAGCCCCCCGTCCCCCCCGCCTCGGTCAAAAACTAGAGACATTTAAAAAGTGCTTCAACTGTTGTATTGATTAAACAGTAATGTTAGGCCATTGGCTTTCACTTCCTCTTCTTAATTTTGCGTTTCTAGTTCTTTTTTGTTATAATTAATTTGTTCTTTTATTTTTATTTGGAGAGAAAGGAAATTAACAGATCAGAGTTTCACAGGATTCTATTTTACGCTCCTTAAGAGGACTTAGGCTTTTAAAGAAGTTATTTGTGATCAACTTGATTCAACACTTGATCAGCTCGAATCGTCTTTGTTCTACTGTAGAATCGAGCAAACCTGGTAAAATATTACCCAAAGTTCGGGAAAACCGCTAACGAAATGATTGTTGACGACTGAACAGCGGCTAAGATATCACAACGATACAAGGGGTGAAAATAATTTTTGGCTCGCCAAAAAATCGTCAGTCATATTGGCGCCATTTTCCTCAGCTGTAAGACAAAAAATGAATTCGTACTCACGAACGCATGACCGTTTGCTCGGTCAAATTCTTATTCTACACTAAACAGTAAACGAAGACGATTCGCTGTATCAGCTGTAACATTTTGCTACAGTCGAGGTCACAAATAGCTCCCCTGCGCCTTGTGTTAAGGGTGAGAGAAGGGTATGCTCCCTAGGGATTTCAGTCAGCGTGTGGAAAGAAAACTAAATAATATAAACCTTAATTTCTGATTTGACGATTGATCTTCATTGTCACTTTTTCTTTTAGAAAAAAACTTACTTTGATATTCCGGAGGTGTTGCATGGCGAGCAATTTTCTTACCGGGTAAGATATACCTGTAAATCAGTTTTCGGATGATAATTTGTACGTATGCGGCGCCCCGGGATTTTGTAGCGATCAGCTACGATGGTTTAATGATATAACCATGGTTTGACTATGGTCGATTAGAAATATTAATGGCACATGCATATTAGACCATAGTATAAAATTGTATATGATGTGACGATATATGTTTTAGTCTAAATTAATCATAGTGTAGTCTAGCGCGAAATCAATAAGAAATATTGACGATCTTAGCTTGTATATTTTTTCTTTCACTTTTGCTTTACGCCGGAAACACCTCTCCTGCCTCCACTGCTCTTTTAGTCGCTTTCTAGATTAACAGCTAGTAGCGCTATGAGGTAAGCGCTAAAACGACTATCAACACTATTAGATAAGTGTAAATCCTGCTACAGTTTTAGGCTTGGGTTAACTTTTCACAGCTCCCAAATCTGCCTCTATCGCTAGCTAATTAACCATTCTACCTGCTTACCAATTAAACGTACTAACCCTTCCTAAATTATTACTAAGGCTATGACTTGATCATTCCTCATATTTCCTATTGGTCCCTTTGTGTCAGATTCACACATAGAGTCTCGTTACGGATGTTGATTTAATGAATAAACAAGTAACTTGGATAATTTCCTGTAAAGAGGCCATAAAATGAGTAACACATTGTGAAATAAACGATTAGCCTTGTTGTGAAGAAAGAGTTGGACTCCTTGTCAAGATTTCAGTTGCCGGGGGTACCTTTCTGCTGCCAGCGAGGAAGAAGGTAATTCCCCGAAAAACGTACCGGTACAATGATATGACATGATCAACAATGTTTAAGGCAAACGTCAGACCAGACCTGGAATAACATAAACAACAATACGTGACCATGGTCAAAGGAACACGTTTAAGCCCACAAACTTTCCTGAAATCATTGGGAGTATTAAAATTTCAATCTGTGATGAGGTCAAAAAATCAAGGAAAAAGGAACTATAGGAATAGGCATTTGTCATTGGAAATTACTAAGCCTAGAAAAGAACTCCATTTAATCGCTTATTACCTTGACTGCAACAGAGTTTTTCTTTATATTGTTCATAATTATGGTCCGTGCTTTTTCACTATGAGCATCAGGGTTTGAGGGAGGATTCAGCAAAACAAAATTTCGGAGTTAGTAATCTCTTCGTTCTGAGAGTGTTGCCACTTGTGATTTTCCCCAAATTTTATTTACAACAATGTTGTCTATAAGCATCGCTGAATTTTATTTTATCAGACCCTGACATTCCTAATACAGTAAAACAACAACAACAACAACAGGTTTAGTAGGTTGAGTCTGATCGTCCGGGTGAACGTAGTCCTGAATAGGACTGTTGTTGTTGACAGCGACTGACGTTTCGACAACCTGTGGGGTAGTCATCTTCAGAGTCAAAGTGAGTTGTATCACGTCATTTGATGGTATTATACTCTGGTTATTGATCTGATTGGTCAATTACGTCGCGATGTTATTGGTCGTCTGTCAGTTAAGTCGTGATGTTATTGGCTATGAAGACTCGTAATCAGTAATTGGTACGTTTCGATCCGTCTGTTGTCACAGTTAAACAGTCGTCTATTGTTAGTCAAAATTGACAGGTTTGTTTCCTTTCAGGTTACTCCCAAATACGACCTGTCATGGTTAAAAGGAAAAGAACAACTTGACAGGGCAACGGCAGAAGGTATCAATGACAAAACTCAAAACGTTCTCAGAACAGTTATTTATGATAAGTAAAGCTAGTCAAGCTTTACGCTGTACATGCACTTTTTACTCTTTATGCATCGACAATCACCTCTCAATAACGATATCAAACAAAAATTCAATTCAAGAATACATTTTACTAGGGAAACGATAAACAATGGCAGAGCGTAAAATATCCCAAACGTTCAAGAAATACTGATCCAGTCTTTCTTTTCTCAACTGCAGAATTTGCATTTTTAACTCGAATATCTCTATTTCTTGCAACTCACCACCAATGCCACCGCTTTTTTTGCCTAGTAATCGGTAAAAACACTCTCTAATAAGTGCAACGAACAGATCATTTATTTGAAATTAAAGCTATTTTGATTCCCTGTATCATCATGAAAATGTATATGTTACAGTTACTAGAGAGATAATTTTGATTTGCACTTTACTGTGTACTGAAAAGCTGAAAAATCAGCAAAGGCAAGTTGAAGATTCAATCAATCCTAATAATTTGAATTGTTTTCCTTTCGTTTCCCTACAGAGTTCTGGTTATCAGGGTTCTACTGTATTCATTATTTAATAATAATAATAATAATAATAATAATAATGATAATAACAATATAGCTATCTTCCAAAGAGCTACACCGATACATCTTAGATTGCGAGAATGTACCTGAGTACGTCCTAAACCCGCTTGAACCTGAAAACTCTGTGATCGTCACTTCGATTAACAAACAAGACAAAACAAAGATGAAAAGATTTTAAACTTTTAACACAAAAATTATTGAAAATCAATTAACATTGTTTTGAATGCCAACGTCTAACCACAATTATCAGTGCGGATAAAGGTTGGGATCCGCCTCGATTATCACGCAGTGTTTTCTAATTCTTTTCCAAAGTTTTAATGCTCACTTATTATCCACGGGCCTGTTTCTCGAAAGAAAAACATTTTTGTTTTCTGACCACAAGAAACCAAGAGAGTGTTCGCCGACGAACCGTCTCAGCCAACGTTTCCTTTTCAAAGGAACTTTGCCCTGATTGGCTAGTTTGTATAGGAGGCTATTTTGATTTCTGGTAATTGATTGGCTCAGACCAGCTGTCCTATTTTTTTTAAAATAGGACAGTTTGCCTATTTATAAAGAAAAGTCCTGTCTGAAACTATCCAGATTAATCCTCAATTGGACAGTGGATAATACCTTTGCTGACAATATCGGATTAACTACCTTTTGTGCTTTTAGTTCCACCGGACGCCGACTTGAAGGTGCGAAATATAGAAGTCGGCGAATTTGTACCAGAAAAAGGAAATAGCACATTCTCGGTGAGATTTTCGTGGTCGGGACCAGTGTTCAACCATACTCTTTATGGCTATCACCTTACCTACGAGCTTATAGGATACAAAACGCGTGCAATAAAGATCAGAAGAAACGTGGTATGAAACTTTATTTGAGTTCAATCAGTCATTAAGTTAAATCCTAAAAACAATATAAATTGCTCCGTGCTTTTTTAAAAACCCGGTTTAGACCGTGGGGAGCTTTAAGGATTCACTCAATTAAATATGAATATAACCTTTTTAACCGTTCCATGAGGCAAAGTCAAGCTTCTGTTTTTTCTCTAAAAACTGGTTGGCCGATAGTTTAGCCAGGATTATTTCGAAGACCATAATAGTTAATTCTCTCCCGCCTTTGTTTCAGACGGAACCAGAGCTGTACTTATCTGAGATAAGACCAAAGGAGACGGTTAGATTAACGGTACGATTAGCGAATAAACTAAGATCACCTCAGAGACAAGCGAGACCGATATCATTGAGATTTACGTTTTGTCAGTAGAATAGTAGAGATGTTTTACTCCCTTTGGGGGGGAGAGGGGCAGGAATCTCATTTAGGAAGGCAGAAATTCATTAATGACTATTACGTCATAGTGTTTAGCTCATGAATGAAATGCGAATCTCATTAAGATAAGGACATGTACTATTTTTCGGTTGTTTAGCTCTTTGGACAAGTTTTTTTTTTCTGGGTCAATGAATGACTTGTTTTCTAATTGCTTGACTAAAACCTGAAAAAAGTGTTGATCTGTTCATTCATTTTGTCGACTGAGGAGTACTGTCAACGCCACCACCACATTTCCATTGTTTATCATTGCACCACCATCACCACCACAATATTTTATTGTTTTAATATCGGCACCACCACCACATCTCTTTTGTTTTACCAAGACCACCGCCACATTTTTATCTCCTTTCCACCACCACCATCACGTAAATTGTTTTACCACAACCACCACCACCACCACCAAAGTATTTCTATAAATTTACCACTGCTACCATTTTTTATCACTTTTTATCGTTTTATTATGACCAACCCTTTTATCGTTTTCCATCCACCGCACCGCCACCGCCACCCATCACCACCTATTTTCCTTTTACAACCACCGCCACCACCACTTATATCCGTGCAATTTGTAGTAGCGAGACTTAATTTCCAACTACAAAGGGTACCTTGAAAAGAAAAACTGCTAAAGCAGAAGCATATTGAATACCTATCATTTCAGTGTACTTACTTGGAAACATGTGTTATATTTCAGGTTACACCAATGTATGAAAACAAAAATTTACCGAAGAAAGAAAATGAAGTAATGGGAACTGCACCAGGTTAGATAATAAGGTCCTTAGGAAAGCATTGATTGGGTCTTGGGCAAACAAACCTGAACCTTGAATGCAGTCTGGCCCTTTCCCGTTAACTCGAACGAAACAAGTAAAGGACAAGTCAAGGAAAGAAAAGTCTCGGTCACGTGCTACGAACTGACGTTTGCCGTATGGGGAAAACGTGGTTATAAATGGGGACCTTAAGATACACGCCATTACCGTGAACGGGTGTGGGTTACCCTGGCACAAGTCCTGGGTAATTGCCATTTACATGGGAGAGCCGGAAAATCCTGTTAGGAAATCAAAATGGTTTACGCTGTTCCTTTTTGTGAAGCATTGCAAAAGATGGGCTCTAATTTGTTTTAGGCGAAGCAATCTGTTGTCTCTATTTAGCCAGTTCAGTTGATTAGGATATACTTTGTGGCACGGCGTTCCTTCCATTGCGTCAAATTCTATAGTTTTATGTTTAGGCACAAAATTCCCGCCCCCTAGACTACCGGGTAGAATGTTTGATCACCCAATAATAGAAGTGCGTGGTAAATGGTCGCCTACCCGTTCCTGTAAGCAGAGACGGTGTATCTATTTGAGGCTCCTAATCTCTCTATTATGTCTTCCCAACTTCCAACTCGATACAATATACCACTTACCCTAGCACCTAGAGCGGAGCTGTTAAAGGTTGTTGGACTGAAGAACGAGCAACTAGTTCCCGGTTCCTCTACCTCATTCAGCACTATAGTAAGATGGGAGAAACCACTTTTTACACAAAGTAGTATCAGCTATTACGTATACAATGCTGCCAAGGAAATGAAGGGGGAGATGAAACGACTTATTGCCATTGGCCTCGACTACCAAAATACAACGGTAAGTTACTTTTTGTTGCAGCTGTAAGTAAGCCGACACATTAGAAACTTTGAATAAAGCGGTTATACTTAATTCCATTACGCGTTCAATTCAAGTAGAAAAATTCAATTTCTGTTCCCCAATGCTTTCTTAGTCAACGCCACCTATTGCTGGTTGCCTACAAGTCATAAATGATATAACACATGGTCTTAATAAGATTCTGTCTCATAGAATAGAATTTTATTTGCTTTATTTATGTCTGGTTCACGATCACTTTTCCGTTCAGGTTAGTTTTTCTTTACATATTCATCATTAAAAATATCACGCCATCTCTGGTTGCCTTAAATCGCCTAACTATCCGTTGCGGTCAGCTTGCATTGACCAAATTTGAAAGACGCTGCCGTTAACAGTACAACTGATGCCAATCGTATCGAAATAGACAGAAGATGGAAGCGGTGTGAAAGGAATGGCAGCTCGGCTATTTTGGCAGAGCTGGAGAAATTGTGGAAGGTTGATTGTCTAATACGTTTACCTACGTTAATAATCTTACCCTGAATCTAAGGGATTCATCGGTTCATTTCTACCATGATCCGGGTGATCGTGGATCACTGATGCTAATCCGGATCATCCCAAAAGAACGCACCCTAATCTGAACCATGACGTAAACACAGAAAAATAAATGCAGCTTTTGTGACAGTTGTCTTTGCAATTCGTTTGTTTATGTGAACCTTCCTCACAGACAGATAACAGCGTCGTTATAGATGGAATTAACCTGAATGAGAGGGTCGAATTTCAGGTTAGTGACGTTTAATTTGTTTCTAGACAAAGAGTGGTCCATAAGTTTGAGAATTTCAGGCCCTGCATTTCTAAAATGTCGTCATGGCGGAACTTTTACAGTGTAATTTGTTGCTAATTTAACTATAAAGGTAATAATGTTAATGATGATAATGATTGCGATGTTGATGATAAAGAAGATTATTATTTTTAGTAGTCAGAGTAGTATCATTATTGTTCTACATTAGTTATCATAACAGGAATTTTCAATATCCTGCTACTCGTAATTTGGATGCTTTAAGCTAAATGTTGGATCTTAACCGACTTACCGTCTAGTTAAACTACGTTATTTGCTGGTTACCAAATATTTTAATAATATATTCTATGTTAAAAGTAGAAATTGTTTTTGTTTTTTTCTGCCCAACAACCGGTGAGAAATTGGTCAATGAAATTCGCTAAGTCTTCAAGTACAGTTAAGTTCCCTGGGTCTCACATGTCGCTCTTCGTAGAAACAACGTAGTAAACGTTTCAGAGCAGGAGTACATCGAGTTCAGAACTGTGCCTGGGCACCAGTATCCGATTTGTAAAGTTCTAGTGGCAATTTACCGATTTTTTTTTTTACCTGATACTTGTATGTTTACATTAGTTCCATAATTTATTTGTTTAGCCAGCTAGTTTTAGCTCACAAACAGCCTTTTAAAAAAGGCTGTTTCGGAGCTAATCTCCTATATTGCATAATTACACGTTATTGTTAAATGGATGTAGTCAGAATCTTGACCATGTATAGTCTTTTTCCTTTTTCAGGTCACTCCTGTGTTTGCCGCGTCCGCCTTAACGGGAATTGCTGCTAAGATTTCAATTGTTAGAGAAAAACCAAGTAAGAAAATTTGAAATTTTTACGGTACCGTATGTAATACATTTAACTCTCGTCCCAACAGCGAGAAAAATACACCCACAGGGATGATAAAATCAGTCAAAATCTTTAAAATTTTGGTTTCATTTCATCTTCAGGGAGTAGGTTATCAGCGGACGGTCTGGTTACCAGTCTCCAATCTGCTTTAGCGGTTAGCGGTGTACTGTGAGTTTCAAAAGTCGAGCTCGTCGTGCGCGTTTAACCATAAAGCAGCGACGATTACTGAATTTAATATTTCTATACAAATTTGAGCAGCACTCTCTACACTAGAAAATATAAGAAGGGGTTCAACTGTATTTGTTGTTGCCCCTGACCTTTGGTGTGACATTGAGAGAATATCACTAAAAAAGGCAACTGTTAGGAAAGCCGTCAGAGACTACTTTTGATTCCTGAACGACTGTTAATTGCCGAAATGTGCCTAAGGAAGAAAATAAAACCAACTGGAAAAGATTCCTTCCAGTTACTTACTTTTTTTGGTTGAAAATAATCCCTTATCATAATTTGATGATGGGTCTCAGAATAGGTTTTTTTCCGAAAACCTGAGCTAGGATCAAAATTATGAGATTTTTTTTGTAGAATTCGGCTAAATTTCGTTCAGTTGTATTTGACCCCAACTGTCGAAATTAAAACGTCGACTCAAACTGTGAAGTAAATAAGGCTCATATGGAGTATGGCTCGTAGACTTATCTCTCTTCATTACCTAACCGAACCGCTTGAATTGTGAGTAATATCAATGTATACTGTTGTTTAAGTCTTTTCTTTAGTTAGATAACAGATCAACGGCGAATATCAACTAAACAGCGTGCATGTTCAGGAATATAGTAACTATGGAAACTAGTCACCGAAGAGTAACCGTAACGCAAAGAAATTAACAAATGGAATGTCTTTTTAATTGGTCTATGTGTTATGAGACCTTAGCCCTTTCCCTAACGCTCTAAGACTAGTATTATGTACCCTTATTGTAGCTTCGCTTAGTTTCCTATGATGGAATATTAATCGACCTTTATAAATTGCCTGCCTACCAAGAGGAATATGACGTCGTGATAACTTAAATTCCAACGTTAGTGATACTCTATGTTATTTTATTACCAGAAAAGAAGGCAGAACGAGTCATTAGGGGCATGGATTTCATTTTTACACCTGGTGCAATTACTGGACTTGTGATTGGTTTTCTGCTCGTGGCCCTTATTTGCATGATCTTTATTTGGCGTCGCTGGAGAAAACAGAAGATTTTAAGGAAACGAGGTCTCATTCCAGGGTAAAAAAAATACTTTGTCCTCGCTGTAAATCAGAAAGATCTGTTTTGCTCTAAAAATGGGGAAAAGCTTTTTGATCGGGCTGGTTTGGCTTAAATTGTGCTCAAATGGCTCCAAGAGGGCCGAGCTGAATCAGACACTGGCCTGTAGAGCTGAATTGACAATTTTGGGCGGAAGCAGATCTTTTTAATCTTCAATGTTTATAACCTAAATTAGACGCGAGGAAATGAGTCGGGGAAAACCGAAGGACAATAAAATTATGAAATTAAGATTGTTCAAAAGTAATACTACATTGGCATAATGCGAAAGCTTCCGTTGAGCTATAGTTAATTGGTGACTGAGTTCTTATATAAATATGAGCAAAACATTTTGTCACTTAAACCATACAGCTCAAGATTTAGTGATGCCCCTTAGTTTGTACAATTATGCAACGATAAAAGTTGAATTAAAAGGCACACGTATGTTTATGGTATATGTTATGAAATTTAATGGAAAAATTAATTGAGACCTCTTTATAATATTTGTGGTCTCAATGAATTTTTCGAGCCAACAACTGAATTAGTAAAAGGGGTTGTTAACGCTTTCAGTGGTCACCAATTATGACCTTTATAACTTTTTTAACATTTCAGTACAACAGCAAATTCTTACCTCCTTATTTTTTTACAGGAAAAACGGTGTGATAATTGATCACTGGGAGGTAGATGGAGACCTTGTTACGCTTGAGAATGAGATCGGAGAGGGAGCTTTTGGTAAAGTTTTCAAGGGAACTCTAATCAAACCCACCAGCTCTGTACCCCAGAAGTTTTGTTTGAAGCCGTGGAGGAAAACTGCTAAAACTATCAATGGAAGTGAAACATACGTGGTTGCAGTAAAAGTGCTTCATAGTGAGTACCTGTTGTTTCTGCTACTAAAAATAGATATCTTGTAACCTTCTTGAAAAGAATTGAATAGAGAAAATTCACTTTTATTCTAAAAATTAAGTTTCCCAGGCTTTAAATGCGGCTTCAGCTCTGCCTGATGTAGTCTCGCTGCTAAAACCAGACCCGAACCAAGCCAAAGAAAGACATTTTATTATTATAATTGTTAATACTTAGTTTTCTTTTTGTTTTAGACATGCCAGATGAAAGTGTACGGCAAGACTTTCTCGACGAAATTCAGTTGATGAAGGCGGTGGGTTCACACAAGAATATTGTCAGCATGGTCGGCTGCTGCACTCTCGAGGAACCTATGTTTTTGTTAGTTGAATATGCCCCGTACGGTGATCTCCTACACTACCTCAGAAAACATAGGAAAACGGTATTTATCCCCTTAAATACTTACATGGATACTTTATTATACTCTGTCCCTAATCAGGGCATTTCAGAAGTACAGACAAACGCATTTTATAACTGTCTTAAAAACCAATTAAAATATGAATGACATTAGAACTAAAATATTTACAAGCTAATCTCTATTAACATATACTAAAACAGTGGATGGTGTTTTCCGCGCGCTCTGATTGGCTACTCAATCAGGGAATATCCTGCACTATTCACTGATTCACCTCCAGTTCCTCCGAGCGAGCGATGCCAAACTCGCGTAAGTTGCGAGCAAAATGCCTTCCCGGTTTGCTGCCGTAAACAAACAAAGAAATTTCACAACTAATCAAGCAAACTGTTTCCGAAATACACGAAGAAGGTGACGAAGTTCTGATTGGAAGTTTAAACAGGTAAAGCTTTGTCTTTTTGACACGAATTTATCGATAAAACCGGTGAAAAAGTTTTTTGTTTACTAATGCAAATTAAGTTTAAGTCTTGCCTTACTTTATTTAGTTGAGTTGTTCATAAATAAGGTTAAAACTAAATTTAATAGTCTTTTGTTATAGAATGATTTTAAATACAAAAAGAATTCTCGACTCCTTTTGAAGAAATTTCCCCGCAAGAGCTAAATAAATGCCTTCAAAAGTTTTAATTGTCGGCAAGAAAAAGCGACGGCCGCGGCCGCTCGATCATTACGCGCCAAAATTGTAATCGTTGGCAACGGTATTTGAGTTAAAAATCATCATTTTTGTGCTCAATTATCTCACTGTTTTAGTATATACTAAAACAATTGTCGGTGGCTAGTGTCGGTGGTTAGCCACTCAGTGTCGGTGGCTAGTCGTGGATATTTACCTCACGGCTTCGCAGTTCGGTAAATATCCACCTCGACTAGCCACCTCCACTTGGGTCAAGTAGTATAAAGAATTATTGTAATGCTAATTATTAAGAAAATCTTCAAGCAGCTTTTTCGCAGCAATGCACGCTTAAAAGAGTTTTATCGTCTTAGTAAAGTTTGATCGAGCCTTAGGGCGGCATTCTGAAATGAACGTTTACCAGTATTTGTTTTAAGTAGCGGGATATCCAATAACTAAGAACTCCTGGTTTGGCGGTACAGACATGCTAGATCGTTTTACAAAACTATCTGCTTTCCATTTAATGTTTTGAAGTGGCTTTGCCTATATGCCAGGGAAAATCCGTGGTGAGGAGAGGGGAGGCGGTAATTCCTCTTTCCTAATTCACACATCCATGGCAGGTTCCTCAGTGTGAAAAACGTGGACGTTCCCATAGGAAACGGCAAATCGATATAAAAGCTTACTTCCACAATTTTTATCACCACCGTGTTTTATTATGGATATGGGATTACGGTCTTTGGGAGCAAGAGAACTCAAGTTCTCACTACAACAAATTCTTCGATACCTTAAAAATTCGTTTGTTCTTCTCAAAACAGTGACATCCAAGCTTTCAAGGCTCTTATGAAAAAGCTAGTCAATGCATTAAAAGAAACAGATCAGTGTTGCTTATAATTAATACCGCACCTTTTGTCCAAAAATTTGGAGCGTATTACTTAAACTAAATAGTACATACACCATTTGCACATCTCCCATAATGCACCTTGATTGCCCCTATTCTCCGCCCCCACCCACCCGCCAAAAAAAGGGAATTCCTCTTATATGATTAATACAACTGTCACAAAAGGAATTGAAAACAATCAATTAATTTTTTGGCAAAATATTGGCGGGTAAACAAGGTGTACTATGGGAGACCCAATGAAGTGCCGAGTTGGTTCATATCCTTCTTTACGTCTTCCAGGCCTTGCAAAAGTCAAACAAAGAGCTTGGATCTTCAGTCACATTCACTTCACCAGACGAGCAGATAAACAGGATAAACACTGGCAGGGACACCAATACAGTCTTGAAAACGGAAGATCAGGAAGAAAAAGAATTCTACAACGAGGAGATTTTGACCCCTGGAATTCTAATGGCGTTTGCTTGGCATGTTTGTCAAGGCATGGTAAGCAACCCACCAATCTTAAGCTACTTTTTTCTGAGAAAAACGTTCGTCCACTAGAGAAGAAAACTGAACCACCAAACTTCTTCTAGTTAGCACAAGTGGCTTGGTTCCGGACCGCGGAGCTCTAGGCTTAAGTATGTTTCCCGGCCGAAAGTGCTAGTTGATTATTCTGGCATCTGCAAATGATTGAAAACTTTTTTTGATTTGTGGTCTCTGATAAGCTCGTTAGTGTAGAATGACGATAAACCTAGGGTTCTTTTACGCGGTTGTTCCACTCAATTCTACTTTGCAGCACGTTTAAATCTCTGACATAAAATGTTTTTTCCACTGTGTAAGGAATACCTGGCGAGAAAAGGATACGTTCATCGCGATTTGGCGGCTAGAAATGTACTTATTGGAGAAAAGAAAATTGCAAAAGTGTCAGACTTTGGACTGAGTCGACACGTGTATGAAAAGAAAGTTTACCATGGTAAACGAAACAGGAAACTTCCTTTCAAATGGATGTCAACAGAAGCCATCTTTGACCAGACATTCACTACGAAGAGCGATGTGTAAGATTACTGATAATTAGCGCATATTAACTAAATATAACGCTTTTCGAATATAAAGAAAAAACTACATATACTCTTTCAATGCCAAGTTCATATGAATCAAATATTTAACTAGAGCGAGCCTATACCCTGCCAACAGGAGTTTTTTTGGCACGGGTTTTAGCTTTTACGAAGTATTTCATGTAGCTGGCTTGTTTACGACTGTGCCTATGTTAAAGGTCATGCTGGACAAAAAAGACAGTAGTATAGTAGTGATATTTACTTCTTTTGGTGAGGATTTCATTACTTTGCGATCAAATGCATTAACGCCGATGATATCACAGTCTTTGCAGTCTTGAACTCATCTATAAAATGATGAGACCCTGAGACCCTGCTAGCAGGTTTTCTAGTTAATACATAATAATGTCCTGCTTTAGGATTGACTAAAAGCTAAGACGAAATCATCCATAGGTAGAAGTGTAAACAGAATAATCCCTTACTCGTGACGTCATAACCCAAGATAATAGCTCGATTAATGTCTTGCTTTAGGATTGACTAAAAGCTAAGAAAATCATCCATAGGTAGAAGTGTAAATTCAAGGTTTGGATAGGATAATCCCTTACTCGTGACGTCATAACCCAAGATTTATTTCCAGCTGCTCTCGTTATCCAGTGCAGACAACTTATTTTCCTGCTTCAGTTATACGGTTTTCTGGCTGAATTTAAAAAAAAAAACGTATTTAGAGCAGTACTGGTGCATTATGATAGTCCTGTGATGGACTTAATCATAAAAGATTTTGCAAAAAAAAAAAGGGCATACATCGTCCATAACAATTATTATGAGCAATATTTAAGGCATCAGCCAGTTCCTTTAACCAAAACATGCCTGCGGTAACAAACATGATGAAACAACGCATGTAGCAAAAATCAAGAATTTAAAGACTTCACTTGACCTGAAGACCTGACGTCAAGTCTTTAAAATCTTAATTTTCGTAACATGCTTTTTTTCATCATGTTTGTTCTTGTTACCGTAGTTTGTTTTTTATTTTTAATTACTGAAGTTTAAATAGCCAAAAAAATAAGAGTGTTAACAATATAAAACATACCTGTTTTTAATGACAAATCTGACATTTTTTTCTCGTATTTTTCACAGATGGGCCTTTGGAGTTGTACTTTGGGAAATAGTTACTCTAGGTACGCTAACAGCTAAATCTATCTGTATAGAATTTTGAGTAACAGTGACTTTAAAAAAATATATGAAATATGATATTGACGGCGTGGTAGCCATTTACGCCTTTTTTATCATGCTAAGTAAACGCAGACAACGTAGTGTTGGTCACTTAGCACATGATCATTTTTCGAATAGGTGCAAAAATCATTTAAACCATTTTTGGAGGAATTGTGTGACACTGCCCATAACTGCTCCATTGTTGTGAGATTGCCAAAAAAATGATACGTAAGAAGCATTTGTGCCAGTTCAAAGAGATCTGGGAAAAAAATTGACTTTTTCAAAGTCTTTCTGAAAAAATGGCTGTTCGGTGTTTATCGCCAAAGGTTCAGTTTTCGCTGAAAAAAAGAGTGGCAAGCCCGTTTTTCTATTAATTGGATTTTATTAGCCCTTGGTATGATCCACTTGTCTTACAAAGTCATTAGTGGCCTTACGAGAAGACGTTTTTGAACGATGAAAGTCAACCGGAGTGGTCCTACTTGGGCAGTACTCTCGCTCAAATCTGGGGAAAACCGTCTCTATACGTGTCAAGACACGTAGCAACACAAATCTGGTAGCGTGAAGGGTAAGTATAGGGAAAAGGTTGCTTGCTTTGTGATAAGTTTTATGGTCAAAGACGCTGGTGCTGTTATGCTACTTTTTCGTTTGGAAAACACAACGAGGGTTACAGCTGTATATGTCATAATGTAAATACTCAAAACGTAAAAATTGCAAGGAAAGACAGGCCCCACTTCTTAGCTTAACGCCGGTGTGAAACCTTTGAAAACCTCTTACATATTGATATTGCTCCAGTGTGGAGTACAGTTCAGCACAGGAAAAATGTGTTCGTTTTGCATAACCTTATACTACAGGCAGTTAATTCAGTTAACGCGTATTCCTTTTGAATTGGTTGTCCGTTTTATAAGATATCAAAATCGCGTGAAAGTAAATACATTTTCCTACTATAATAGTCGAGTTTCTGTGAAACCATAATAATTTTTGAAGAGAGGAAGGGATATAATTTCAAGGAATGACAATGTACCTCGTTGTATCTCAACTCAAAAATGGACAAATCGAAATTGAACATGGCTGTTTTTAACCCTTTGGTAGACGACCGCGCGATTTCCCGAATACCTACCCGCGAAGCAAACATGAGTAAACGTACGTAGAGGAAAAATATCCATAAAATAGGCTTAAAGGATTATCTCTTTATATAACTCACTCACTCACTCACTCACTTGGTCGACCGAAGGCGGGCAACCACTAGATCTTTCCACAGCCTCTTATCAGCCATCAACCACTACAGCAATCTCACTTGCTTCGAGTGCCCCAGTATCCCTCTTAAGAGTGTCAATATAGTTAGTATTCGGTCTTCCTCTCCCGCGATGACCATGTGTGGGCTCCCATAGGACTAATTTCTGGGTACTTAGCTCTGGATGGCGATAACAGTGTCCCGCAAGTTGTAGTCTACGAGAGGCGATTTTGTTGCTGACTGCTGGTAGATCTCCGTACAGTTGTTGGTTTGGTATGTGGCTGCTCCAGTGGATGTTTAAAGCTTTTCGCAGCATCCTAGTGTATGTTCCATCCAACGACGTTTCTTGTGCTTTTGACAGAGCCCGCCTCTCGCACCCATAAAGTAAGATTGATTCGATGGTGGCTATGAAGAATCTGATTTTTAAATCTTTACTCATATTGGACTTCCATATTTTCGTCATACCATTCAAAGCTCTCCAAGCCTGTGCTTTCCTTATGCTGATGTCTGTTTCTGAGTTATCAACCCATGACCCTAAATATTTGAAGTCATCCTTCCATTCCAGATAAGTGCCATCAAATGTATGTAATGGTGTTGGATCATCAATGTTATAAGCAACTGATTTTGTTTTCTTAGCATTCAGTACTAGGCCAACTTTCTTGCACTCTTTTTCTACTGTTAGCAGTAATTCCTGAGCTTGAGCTATTTCATACGACCGTAGTGCTATGTCGTCTGCGAAGTCTAAGTCAGCAAGAACTACTTTGGGGTGTGTTCTTGATCTTCGAGGGGTGATGGTAAATCCCAACTCTTCTTCTTTCCCAGCCATAGCTTTTCTCATAGCATAGTCAAGCACGATTATAAACAGGAAAGGAGTTTATGTGTCGCCCTGCTGTACACCGGTTGTGATTTCAAACATCCCTGTTTCTCCATCTGGAGAAAGCACTTTGGCCTTTGTATTCGTATACATCATCTCAATAGCTTGCAATAGGTTAGGTGGAATCCCATAGGCTTTAAGAATACGCATCATGTTACCCCGATGAATTGAGTCGAATGCCTTCTTGAAGTCAATAAAAGTCATGACAGCTTCAATGTTATTTGCTTTAACTCCCTCGATTATTCTTCTGAGTGTTAATATTTAGTCTATATTTGGGCCACTGTAGATCGTTTGGGCCGAAAACCGTTCTGGTTTACTCTGAGTCGGATGTCAATTACACTCCTGATTCGCTTTAAAATCAGGCGATTATACATCTTGGCTATAATGCAAATCAGGCTGATTCCTCTGTAATTATCGGTCTTTGACAAGTCCCCAGATTTAGGTACAGGGATGATATTCATATAGGACCACAGATCAGGTTTGTCATTGTCATAACTAGAATAATCAGTAATTCATATTTTCAAAGGTGCCTAAAAATTCATCTCTCGCAGAAGTGATGCGTGTATATATGAGTAGCATAAAATAGGTCAACTTGGTCTGACGATCGTGTTTTGAGCCATGGCATTAACATTAATGAACAAACACAAAACAAAAGACAAAGAAATTATTTCTTGAAAAATTAGAAAAAAAAATCCATTAGTTGATCCTTAAAAGCAATCCGCGTAATACTTAACTAGAACGTGGATCCGTTTACGCAAGTGAAAATCGGCTGAGCACACGGGAAAATTCAACACAAAATCACACCATCGCCAATCGGGCACGTTTTGTAATTTTTCTTTCAGCACCGATATCGAAATGAATTTAACGTCTATGAAACATTGATAAGTACATAAATTTCCTTTTACAAACGTACTAATTTTCTTCACCATACAGTAAAATTCTCCAAAACGTCGCTGCCTTGGTTGCATTTCAAAACAGGCCAAGCACTCAGCCGTGAAGAAAATAAAGTAGAATTCCTCGAAAAACAATTCCATAATGAAAAGCTTTCCTTTGCCCACAAAAAGAAAACTGGACTTTCTTTTGAACTTTCCCCACAACCTGTACAATGAATAGGAATCTCACGCCGTCGAATTTATCCAAAATTCGCCTGTTAGCCGGTAACACGGTATTCGCGGTGGGTCATCCATCCAGTTCCTAAGCCCGTCCGCCAGGGCTCAACTTGAGTGCCCCTACAAAAGGGTCATTGCAAGATACGTATTTCTAGTTTAGTTTTAATACGCGTGCATAATTACCTAGCAGCACATTGTAGCTCTCTGACCTACGCCATATAAGCCTCTGGCTTTGGCATTGTGCTTTGTGTACTTATTTATCAATAAAGGTTATTATTATTATTATTATTATTATTATTATTATTATTATTATTGTTAAGGTCCTCGATTCGGGGAAATTACATTGCAAAAACAGCGAGAACCGGCTTCATCAACTTTCATGCGTCATTTCAGTCATCGCCGAAAATAAACCGCATGCTCATCACGAGACTCATTTGAAAACAATGAATTCAAAGTCGTCACGATTCTTATCCCCAGTTTCCACGGTCTCCGCTAGGAACGCCTGGGAGCATCAAGTCCTAGTTGATGCCCACACACAAAGAAAAATAAAAAAAGGCCTGCATTTTTAGAGTCTTTCCTTGCTAAAGCAAAATCGACTAATAAAATGTCTATAATTTGTAAATTTATTGACTTATAAAATGTCTATAATTTGTAAATTTATAGACTAATAAAATGTCTATAATCTGTAAATTTATAGACTTTTGATAAAGGTCCAATCTTCCCCTCTTTGGGTGCGTCGCTCAAAAACGCGACCTTTGCTTAAACTCCCTAATATCTGGGAAAATACTTCCCAAGCATTACTGGCCACAAGCCGTTCTGATTAATAAATCATTGTATCAGGTGGGACGCCATACCCTACCTTGGAAAGCAAAGAATTGTTTCAACTGCTGAAGAATGGGTACAGAATGGAAAAACCAGAAACTTGCAACGAGGAGCTGTAAGTAGTGGCATTGATGATGAAGATATCTAACTTAAATAACCATTCAGTTACCAACAGCTACTAGCTGATTCTCCCTTTAATGGGAAAATTTCTCTTATTCTTTTTTTTTTCAGCTACAAAATGATGCAGGACTGTTGGCAGAACAACCCTGAAAATCGTCCCACCTTCACTCAGATTCGGGAGAGCCTGGAGACCATAATGCAGAAGGAAAATCCATATCTGGACCTGACTGCTGTGGACGAATCGCACGCCGAATACAACGTGCAGTCTTGTGACAGTATGGCGGAGGAGTCCGACGATGATCAAAGAGACGGCAATGTTAAAGCAGTGTGCCACGAAGGTATGCAACATCGATTAAATTTCCATTCGCTGGAACCGATTTAATACACATTGATTTTAATCTATAAACTGTATATTCCTTCTTTTCAGAGGCAGGTGGAGACCTAAAGGAGAACATTACGAAAAATGATCCACAGTCCAGTAATCTGTCAGTGGATATCAACTCCAAACCTGAAATCGAGCTGACAACAGAGAGTAATAATTGTGCAAAGAACAATCAAGGTCCTAAAAGCTACGTGCTTAATTTGAATACACTGGAAACGCGTTTCTGAGAATCTGCTTCACAAGGATAAGCCCTGACTGGTCCTGATTGTTCAAAATTCGAACAGTAGTATTGATCCACTGGATAAACCACTAGTCACTGGTTAAGTGTTACGAAACCATTCCCGGACGTTATCCAGGTAGTTATTCATCAAGTGGACATGGCTACATATATCCACTGTTGAAGACATAAAGGCCTGTTTAGGGACTCGTCCCATGAAAGGTTATGAGGATTTCGAAATGTGGAAAATTTTTGCTTTTGGAATCCGAAATCCTGAGCCCAGTAAGTCAAAAGCCAATTCATTGCTAAACCAGGGTTAAGTTTTAATCCGGTTTCTTTTTCTCTTGTTCAGAGCACTTTTTACGTTAATTTTCTGTATTCTTTTTAGAGGATCCAATAATCAAATTGTAGACAACCCGGCACTGGGCTTTGGAATCCGTACAATGTAATTTCGCTCTAGGAATTCGGAAGCCCAACGACGATTGCAATCCTGATCCCAAGTTCCACTGACAAGGAATCTAGAATCCCGTACTTGGAATCCACAATCCACGGACTGTCTTGAATTACCTTAAATGGGGCGAAGGGGCTAATACAACAGCGCAATATAAAGGAGATAGTTCTAACAAAAATACTTAAAATTGCACAGATTAAAATAAAGCATTTTCAAGACTGATTATAGCCTTGATTGGGTTTATGTAGTTTATTCTGGGTGACGTCTATGAGTGACGTGTTAGGAGACACTTTAATTAAAAAATGACAAAACTGAATGAATATCACAAATGCCTGGCTGTCCCAGCCAGATACATTGCTGATTATGAAAGGCAAAACATTTAAATTTAAGTTACGATATTAGTAAACTTGAAAGTGGAACTCGGAGTTGATATCAATTTCAGGTTCCTAGAGAAAATGTACACTCTACAAACATAAACTCTTAATTAGGATTGACAGCTATTCGAGGCAAGTCACTACTCTCATTGTCCCTTGAGGTAAAAAAGCACGTTTTGTTACTTTGTATGCACTTTTCCTTTAGAAATATCATAGGGTTTTTAAAAGACAAACACTAAAGTTAAGCAGCCGTTTGCGGTTTTGGAAGACTGAACATGGACTTCCCTTCGTAAGCTTTCTCTGACTCCAGGGTGCCCCTGAACCAACCATTCTCATTTTTCTTGGCCCATTCAACTTCCAGCCAGACACCCATACTCCTGCTTTTACTGCAACATTTCCGTAACATGACCTTGCACTTCTCCTTCTTGCCGAGCAGGAGATGAAAATAAGCGAGTAAGTGGAGTCGCCGACCTTCAAACACCGGATGATGATTAAGTGATCCTTTAAGTTTCTTCAGAACCTGGAATCAACAAAGTTAGCTTGATAAAACTCTGGAACACCCGCATACTGTATGTGGGCTTCCTTTAAACCTGTTTATCTCGGTTGTATGAAAACTAAACCAAGTTGAACTAAGTTTTTCAACGGGATTGACTCCACAGAGTGACTTATCATAAGTAGGTTGAGTATGATCGTCCGGGTGAAAGTAGTCCTGAATAGGACTGTTGTTGACAGGGACTGACGTTTCGACAACCTGTGTGGTAGTCATCCTCAGAGTTAAAGTGAGTTGGTCAGTTGATGATATCAAACTGTGATTATTGATCTGCTTAGTCAATTAAGTCGTCATGTTTGTCACAGTTAAACAGTCGTTTATTGTTAGTCGAATTGTCGGTTGTCCAGTCATTCTCTCGTAATTAGTTTTGCTTGAGTCTGTCAATACGTCTGTGTTAACTGGTAACTGTTTCCTATGATTCAGTCGCGTTTGTTCTAAGTTAGTAAACGAACTTTCAAAAGTGAGTCAGAATACGTAATACATATCGCAGAGTCACAGTCGATTTGATGTTTCCTTTGTAAATGGTGTTCAGCAAAGCGATTGTTGTCTTCACCATTTCTTGTCGTTTGTTTGTGTTCGGTCGGTCGTGTGCTAAGATTTCTGCCGGTTTCACCGACGTAAGTGACCTGGCAATCGCAGCATTTGATCGTGTATACTGCTCCCTGTCTGTCCTCCAGTTTGTCTTTGTCTTTGACAGTAGTAAGGTAGTTGAACTTGTCGTAAAGTGGTTATAAGTTTTTGTGCAACACGTATGTTGTTAGGTTATTATGTAGTATACGTGCGATACTTTCACAGGTGCCTCTGCTCGAGACGTACGGTATAGTCGCTGTCGTAACAGGGCCAGAGTTGACGTGGGTCTGAGTGTTGAAATCAGTGTTACTGTGAGTGTTTCGTCTAAAAAAGTCCTCGCTCTAGTTGTTTTAGTAAAACCGTTGTTTAGGTAGTCAGTCTTGTCTTGTAGGCAGTCAGGCGAGTCGCAAACTAATTGCGCGCGTCTCGTCAAAGTCCGTATAGTTGTAGCCTTTGAGAGAGGTCGGGTTGTACGATGACATACGATCTAGTGAATCTGTCGGTATGTGTCGCTTTTCTGTAAGTTGTCCCTCCTAGCCGTATTATTTTGTTGTCGCGAGTGAACAAGCAGTCTAGAAGAGGTATTTTACAATTTTCCTGGATCTTCGTGCCAAACTGCATGTCCGCGTGATGTTTGTTAAAGTGTTCGTAAAACTCGTATATTTTGTTTCTGTGTGTACGGCGGTGAAAGTGTCGTCATCGTAGCGTAACCAAATAGGTATAGTTCGCGTATAAGTAGCAACGGCTTGTTCCTCGGTGTTTTGCATAAAAATTTCTGCTAAAACATAGTTGCCCCCTGGTAGCTATTTGAAGTGTTTGCCGTTGTACTGAAAGTACGTCGAAGTTAGGCAGAAGTTGAGTAGGTCCATGATGTCGTCTGTAGGTAGTGGTAGTTCAACTTAGTAGCGCTGTCAACGTAGTCTGTAGACAGTTGAAGTGGAATACTGGTGAACATTGATTTCACATCAAAAGACACTAGTTTGTGCTCGTCAGGTATCTGTTTTGTCTTGATGGCGTCAATAAAGTTCTCAGTCGACTGTGGTTTATGTCCAGATTCGTCAATCAAAGGTTTCAGCACGTTAATTAAGTATTTTGACAGTTGCTGACTATATCTTAAATCCGTTGGTGAGGCAATTAGGAACAAAGATGTTGTGTTCCTTTTTTTCGATGATACCTAGTTAATTCACCCATAAAGTTATTCCCTGCAGATAATTTAGAAAAACTGACCTAATATCGATTATCTTTAGGTTGCATATCAAGAAATTCATTTGATGAACTCACCTTAGTAGCCTCGTGCTCATAATGTCTATTTTTGCTATTATGGCGTTGCTTCAACAGCCAAAACTCCACGATCTTCACAAACCCGTGAACAGCCATAAACACTTCTAACTTTAATGGCTCTAGAGCTAGTAAGAGAAGCAACGTATCATATTAGAGATCCTACAGTCATTGGCTTTAAATATAGTTTCCTGCAATAAAAAAAAATTACTTCCCAATCGGGTGCTATTGCCTCTGTTTACTGAGCCATAAACAGTGTACTTGACAAAACTCTTAACATTTACCTAAAGCTACATAATAAGCCCCGTGATCATAAAAAATATTTTAAGCTTAACCTAATAAAAATGCAAACAAGGGAATTATCAAAAGCCATAAAAATCGCCTCTGTGATAAAAGAAGAAATTAACGGAGTCCTTATAATTTAACAATAATCCAGATGACACGGATCTGTAATTCTACACTATTCAGGTTTATTCCAAGCCAGCATCAGCACCAGCCAGTTTTGCAAAGTAAGCAAGTGAAAAGAAGTCTTTGGAAAGCCTTGTGGAAACATTTTTGTCCAAAAATATTATTCTAAAAGTTTATCAAAGGGCAATATAACAAGATTGGACGCGTTGAATTAAAGTTTTTTGTAGCCAGCATACCAGTAGCAGTAGCAAAGTATGCATCGGCATTTCCCCAGTCCTCTCTCCTGGCGTGCCTAAACCCGAAAAAAGTCAAGGAAAATTTTAATTTTTAAGGTGTGCATAACACTATCAAGAAATTGTAAAACTGTAACACGCATGTTTTTTTTTTTCCTTTTCTGAGGGAGAATAATAACGACAACAAAATTTGAAGAACCTGTTAAAAAATGAAACACTACTTTTTAATGGTCCTTAAAAAACGAGATTCTAAATAAAGCACAGATAGAAGAACATATGGACGCCTCTTATCTTATTATCTTATTTTATTCCATTTCTTTACTTTTTTTCACCCCTTTTTACCGTACGATCTAGGTAAAATGGGAATATTAGATCGACTCTATAGGACGTGGGGTTATTTCAGGTTACTTCAGTGGTCAGGGTTCGAATTCCGATCAAGTCTACCTTTTCAATGTCATGAATTAAAAGGATATAACTTTAGAAGAGTACAAGGTGATAAAAAGTAACAAATTAAATTTTAATCTTACCAAAGTGCAAGTGAAGCATTTAGGTAGAACTTTGGGACTAGATCAGAAGCGAATGCTGGATCCGTAGACATCTTTGCTGTGAACTGAAAAATTTGACTAATATCTTCCAGCTGCCAACCTGAAGGAAATGGAAAACATTTATCATTTTACCAAGCTTAACACTATCTTATGTCTTAAATTTTATACCTGTTAGGTTCCATTCGACACTGCTGATCCAATCTGCATAGAGGGCGCTTATAATATCAAGCATGTCCTAAGCCATAAGCGGACTCATAAGTTTCTCTGTAACCACTCATGCTAAGAAGGCTTGTATGATGTCATCGATTGGAATCCCGCCAAGAATAGCATTTTTTCTTCCTCGTGAAAGAGATAAGACCATGGAAATAATGGATTTTGATATGCCCTCTTGACATTATAACTTCCTATTTCACACAGATGGGCTGCAGTTTTATATTGGGCGAACGTGGGGTAATTTAGGGGGTTTGTATGAGAAAATTGTAGAATCCAATCACTTTTGCGAAATTGGACCCTGTAAATGAAGGTTATGGATTAGCTGAATAACTATGGAGACCTCTATGATAAACTCATCTACGTATTAAAATCTTCATACATCAGTTTTGTACATGTGGATATTTACCGGGTGAACCATAGGTTTTTAGGTTTACTGCTTTACTGATGTCTCATTGTTACTTACAAACCAATCTCGAGACTACAATACGTGTTTTAGAGGAGAGGAGCTAGAATTCATTCTAATTTTTGTGACAATATAACTTAACCTGCTTCAAGAATGAGATCAAAGCAACAGCACATGTAAAGCGCGCGACCGTGAGAGTCACTGGACTCTAATGCAGCGGAGTTCAGTTCCTTGAGGACTTCAATACACTCTGGAATCCTGAGAATTAAAACAAAAAAAAATTAAATTGGTGCATGACAGTAAACATTTGGAAGTAAATTTTTAGAAATAGATAAAATGTGCACTCTCATTATCAGTAAAATGGCTTGTTCCCCGACAGGCCAGACGTTGAGCAGATATATGTGATATAACTAGGGCCAAGTTATCACCTTATTGCTGTTGAATGAATGGAAACAATCTCACCTTAATTCATCTTCACTGCGTTGTTTTGACCTAATTGTTTATCACAGTTACGTTTTGCCGTTTCATGAAATAAAAGTGATTTTTTTCCACCTGGCTTAACATTTCATCAGTCTTTTATTACTGGATTTCACTTACTTTGCAGTGGCTAGAAGACTTTGAGCAAGAAGAGGGATGCAAGTTGTCTTCATGTGTGAGTTGTGAACTTGATTTGCAATACCGAGAGCATAACGACCTGTCATAAAAAAGAAAAGCATCTTGAATAATGAATATCGATACGGGACCCTGCCTGAACGATCTAGCTAAAGGAAACAAACAAGATTAGATGCTAATGCGATTAAGCAAAATTTATTTGGTTTCTTTTTTTATGATATCGAAGTTACCTATGACTAGGCACAAAAGATGACCGGAAGCGGAACCTCCGCAAAAAATGCTGCTAATAAAGGCTAGAAAAATTATTCATGGTCAGGGCCACATGTTTCCACGGTGAAAACTCCTACCTCACGTGAAGAGAGCTAAAATTGAACATTTCACAAATCAACTACACTCCTGTCACTTGCTAAATGACATGCAATTTTGTAGTGGGCGTTTCTGTTGATGTACATCAGATTCACCTTTAAGATCAATGTGACTAACATAAGATCCTCTCTGTTTCGAAAATTGTATTTTATACTTATCTCTAAATTACTTATCAGACCTTTCGACTTTCAAGGGAGGAGTTTCAGATAATTTTCCAAGAGGTCACCTTGTCGGTCTATACTATATGCTCCAACAAAGATCTCGCTGGGATAAAAGTAGGACCAAACCTGAGGCGATAGCGATTGAAACTCCGCCAATTGCTAGCCTGAAAGCGAGGCTGACACAGTAGAGATGCGCCACGGTTATCATGTCCTCTGGGTCTGAGTAAAGTGACGGGTCTTCGCACCTGAGGGTTGGGGAGAGTATGAAAATATGAATCCATCTGAATAGGGCTATCACAATCTATCTGGGTAAAGAGACGGGTGCTAGCACTCGAGTCTAAAGCTGAGGGGAGATAAATGAAGTTCGTGACTGAAGGTTTTCGTTGTGAGAGGTAATTGTACTACTATTCATGTTAATACACAACCTTTCTGCTCCGCTATAACAACAACAACAATAATAATAGTAATAAATGCTTCATTATCCTCCGTTTATGATGCTTTTCAGGGATAGCGGATCAGGTAGCGGTCAGGGCGGAACTTGAACTCAGGGTCTCTGAATTATAAGTCCAGCGCTGTAGCCACTCGGCCACGCTGCCTCCTCAGGTTGAGAAGTTCTTGTATGGCAAAAAATTATTTACCTGTTCTTTCCTATTTCTTCGTACGTTTTCCCCCATCCTCTCCAGCCAACAAGATGTGTACACTCAATGACTCCAGCGTAAGCGCTTATTAACTGCAAAATACGATGAATATGAAGATGTTCAAAGTGGAACTAAGAAGCAAATCTGTAAGCGTGATAGTTAGTTTGTGGGGTGTTTGAACAACTCGCGATTTTTCTGGCACTTCGGGGATTCAACTAAGTAGAACATGCCTTGTACCGAACGTAATAGGTAATGGTACGGAATAGTATATCCTTTAAGCAAAGACCATACCGAGCATCCCCAGAAAATAACACAGATCGTCAAGTGGAGAAAATGCGTGAAAAAGGGATAATTCAGGGGTCTGTCTCCCCATGGAGCTCTCTAGTTGTTTTTGTCAAAAGAAGGATGGATGCTTTAGATTTTGCGTTGATTTTTAAACCTACTTTATCATGTGGGTAGATTTCAATTGCCTTTAGCTAGAGATGCGCTAGATTCTTTAGCTGGTACAAGTATATTTTCGACGATGGATGTCAAAAGTGGTTTCTGGCATATAGAGGTGCATCCAAATTTACGAGAAAAGACTGCTTTTGTTATTCGGAATGGTCTTTACTGTGACGTTTGGATTGACTATCTCAGAATCCGAAGGCTCCTGAGTTATATTCGAACTAAAACGCGAAAGAGGGTAAAGCTCTTTTGGTATCATCGAGTGTTGTTGTCCCTCCTTTTTTAGCAACAACTGTCACCTCAACCAATCAATCAAAATCACCCGCTGGAAAACACCTCTAGGTGTCTCTTAATACAGAATCTAAAAATTTGTTCCAGAGTTGGTACTCTCGTTTTGTTTACTGGCCATTATAGGGTTATGACGTTTTTTATCTCTATGCCTGAACTGCCTGTGTGAACTGATTTGAATTCAAACAGTCAGCCTTCGGTTCTGGAAATATATTAGTAAAACTGAGTCAATTTTTAACATCCTCCTGGCACCTCGAAAACCGTTTTAAAAGATTCCATCTACCGAACACACCTCATGCAGGTTTTCTTCGGCTTCTTCAGCAGCGTTGAGCTCCTGTAGGGCAGCCATCAGCGATCTGTTGTTCTGTTGAAGGGAATGGTACACGTGGCTAAGATGGCTCAGGCATCGCGATTGTTCAATTAGTCGAGCTGAGTTTTCCCTTGAAAAAGAAACAATTAAGACCACATATATAAATGGACTAAAGGACTAAAACAGTGAGAGATAACGTAAGCGGAAAATGGCCACTGACTTATAATCACTTAAGAACAAAAATAGGCCAAAAAAGTTTCACACAACTTTTCGATGACGCTATGACATCGTTATCAAGTGACAAAGATAAAACTAAAAACTGACTTAATACCTACGGTTTAAAGTGACAAAATAAAGAAGAAAAGTAACATGTTTGCACATGTAAATGTGAAAATATGAAAATATGTTAAACAAACAGTTTTGCCCGGGGGGAGTCTGATTGTGTGTTTAGGCGTGGTTTCTTCTCCTTAATAAAAAGCATTTTGCCAATGAGACAGTCTAATTTTCCATTACACCTCTTGAGTACAGAAAAGTTGCTGCCCAAGTCGCCTATGGTTTTCAGGCCGTGGACGTTCTATAAATGCCTCCCGATTGCCGAGTGATGGTGTTCATCAATGCGTCGATGTAAATGCCGGCTCTTGTAGCCGACATACTCTGCATCGCACAGATCACAGTCATAAAAACAGAAGGATTCCATAATCGCTTTTACAGGATTGCAACACGTTTGGAAAAATCGGTCAACATCTTGCGGCTGCAAAAATTGACCTCGGCCAACTTCTAGGATCGATGTTATTTTTATCTCCTGTGTCCTATTTCACGTTAAAATGTTATAAGGGACCTTGAATGAACCGACATAAGGCATAAGAGCAAGGAAACAAGACCATGGCGTTGATGTGCTACGACTTGTCGATATCTCGAACACTTTCAGATACAACAGTCCAGTGAAGGTAACTGTAAAGCCGAAACAGAGAAGCAGCGGCAACTACTGGCGTTTCAGTTTTAATACTGACGTTCGATATCACTTGGTGGAAAATGCTGTACCATCGGATCATTTATCCAGATACTCAGTTCCATTTTAACAGTAAATCTGAAGAATATACCGCAGCCTACTTGTTCTTACGCTCAAGTAAGTAAGCCAGTAAGTAGTTTATTTATACGCGTAACACCTAAGAGCCTACAATAAAAATCGTTCGAAAGTACATGTGATATATAAGACTACAGTAAAAACTTAATTGGAAAACTGTTTAAAAGAGCCAAAATTTATAAGAACATTCAGGAAAAGGTCCCAAACTGTGAGAGAAAAAGGTCAAAGAAGATTAAAAATAGTAACAGTGATAAAAATAAAATAATTACATATGCAAGACAAAAACTAGTATAAAGATCCCAATTTAAAATTTTGTATGGCCTTTTTGAACACTTTAAGATTATTGGGGTTTCTAATATATAACGGTGGCTTATTCCCTACATCGCTAGCTATAAATGAAAAGGACAGTTGACAGTTGAATACTTAATGATACGTACCCCGCCTCTCCAATGTAGTAACCTGGCAAAAACACGTGCAAATAATGACGCAACGATTCTTTTAAGATCATCATGTAGCATCCGAAGTCGGACCTTGGCTGATTCTTTCCCAAGATGCTTAGCCCTGAAAGCAGGTGAGCCAATGCTTCGTGGAGACGATTCATGTGAGCCAATGCCTTATATCAGAAAAAAAGAGCATTTACAAGAAACACAGACTTGGCAAGAACTAAGCATTTTAAGAGAATCTTGAGAGATATTCATGCATATCTGCCGGATTTATTATTTACAATATAATCTAGTCAAAGCCTCTTAATACGGACACTGGGGGCCATATGAAGTGTCTGCATTAACGGGGTGTCGGAGTTAAGTGCGTCATGTTATTAAAGTAAAAAACACCTTGCATTTCAAAAAATGCCTAAAATACTAAAGTAATAAAACATGTTAGGAAATTATTGCGTCATTGTAACGGGAAAACTCATCACCTGATCTGAGAACTGAACTTTGCACGAGGGTCTTGGAACTATGTAGTCGTTCCGAGTCGTGGAACTGATCGAGAGTGTAGATTGAGTGTAGCTAGATCATCGAAATTTTTACGCCAATTGATATCGATGAATTCTTGAAGTGTAGAACAGAGTACAGAATTCTAAATTATGAACATGTGAAGAAATAGACTTTCGAGGGAGTGTAGAATTAAATGCTAAATAGAACAAGTTGTATCACATAACTTGTGACAAAACACAATTAAGGACACGAGCATCGTCAAATTGAACATCTCTTAACCTTCACAAAGCCATCATTTCGCGGCTTGAATCCACGAAGACACTCAAAAGTCGCTCACCAAAACCGTTCTCTGCTGAACCGTTTGATACCAAAACTAGTCTGGAATTGAAGTCTAAAAATCATCTTATCCGGTGCAAATTAGCGCTGGGAATATCGACACGCTGTGAAATGAAGACTTTTCTACAAAAGGGAAAGGTCGATTACGCACACATTTTATAATGAAGCGTTTGCGTTAGCGAGGTTGGTTGTTGATCGATAGATTGGGCAAGAAACAAGTGTCTGTTGTCCGAATTAACGAGTGTTCGTATCAAGCGGGGGTTGAATTAGGAGAAAATGTAAGAGTGTTCTCCAAGGACAAAGAAAACTGTCCTTAATAACGAGGTGTCCGTAAAATGGGGTTGGACTGTATTTGTGTAAAATTCATCTTTGCTTGGACTGCTTGTTGTTGTTGTTGTTGTTGTTGTTGCTGTTGTTGTTGAACTTCCACCTAATCATTTAGTAAAAAACGTGTCAAATATTTAAGTAACGACGCCTTGATTCGGCCTCTTTTTATCTAGAATGTGAGAATAGTGTTACGTGCCGGAATAACCAAGAGATGTCCGCGAACGAGGCATAAGTGAAAAGAACTCCCGAGTACGATATAAGGCACGGAACAAAAGTGTGATAACGAGCAGTTACCCTTTTTTAACCATTGTTTATTTAGTTATACACTGTTATAGTTACTTAGGTTAAAGATTAAGTTAAGCAGTTCGTAAAGCAGGCAGGCTTACTGTCTTTCATGGCCATACAGGAACAACTCCCAATTCCACTGACTTGAGACAAAAATGCTTGACTTTCTTGATTCACTGGATCCTTTCCACTCGTTGGCTTTTCTGTGTTCACAAACTCGTACGGGGAACTTCATCATGAACTCTTTTATCTTCTTCTCTTTTCTGCTATCGTCTCTTTCTTCTTTCCAGATAGAGCAATGTCAAAGGTTATAGCTCCTCCATAGTTATCGCAGTTGATTATAGCTTTCTCACAGCATAGCATCTATAGCTGATAAGTTCAATCACAGCTAGCCACGAGGGAAAGCCCTCGGGCACTCACACACAGAGACATCTGTTACTTGGAAGCCTGCTTTTATACCTTTTCTTCAAGCATCTAGAACGTTCCGTTGCTATTTATAGTGTATTACAACATCTACTATTTGTGGAAACTGCTGAGTCACATTACAGATATTTCTGGAATATTACAGATTATAAGATAATTCTAGAAAAGTCTGGAACTGCATGACGGATAAACTAAAAATAATTCTGATCCTCATAACAATAGGAACTCACTGAGCTAGTAATTTAGTTGCTAGACAATTAATTTGATCCCTGAGGACGTTTGAAAATAAATGATTTTGCCATGCTTAATTTGGGAATCAGATTGAATCTTTTCTCATATAATCAAGTCTAGAACCAAGCTTATTACCCCGACAAACAAATAAATGTATTTCGTATCATGATTTTGAATATATATCTTGTAAAATGTATTGCGCTATACGTACTAATGTTATGACAATGAAGTTACCGGATGAGATCGACAATGTACCCATTCATCTGAAAGCTGTATAGTGGCACTAGCTAGCTATTGAAGAAATTGCTGTTGTTATTGTTCAGCTTCAAGTCAGGGTATTATGGAAAGATACATGTATTTGCTCTGACCTGTCCAATAAGACTTTCAACTCGCGCACGTTCTTCTATAGTAGCCAAGAGTTGCTCTTCCTTTTTAGTCGACTCCTCTATGATGGACTGAACCTCGTTCAGATATGAGAGTGCCCGCATGTTAGCGGAAGTGGCCAATGCTGCGGCGCCGGACTCGGTTAAATAGCGCACCGTCTTAAGTTTGTTTCCTGCTGCGCGCCAATGATCGACAAGTTGAGGGAAGACTGAGGCAAGCACCTCTGCACATTGACAGTTACTGAGGTCAAAGGTTAATTTTTGTTTTTCGCCAGGATCCCCTAGGTTAAGGTATTCTTCACACTCATCAATGTCTTCTTCCTCTTCTATCAAAGATGTAGATGGAGGTCTGGAGACATGATCGCCTGAAAAATCGAAACAAAGCTTTAGTGATCAGCGATCGTGATGCGGAAACTCCGCAAGAAGGTCCTTCGATAATTTTGCTTAAAATCAGAAAAAACCAAAGTAGCAATTTCTGACACTTGAGAATAGATTTTTACTGAAAAAAAGGTTTTCCCTATACTATATTTGCTACAGTGGAATGATGATAAATCTAAAAGTAACGCTTTAATTCAAAACCCTGCCTTTCTACGGGTTACGAAATAAAGAAGTCCAAATAATCAAATATTCTACCTTTTTCAGACCAGTTCGACTTTTTCCGCATGGAAAACTTCCTCAGCTTTTTCTTTCCAGTCGCGTTATCCGTTTCATAAACCGATTCTTCCTCGGGGTCCACAGTTTTACGATGGAAGCTCAATCTGCGGAGCCAGCTGGATCTGCGGTCATCCACTGCTTGTCCAACAACTGCATTGTTGACGAACCCGAATGAATTGGCAAAAGCTCTTCCAATGCCTGTTTTAGCAGCAACTGCCGCTGTTTGCTTTACCACTGGAGATTGTCGTCTCTCTCTTCTCTTAAGAAATAACAAATAAGATTGTGACTTAACTCCAAACAACCTGCTTGTCTATCTACATTTATTAAAAAGTGAATCATTGGATAATGTAATTCTAGAGCTTTGATTGGCTTAGCCATCATGGTATATGAGCCATTATACCATGCTCTCCAAATATGGTAACTGTACGCGTCTGCTTTAAATTAAAAAGAAGCAGAAAGTCGGTTGTTTTTACAAATAAAGTTGGGAAGAATTCTCGATATTTTGTTGGCGTTTTTAATAAAACAATTATTTCACTCGTGCTTTTTGGATATGAGATGATTATAGCCAACTCCTATCCAACGCGCATTCGTGGAATAAGCGTGAGGTCAGAATGGCTGGATATTAGCCAAATTCTTTTTTTGCGTTTTTGTTGATTAAAAAAGACTCCAACAAAGAGCGATGCCTCTATCCAGTTATCTTAACCAAACAAGATTTGTCAATATATAAAGGATTGATTATATGGCCTAAAAGAGAACCTTTCCTTACGGGACAAGCGCTGGAAATTCCGAGGGGGCAGGATGGGCCCATCTTGCGCGCTCAGGTAGCCAATCAAAACACAGGATTACTTTATCTCGCCCGATCGCGAATTCACCAATATCATTATACTTTTATTTAACCTTACTACAAAATAATTACATGGAAGAGAGGATTTTTTTTTCAAATGTTTGTTTCAGTAGTTGTGCTCAGGGCAAATGAAAACGATTGATTGATATAACAGATCAAGCTTCGGACGGGGAATTAGAGTTGAAGGAAAATCCTTAGAATTGACTTACTTTGGCCAATTTCGCTGTACCCATAATTCACTGTTCAAAACTCCGAAAACTATATAATTCATTTATCAGTTTTGCGCCCTTTGTATCTTTGTATTGGTTTCCAGTCCCCTCGTGCGGCATGACGTGCACATCTCACGGATAAATGTACCTACATAGAAAACCATCACCGTATTTGGATCGAATTTGGTTACGATAAACTGTTCATCGTACCTTCTTGATAAAGTTCGTGCTATAAGAGGTGGTCTCGACCAAGCTCAAGTGGCTATCGAAAAGGATCAGAAGGTAATTATAAGACATGGATCAGTGAAAATATGATAAATACGGGCATTCTCAACTACCCTTATCACATTAAGCTGGCCTTGTAGTTTTCCAAGTGTTGTTCTGTAATTTATGAGAATTTAGATTATTTTCCATTAAGGATGTTTGACCGAACTGAAAGTAAGAGGACTATATAACCTACTCCGCATTATTTATCTTTCTTGTATTCATTTTGATATGAGTGAATGCCTGGTAATTTGAATTGAGGAATAAAGTCTACAAACCCCCAATAAACTGCTTGTTCCTGCGATTTCGGCTGATCGCTCATGCGCACGTGAAGAAAATGCTCCCTGACTTTGCACCTTCTCTCTCATTTCCATTGTTTTCCTTTGCTTGGTCATCTTGGATGAAAATTGTGCTGTGGATCTGCCAGATGTACCTGAAATGGTCTCTTATTAACTACTTCAAAATGTACCAACAAGTACCGCTTATCTTATTTAACATTATCTTTTCCGAGTTTTTTTAATTTCTTTTTTTTTACAGAATATTCAAACGTAAGCGAGATTTCCATCGATGGTCGCGTTAACAGTTTACTTAAAAAACCGAGAAGAAATTTAGTTTAAAAAAACCGTTTTGGTAAGAATAACCATTCATACAGTTAAAAGAAAATGAAGCTATGTGCCATTGTCGCACTTACCGCTAGCCCTTTTCTGACCCTGGGAACCCTGTGCCTCGTGAGTATCAACTTGCTTAGCGACAAATCCACCTCCCCCACAAGATTTACACTTGTGAGCCTGCGACTCAAGAAACATTGCTGCTTTTTCGTGCAATTCTCTTCTCTGATCTTCAAGCCAGAGCGAATACGATGTCTCTTGGACGTACGTGTTTACAAATTTCAGATGTAAACAGTGCTTCTTCGGTCCACTTGGAGTCATGAGTCTGGATAAGTTTATTACTTTGGTCATCTCGTCCGCATAACAGCCACAGAAAACGGAACCATGGATTGAGCTCGCAACACTGTGGTGATGGTGATGATGATGGTGATGTGTGTGTTGGTGAGCGTGTACAGGATCATTGAAGTCGTAGAATCCATGATGGTTGTGAGCATTTTGATGTTGGGCTGCCAAACTGGCACACTCTACGATCGATTCCTTAGCAAGGTTGTAAAGCACCAAATCGAAAGTTCTTCGACAAGACCCAGGTAGAATTGCCTGAAGCACGTTTCTATGAAATTCAGTACCCAAAATACTGGCGCATTTTAAAGTCACTTGTTCTAAAGGCATCATTCTGTCGATGCGAGCCAGGACCATGTCTTTAACAGATTCTGGAACGACCACTTTGGAAATGTCAACACCTGGATTAATAATACACACTTTCTTGGTGTCCAAAGGCATTGAATTTTCTGATGCAGGCACGAAATTTGCAAGATCCAAATTGAACTTTGGTTTCTCTTGTGGTAATTCTTCTTCAGAGAGAAGGCTGATACGTCGAGAACCTCTACTGGAATCAACTTCTGAATCATTCATTTTCGTTTTACTTTCAAGGCCCTCCAAGTTAAAGTGGATGCTCTTAGTGGAACCAGTTGATTTCCGCCTTTCCTTTCGCCAGGTTGCAGAGGAGCCACCAGATTCTTGGTAACCACCACCAAAGAGACTCGGTGTAATTCCTCTGCTCACAGCGAGAGTCATTCGTCTGGGATCTGGACTACCAGCTTGTAACTGACTACTTTCGCTATAAAACGGAGTCCTTGGGCGAGAGAGATCAGACAGCTCCTTGTGTTTTTTAAAAGCAAGGCTCGTTGTAGAAGCATCAAGCGATAGAAAATCGAAAGAAGATTCCTTTTTCGGGAAGGCTTGGTCCTCATCGACAATTTGAATAACCTCGCTCCCTAGCATGTCTTTGATGAGCTGTTCACACCATGAAGCTATACCGTGGCTTTTCAGCCGAATAATCTCGTCCAGTTCATTGGGAATGAACATGACGTCCATAAACTGACATGTCAGGTCACTCATAACATGGGGCGACAGGCCTCCTATAGATCATACAAGATTACGTTTGTCAGATGTAACGATCGAACGAAATCGAAATCGATTTGTGAAATGCTGATCACTAAGTATCAAATAAAGAAATATTAATAGCATTTACAGCCAATGGAAAAGTACATTACATTTTGCCCTGATTATCTTATAACGTGTCCAGCATCTGTGAAAATTTATTGGGAAAAAAAAGCGTTTACATAAGAAAAGTGTTTAACTTTCAAAGGATTGGTTTAAAACAACGATATGGCCTCCGTTTCATTGTTTTGGAACTCCAATATAGCTGCCGTGACGTCATGTGAAAAGGCTCTTTTGAAGAAGCAATAACGTCCCTTAAGCATTCGGTACAATTCGACACAGACTCGTGGACAACTTCAATATGGACAGTCAATTAATGAGCTTAGGTTAATCCGTACGAGAGATAATTAACCTTATATGACCTAATTTGATTTTCTTGGTCACGTCATGTCGAATCAGCCTGGTAGCTGCCTCGTAAGGTGGGTTTGAGGATGAGAAAGGCCTGAGAGCTAATACCAAAATCGCGTGAGAGTCTTTGGACAAGTCTTCTAAAAAATCCCGTGATTCCTGATCGATAAACTGCGCATTGTCCACAGCGAACAAGCACGGTTGTCTGACAGCAAACTGAAAAATATGTGGGTACAGATTCTTTTAAAAGAATGAAATCTTTTACTAAATCAGTACAATTTTACAAATTGAGACGTCGAGAAAGAACCTTATAATTGAGAAAGAATCCTGAATCACTCACGAAAGATGCTTTACCAAGCTGTTATCAGCCTGAGTCTTGAGGCCAAGTGAATCAGAGGCTTCAGCATAGTTGTCATTAAAACAACGGAACGGTCATAGAATGGAACGCGAACACGATAGTGAAGTCAGTTTAGTTCGTAACGTGCTAGGTGTGGAAGTACGATGTAAGATGACGTACGCCCAAGGCGAGAACGGCAACAGAAGGGAAGGAAATAGAGTGAATGTATATTCTAAAACCTTGAGACACCTACCTGGTGAACAATGTCAAACAAAAGCATGTGGAAATGTTGAGTAATCTTATCTGAGTCCAAATGAGCAAAATCGGGATTCGGGATTATCTGAAACGAAAATAAGTCCAAAAACGTGCGGAACACTGCAGATAAAACATGAAGTCCTGAGCAAATGAGCTCGGAATGATATGCAAACAATGCCTATTCCCAAAGATATAACCCTCCCCGCTCTTCCTTTTGCATATGTCCTAGTTTCGAGAGAGACAGCAGTCCTTTTCTTTAAGTAAACCTCTTCCGGGGCTAACATCATTAAATCGCACTAAACACCACTTAATTACAGTGAGACCCAATTGAATTAGTACTATTATATTACAAACACACCAAAGTAATGACAATGTTCAAACGTGTTAAATACCACAAATCCTAAAAAATTTTCTGCATACTCTCTTTCTGGAATAAATATTCCCAACGCTGTTACGGCTGTACTTACATGTGTGCCAAGCAAGTCATTTAACAGAAACATCTTTTGTCGCAGTTTAAGGTCAGTGATATGCTCCAAGAGCGCACGCTCTTTCTCTGAAGCTGTTCGGCACGTATCCAGTTCCAGTAAATTGGTTATAAGAGTCTGTACTACATGGTACGGCGTGTGCGCATGCGCCATATCAGCCTCCACGTAATCTACCCTGAGGAAACAGAACGTGAAAAGTTTGACCCTGTTTTCGTAGGTAACACGTATACGATACGTGGAAGATTTATAATCTGCTTCAAATGCATCTAAGAGCATAAACGAGCTGTTTCAAGGAAAGATATTCAGCGAGACATAGCATTGTTACGAATTGTTTCAACATTATTCCAGCATTAACTGTTGCCCTGCAAATCGTCTCCTCTAACAACGCCTTAAATGGAACAAATTTATTTTAATTACCTAGCATTTGAAAAAAAAAAGTTTTTGGCTAATGGTTACTAACTGATTGACACTAACGAAGATTTGGATCGCGTAAATTAAGCTTGCATGACTCTCCTCAGATGGAGGGCTGCCCTCGTCTTTGTTAGGCAAATACAAAACGTGCAGCCACCAAATATAACTAACTGAAGGCTTGGTCACCAAGCTTTCCAAATGTGTTAACGTGGCTGTGTCAGTTTATGTTGTTCATAATACCAATTGCACGTCCTTATTAAAATCAAGATATTACTTGTGAATGGCAAGATCGCAGCTTTGTGTCAGGCAAATATACGTCCCAAGCATTGTATCAAACTTCACAATCAACAAAAATTAATTTTGAAAAACTGTTAAGGTAACAAGCTTTCAAAAACCACAATTGCGATCCGTTTCAATCTTCTTAGTATACCTCCTTTTACTTTTGCTGCGTTATTAATACATTCTTTCAACGTTTTTAGTGGTTATTTTTATGTTTCATTCAATTTTTGGTTGCAGTTCCCACTGTATCAATTCAATTATTTTCGCGACACAGCTCATTCAAGAAAGCACAGTTTAAAATTTGAAGGCAAATTTCGACTGTTGTGCCTTACTTGAATTCTTCATCCTCAGCGGTATCCATAAGTGCTTCCATAACTCTTGTTTTACCAATTCCTCCTTCTCCTTCAATCACCACAACTCGCCTGTTGCCACTCACACGAGTATTGTCACATTTAATGGCATGAAGCAACTCCTTCATTTCATCAATTTCTTTTCCTCTTCCTAAAAGAAATCAAACATTTATTCATTCCGTAGCTTTTCCACAGAGTTGCGCTACTGGTTACATTAATTAAGAATGAATTTAAGACAGGAATAGACACAAGCTGATTGCTCTCACCCTGCAATGTAAACGGAAGCGAACAATGGCAAACAAGTTCATAAAGGATTCACAGGTGTACGTTTCTGAACAATCAAAGATTACAAATAATATTCTTAAGGTAATAAATGGTGAGACTATATTGTGTGACAATCTTCTCTAGTATCATAGCATCACTCAGAGGTACATTCCTTTGTACAAGAAAGCTTATACACGTTCTCCTCTTGCGAGAAGGAAAAAAACGATGCCGATCGATGGCAAAACTTCGTCCAGTTTACAGCTCACCAAGGATAGGATACTCATATTCCTCCTCTTCCTCTTCGCGGCTGTGAAAAAAAAACAGAGAACGTGTTCAAAGAAACTAAAAAAATATGAGCCGGAAAATTTCACAGGTTTTTCATATTCCTGATATTAAAATGCTTAACTTTAAGTCACATTTTCTCAGTCATTCAATCGAATAGATATAATCGAATTATCGACAATATGAGGATTATTGGGAAAATGAACAGATCCACATTTTCAGGTTTTTTGGTGACATCCGATAATACCACTCTTTGTGTTTGGGACTTTTTACAATACTTTTTAGCCAACTCGTTAGCCTGTCTGTTAATTGAACACTACTATTGATCTACTGCAGCCCAGTTTGGATTAGCGCCGGTGCGGTCGGCGGAGCGGGATGAAACTTGTTCAAACCCCGGCAGCGCCGGACCAACACTCAGGGTTTTAAAATAATTGAGGCGAAAGTTATGCCTTTGTAAAAAGACGGTTAGACTTTCTAGACTTCTCGTAAAAGGAAGATACAGTGCAAACCGTAGGCCTCGTCTCACAACTGTTTACATGTAAACTCTGTGGTATGTTAAAGAACCCACTCACTGTTTGCAAAGAGTAGGAAACGTAGACCCTGGTGTGGTGGTCTATCTCGCATGGAGGGAGGGACTACTACGGCCCCGCAGTAACTGGCGCCACGCGCGATTGCGGTGACCCTGCCAGTAGTTGGCGAACCTAATTTTTAAGTAAATAAATAATTGGTTTCATTCAAACAACTCATGAGTGTATAATCACTGTATTCAGTCTAATCCTCCAAGACTGGCACTATGGGAATCGGTACTGTTTTTAAGTTAAAAGTCAGGGAGTTATGACTTATTCCGGAATAAGGTCAATCGAATGCACCCTTAGTCTTTCTGAGTGAGCTATTTCAAGCTATTTTCCATCTTTTTAAACAGCTAGAACTTGTCTTGGCATCAATAGAATTTTAATAATAATGGCCCAGTTTTGTTATTTAAGACTATATTTAGCCATTGAAAGTGTTTCTTGTCGTCTGGTGCAGCGGAATTGTTGGGATGGAAATGAATTTAAACTTGAGGAAGCTGGGCCATCTTTTTCAAGTTTCAATGCTATGTCTGTTCATGGCTCTACAGGGGCATTTCGTGTAAGGGGTAAACGCACTAACTAAGCTCAGAATTGACCTCAAATTTCGGAGTACGGTCAGAAAAACGCGTCATGAATATATTACGGAATAGCAATAATGATAATAATAAACACATAATGACTGGGACAAAATTAACCGTTTCCAGGACCAGTCATTAAGTGATTTGTTATATAGCTGGAAATTTTGAAGCTGGAAATTCATTAAACCTCGCTGTAACGGCAGTCGTCGGTCAACATTCGCGGGTAACGGTGCACTGTTACCCTCTGACGTCATAGATTTTGGTTGCCTGCTCAAAGATTTTGGCGGGAAACATTTTCATTGTTAGATGTCATGTGATTTCGCAGAAAGCAATGAGAGCACGCGCGGTTGGGAAAAAATTTCCAGCTATATAAGAATCATAGTTATAGCATATTTCACTGGGGGATAAGATCCTTCAAGAAAGCTGTTATGAATATAGTACTTACTCATGGTGTCTGTTATATTCTCTCACTGTTCCTGGTTCAGCGATACCTTTCAGTTTTACAAAAGGCAGCGTGACGAAATCCTCCTTCTTCAACTTGGACTTGCCAGATCTGTAGGTGTCATCGTCACAAGACAGCACTTCTGGGTAATTCACCATCAGCCTGGCCGCCATGTTTACTTTCCGTCCAATAACTGTCAAAATATCGGAACAAAAATTACCGACTCTGCTCAACATCGACATGGAAAATAGACAAAGGTTCTCATAGTCCCCTTTCCACACACTACCAAAATTATTAACCTTATGTACTACTCTGTCTATTTAACAATTATTCCTCGAGCCCGAATGGGCTCTGAGTCAATAGCCCATGAGGCTGAAGGCCGAATGGGCTATTAACTCAGAGGCCATGAGGGCGAGAGGAATAATTGTTTTAGTAAAATCCAACTAGTTGGTCAAAAATATCGAGACAAAACAACTTTAGCTAGCAAAACGCGATTCAGCCGCCATTGTTTTGGTTTTCAAAGCCGGCGCTTTTCGCTACTAGTGGGCTATAACATGTAGCCTAGTAGTAGCTCAACTAATCAGAACGCAGCATTGATAATAGACCACTAGTTGGATTTTACTAAGATTGGATAATTGCTTATTCGCATTCTACTTTACCAGTGCCGTGTTACGAATACTAGGAAATTCCTGGAAAGAGTGTTAAATTCTCGTAGGGGATTTCAGAAACTTTACGAGAATTGCTTATAATTCCCGAGAGTCTTTTTTAAAAAGGCCCGTTTACCTTTCCAGGATTTCTCAAGAAGTTTTGAGTTTTATGGAAATTTCATTTCACAAGCAAATTACCAGAAATCATTTCGCAAAGGCACGGCCCGTTTGCTACCGTTAGTTATTATAACACTGTCTTAGCAGTCTAGTACTACCTCTTTAATTAATTCCTTTGGATTAATGGCCCGTGTGCCTTGTGTTGTCACTTTAGTGCAGTGACTACATATTACGTAATTTAAGGTATGGACCAGACAAACGATATCAGTAAGCGGTATATGAACTTGACTGTTACCTGTATACTCGTGTCGGTCTCGATGACCTACTACACCACAGAAGGCTCGGCCAGTTGTTACACCAATAGATTCGTTTCTAAAAGCAATTAACAAGAATGTATTTACAGGTTAACACCTTTTTTAAGGTTTATTGAGTCAATGATGTGATTTTAACAAGAATGTGTTTACGGTTTTCTAAGTCAATGTGATTTTGACCTTTCTGTAAAATCGCTGATCAGTTGCTCACAGAATCCATCGTGTTTGCGGCTGTTTTGGATTCGATTTTGTCTTAATGATAACTCTGGAGATGTTTTCCCAAGACAGAGAGAGATGGAGAGATTAAGTTTTCAATGGCTTTTTCTACCTGGCACTAACAGCGCATGTCACATTAAAAAAATCCTTATAGCATTGCGGCTCGCCACCCCCCCGGGCTCGCCACGTACGTAAGTCAGTTGTTCGAAGAAGTCGTAAGATCATCTCACAGAAGTTCAAAGGTCTATTCCTGTCGAGGATTCAACCCTGTTACATGGTTCATTACATCACCGTGAATTCAGGGTTACTTAGTATCAATTTGTCGTGACACTCACGTGATCTCCATGATCTGATGTAGTGCGTCCATTATCCGATGGCCAGCTTTTAGTGATCGTGCAGGATCGTCCTCGTGCTTATCCCCAGGTAAGCCAAATATAACAATAAATGTGCAACCCTGTCAAACAATCGGAAAATGTGGCAATTCAATTACTACCATGGTAATATTTTCCAGGTACTTGCATGTGTCGTCACTTACTGCTTTTTAGTCTTCAGAAAAATGCTCGTAGCACCTGCGTCAGAAAATGCTTGCAAATAACGAAATTTATGGATTTTAAGTTTTGAAAATGAATTTTATCCACTCAATAAGAACTGCTGTTCTCTGAGAGAGAAGATAGACTTGCAAACTGTTTTGTAGTTCAATTTTTGAGGTTCTGACAGCAATCTAGGACACACTATTCGCTATTTAGTCATGCTACTGATTCGCTATTGATGCACTAAAGTACTATGTAATTGGGCAGCAGTTTAATATGGCAAACACGCAGCAAGGTCTCAGCTACGCCTTGCCACCAAACAACAGAATTCTTGAAAAGGAACATTATAAACGGATGCGCAGTCGAAACTACCGTATTTGGGGCAGCCGATGCGCCACAATTTTCGGTAGTGGTAGAAAGTATGCGAAAGGCCATGACTGTAAAATGCCCAGGAAAGAGCCAATCACCCTTCGTGCTGATATATATTATTTAGTCTGATGATCGTTTAGTGCGTGAAGCTCCGAGTTACAACTTTTCACGCTCTGCATTTGTCATCCTCTGTAGGAGTACCTGCGGAAGGTCGATTTCGTCGCACGTTTTCCATCAAGTCGTCGTTTTTCAGGAAAAACCGTCGCATATCAAGAATTATTTTACGTGGTGACGTTAACGGCGAGCTCAGCGCGACCAAAACGACGACTTACACGAGATAGTAAACAGGCAACAGGTGTAGTTAGCAAAACAAAAACTCTGAACGCTCTGCACACTTTTTGGCAGATTTATTTGCCGTCATTTCACGACTACTGACGTGGTCAAACTTGATTGGAATGGCGATACAAAAGTCGTTCTAATCTCTACGATGGTCGCTTCATCAATACCAGGGTAAGTAGCGATCGTCGCGGTTTCAATTTCGTCGGAAATAACCATTACAAAGACTTATTTGTATTGCGCTCTGCATAATTTATGTATTGAGCACTCCCATAGGGTTATTAATATATATTATTTGTATTTTGTTATTATTATTATTATTATTATTATCATTATTATCATCATCATCGTCGATACTATTACAAAAATGTACAGACATTCTAAAATCATAAACTTAAGTAAACTTAAGGACCAAGCACTTAGCTAGAATGGGAACATAGATGTATTTCCGGTTATCGCTTCTCTACATCCGATTCGCAGGCTACTACTTGGTCAAATCCTTAAAATTTCGTTAAATGGTGTTTGCATTCTGAGACGGCGATGTCTGGGGGAGCTGTAGCGACCCCATTTTAAGACCCCCTATTTTTACCCAAAAAATAAAGACTTACTAGGTGGAGGGTCCCCTAAGCCTTCCCACTTTAAGTCGCTTGTCAGCTCCCAACTTGAAAAAAATGTTCCGCCGTCCCTGGAATTGCATTGCTGCAAATATCGTACAAGCATATAATTGCACGTGCCGAGTGACATCTGATATACGAACAAAATGACATTATAACTCATACCTTATCAAAGGAAAAGACTTTGTTCAGATTACCTGCCATTGTAAAATACAAGAATCAATTAGGAAATATGTCATAAGGGAAAACAATTGGGTAAATACTCATGATCTATAGTGTCTGGAAAAGTTTAATTTGGATTCTTGATTTTAAAAAGGACCAGAGTAAGGAAAGGTAGAAAGCCTTTAACTCCGCTTTACTATATTTATCTCTTATTCAGCCAATGCCCAGCATCAAATGAGTAGTAGCAAGACCTAGCAAGTCGGAGAAATTATATAATATTTCGATAGAGTTTCCAAAACAGTAAATAAAAGCTAATCATTGTAAAACAGTGCTTACCAAATCACTATACATAAGTGCAAACCATAATCGGTGTCCTCTTCTTTTCTCACTAATTAAATAGGGCTTCCCAATTGTAAAATATTTCCATGGAGTTTCCAAAGCAGTAAGCTTTTATAATCGCATCTCCATTTTCTAACTTCTTTTCCCTCATTCGTTAACTAATTTCCCACCAAATAAGCTTCGCCTCTTCTTTAAAAACGTTAACGTACTGTTGTCTAAATATCTCCGTTGTAAACCTTACCTCTCAGTCTCCTTGCACTTTCATGAATAACCTCAAAAGCCTTTTGTAAAGCCCAGGAATGGGAACTTTGTTTGGTGGGCAGCACCATATTTATAAATAGCACAGAAACTTGACGCATTTCTGACAACCATTGTAGGTCCTGGTCATGGTCGATCTACAATGCAGGATCATGAAACAGAGATTATAGTCATCATTGGTACAGACTAAGCAACGGTTTTTGTCACCAAAACCTGGAGAGCGGGACGCGGATGTAATGTACGCATGCGCAAGGGCCAGCACATTTGCTGGGGTGATTAAATTGCCATAAGGCACCATTGCACAAGAATTTTTACTCTCATTTATTTCTTTTTCTTTTTGCTTTTACTTTCTCATTTACGTTAGCTTACAACAGAAATAAATGAAATCTTATCGAAGTTTAATTGAACGTCTAATTTTATTTTCTACAGGGCTACACAAGGCAGATAAGTGGTTCAAATGCAGACCTTTGAAAGAACCGGTTTGGAGACATAGGCACGAAGATCAGCAATATCCTGATCGTTCAGTTTGCTGTAAATATCAGTTCGGTGATCTGAAAAAGAAGAAATTGAACCTCTATAATTTCATTAAGACTGGGAAGCAGAGAAATCGGTGTGCCAAGAAAATCGAAGTAAGAAAATCAAGTGTCATTAAAAGTATTTGTTTTGAAATCTTTCCATGAAGACCTTTCTCTTAATATGATTATGTATTTGAAGTTTCTGGTCATTGTTTATTATTACATCCATGAATATCGTTAAATCAGTCAGCGGCGCCATCGTACCTGGAATTGCACTTTTCTAGAGTTCATTTAATTTATTTTTCATCTCTTCAGTTTACAACCAACTCAACGGACTCTAAAGGCGGCTTTTCACTAGCGACGAAGTCGCAGTCGGAGTCTTAATCAGAAGCGTAGAGCTTATGATCTAGTGAAAACAGCGTTTCGATTCCGCTTACGATTCCGTCGCTTACGTTCCGTTTATGATCCAGTGAAAACCTGATTGTCGGAGTCGGAAACAGGAGCAGAAAACCAGACAAATCACAAAGCGCGTGGGAACGTGCGTCCTTCCACTTCTGCTTCCGGCTCCGACAATCTGGTTTGAACGTAAGCGACGAAGTCGTAAGCGCTGACGGAAGAAATGGAAACGTTCTGATTCTTCTGACTTCGATTCTGTCGCGCTTATGACTCCGCTTACGACTCCGATTTTTGATTTTCATTAGATCATAAGCGCTCTTGCGCGAGACTCCGCTTACAACTCCGACTCCGACTCCGTCGCCGGTGAAAACCAGCCTAAATCCTCCTACCCAATCCCTTGACCTCTTTAGTCTTATTCGTTAACACACGTTAACATACCCCTCCCGGGTATCTAGAAAAGTGTGGAATTCCGATGGGGGCTTATTTCCTTTTCCTCTCGGCCATAATCATAAAAGCTATTACAAATAATTTTCATGAAGAATTTTAGTAAATGCTTATACATCATAAAACGCCGTGGAAAGAAAGAGATTAAAACCTATGTGAAATATGATTGTTTTAAAAGTTACGGGCAAAATATAACTAACCTGGATCGTGGAAACTTTCACTTTTCAGCACCTTGCCGGTAACTTTACATTTCTGATCTTTCTGTTCTGCCTGACTCTTTTTGCTAAAAATTCTGGGAAGTTTTAGCTGTGGATGATAGCGAGACATCAAAGTACCCACATGAGGGCCGAATATTCTCTTGGCCACTGATGGTGTTGATAACAAGACAGCGTCTGTGGAAAGTAAGCCAGACATGAGAGCTAACTGAACACCAGTTGGATTTACTGTGGTCATAGTGGAGGCCTCTTCCTCTACTTTTGCACCAGTTACCTGGAAAGGAACAAGACAGAAACTAAGTACGTACCGATCGTGACGATAATGATGACGATAATATATAATGGTATAGTATGTAATGATGATGTTGGTGCTGATGGTGATGATGATTTCAGTAATAGAGTTCGAATTGCTCAATGGATTTGATACTAATGTTAATGAAGGTGGTGTTTATGGTGATAACAATAATGGTTGTGGTGATGGTGATTTTGATGACTTGATACTGTCAGTGCTGATACCGGTTAATACGCTTAAAATTAATATACACATAAGCTTTTCTTAATGAGACTCCTCCATACTTAATTCATGCGCAAAAGACAGAAGGCTATGACGTCATCAGCGCTAATGTATTCCCCCTCAAATAAATACATGCGATTTCCCCTCAAAAAAGGCTTAAAACATCCCTTCTATACTACTGGTGGTGTTGATGCTAATTATGATTACAATCTTATGGTGATAGTAACTGAATAAGGTTCATATATCAATCTTACTCTTGCACCCGGGGGAAACTCATTTATGAAAGTAAGGGGGGATACTCGTCGTCTCATTATGGGGTATCAATTGCAGATTTCAGTCTCAGGTACTGTTTTTAGGACGAACAGACAATATTTTTACCAGTACAGGTATCGCTTAGTGTTGAGCGAAAAGAATACTGTGTCGACGACATATTGATAAGTCAACACCTCGCTCTTATTTTGTGTTCTTTTTTCGGAGTAAAGTATAGCGTTACCGGGTTTAGTAACCGGGTTTTGCTTCCGTTAGGTGTTAAATTTCAATTGCCGAAAAAAATTCCCGGTCCCGTTCTTATGTAAGTCCTTCCACAGCTTCTTTGACTTAATTCAGCTTCATGTCCTTCCCTAACCACCAGCGTTTTCTTAGAAACTGGCCATCACGAGTTCATCGTCATACAGTCAGTGCACCGGTAACACTAAAAGAAGTTCCAAGCAAACAAGGAACTGAAATGAGTCACATTCTAAACTGGGGATAAAGATTTGAAACTGAACATGATCATTACAATAGAGTGAAAAACCTAAGCGGTTGCAAAAAGAACCTGAAAAAATTCATGCTTGACCGGGAATATAACCCTAACCTTTGCGACGACCGGACACAACGTTCTATCTATTGAGCTAATCAAGCCAACTGGAGAGCAAGCCATTGAGAGTTCGTAATATACCCAATGGTCAAAATGACACGAATGGAAAAATATAAAATCACTCATATTTTGAACCGTATCATCATACGAAGGTAACTTACCCTGTAATGAAATTCATCATCCATGATCTCAAATAAGAACAAAGACTGGTCGCAATTCAAATAAGCTAAACGTGATAAAATTATCGATCCAGGTTCCGCCCACTTCTCCGCTGCGTTAACGTCATCAACTGCTAACCCTGATAAATCGAAATGTTTGCTTTCCGCTATTCCCACATGAGTGATTTGCATTTTACCGACCGATAAAGCGATTTTAACTCCGAGTACAACCCCTACATCAGTCATGTAGTTATCACATTCTTCTTGAATATCTATGCTACAAATGATAGCTTTGTTAATAAGAAGCGTCATGTCCATTGCACTGTCTTCAGACTTCCATAAAGCGAGTAGGGCATCACCTAGAACAAAGATAAATTAACTTCTATGTAAGCTTTCATAGGAGTTTTCAAATATGTTGTCTTGTTAAAATTACAGTCGTACACTAATACGACATTCATTGCATATCTTAAGTTTGTACTTTATTCCCATTGAGAGTTGAATGTCAAGAGCGCCGCTCTATAGCTTTCATTTGAATGTTCAGAAATGCACTTTATAAAGTAAAACCTAAATGTAAGAAATTGTATACAAAGGATACTACATTGCAGCGTGGAAATACGAATTTCTTTCCGAGGCTAGTGTTAATTGCATGGCTGGTAAAACTCAGGTAGCAACATACGAAAGCTTATTGCTAATAGGTTTTGCTTTACATTTTGTAGCTAGTCCCTGACAGTTACCTCGCGGCAAATTAAAAAGAAAACAAGTTGCTATAACATACTACCCTGCGAACATACTCCCCTCCCATCTTCCTAGATAAGTCGCTTCCTCTTTCCCGACTCATCTAGGAAAGATCGGAGCGACTCTGCTAGATAGGACGCTGTAATATTAAAACGAAGCAGCGAACTTATATTTATGGCACTTCAAAGACAAAGAGCAGAAGACATAAAATAAAACGTGTATTTTCCTTTGATTGTGCCCAGAATCTTGGTTTGGACACGCTTTGTAATTAAATGATGAATTTCTACATACCAGCAAATTTTAAGACATCTCCTCCATGCTTCAAGATATCTGAAACAACGAAGCGTCCAAAAGAGTACCGCTGCTGTAATTTCTCCCCATGATACATATTATTGAAAACCATTTCAGACGGGTACATCATTGTAACTATTCAAAAACTTTATCACTATGTTGTATACAATGTGAAAACTTTTGATCAAGCCGTTACTAACAAGCTCATCTCCAGAATGCGCTGGCCCTATAGAAAAAACTTTTAGTTGTACCACTTTTTTTTAATGTTATTGTCTCTACAATACTTCCCTTCCATATATTAGGAGCTATTCCCGGCTAGTCTTTGATATGTATTTGAGATATGTAAGGGACTCATGTGAGTGATGTTATGACCAGTATATAGGTCACACATGTACACATCGGGGACCATTTTCTATCACCTACCTTCCACTATCTTTCCTAAATAAGTGTTCAATGTGGTCGTAAGTTTGTCTGTGCCACAAGATTCCTCTGAAGCTTTTAAGGCGTATGTCTCGCATAGTGATGTGAAACCTGGAAAAATAAGTTAGGCTTGTGACTATTTCACTATATTACTGTTGGAGAATGTGAAAAACTGTGTATGAATTTGAATCAGTTCATTTGCCATTTGAGTGGCGCGGTTTACAACAAATTGATATGGTTAAAAATTTTAGATGCAAATAGCCCTTTGGCTCAAGCTATGCCGGAAACCTCTTACCTGATATGTCAGCAAACATGCACACGCCCACCACGTGATTGACACGTGGCATAGACTTCTTATGGTCGCAGTTGATCACTATATCCGGGACATGTGTCAGTAGCTGACGTAGAGCAGTGGAATCCCCAGATTCTTGGTTACCGTTAGGTTGACCTGAAAGATGATTTTAAAAACAGTTATTATACTGGTTAGTGACTTTATCGCCATGCAATGCGTCACTGCGAGCTACAGGTCCTCGAAATATACGTGCCGACCATGTGATCATTGACGCCATTTTATCTGTAGCAATCCCCGGTAACAGCCTTGACACATGCAAGTAGCTATCATAGATGTAATCCGCTAGAGTCCATAGACTAATCACGGACGGCATTCCAGTCAGTAAATAGAGAGACCTTTAGTTTCGAGGACGCGAACGACTACAAGAACGATATTTGACTTCAAGTTTTTTCGAGTATCCCGCAGTCAAAAATAGACATCCCACAAAGCCTCATCGTACTTTTTTCACCAACATTGAAAGTTTGCACTGTTATTTCCATTTAAGGAGGTTAAGCCCTCCTGATCGCAAAATGATAAAACTTCTAACATTTGGTATCTCTTTTCCGCCACTCCGATATTCTCTCTAAAACTCGTAGTAGAATGACGCCGACAGTCACGTTTTCCTGCCAAAAAGACGCTGGTTCGCACGCGAGCACTGCTACTAAACCGAAAATCTCGTATTCGTAGTCGTCCTAGTGAGTAGAATCTCTAATCTCACATGACGGCACGTTTCGGATTAGATCTCAGGCACACTGTTCCATAGTTTGGGTACCACAAGAGAGAAAATGATCGGTAACCTAGGGTTAGTCTTGGTAATCTAGTCCTGACATTTTGGTTAATATATGGATCGCACTTAATGATCTGGTCAGTAAGTTTCAAACAGTCGTTTTGTTGTTGTTGTTCTTGTTACACCTGTGACAGTGTAAAAGAATGACAGTTACCTGCACGTTTTTGTGGTATAAGTACCTCCAGTTGGTCTTTACTCATTTTAAATAGCTCAGTGGTGAGTTTGTCCTTCACCTAAGCAACCACACTTGCCACTCATCTGAAAGTGCAAAACTTGTAGTTTAAATTCTGGCCCAGTTGTTCAAACCTTGGATACTTTTAGCGCTTCATTGGATAAATTACTATCCAGCGAACAAGAATTAGGAAAGCCAATGTTTTGGAAAGAGAGCGATCCAGTGAATAGCGTTATCCAGATAAATCCACCTTTTGAACAAGCTCGTTTGATATTTGCGCTTATTAAACTGCCATCACAAACCGTTACCAATCAATGACGCAAGCGAAAACGGCCAGCGCGCGTCCTGAATGCATGTATATCCGCCCTGCTATTCAGAAATCAAGTTTTGTATACACAACTGCAGCAAAATGGACGGTCCGCTAAAAAAAGTTAAATTACATTTAAGTAAAAATGAGTGCAAAAGTTCAGGGGACTTTGTTTCCTCTGATGTTTGCTACAAACCAGCCGTACACAGTTAATCAGCAAACTGAAAGTGAATATAAAGACTTTCCGAGCAAAAACGCCAGGTTTCACACCAGACAGACTGGTATTTTTGGTTACTAAATACCGTCAAGAACTGATTAATCCATCACTACTAGGTTTTACTATGGTGAGACATAAGGTCATCATACAGTTGTCATAAATGTTTTCAGCTACTCTCCCTTAACCAATAAGTTTTTTATCATGATAAAACAGCATCTATAGATATTAGATGCTTTCCTTTCTTTTCTTGGTTTCATTGCGCTGAATTTGCTCGAGAGAATTTTGCAAGTTGAAAGGGACTTTTAATAATGCCGTTACAGTGTTGACACACGCGCATAACCCCGGATAAGTAGAATACAAAATTTAAAAGATTTAGCACTTTTTGAAGCCGCAAGCAGCAATAGATCTCACCTGCATTAACTCGCGAAGAAATATTCTGCATTTTGTCTTTGCCCATTGCAAAGGATCTTCAATACGGTGATTTTTGAGAAGAGATGGAGAGACGGCCACATAAAGCACAAGATTTGCGCGTTAGTTTTGAAAAAAGTGATGTCACAAACATTACAGGTGACGTACGCCAAGTTTGCCACCACGCGCAAACATGAACCAGCAACCGAAAGCGCGCGCATCCATAGGCTCAGTCCCCCACCCGAGTTTTGCCGAGTTGCAGTTGCCCCTGAGGTCTAATATTAAGTAGTTTTCTTTGTCCCCATGTTGGAGTCATAATATCCTGATATACTGACCCATATGAATTCTTCGCAGCTGTAGGAGGCTCTGGTTTAAAAGCAGCTACGAAGACGACGGCAGTGACAAGGTCTCACTGTTAAAACAACCACTAAAACAAACAACAACAAAATCCAGGATTGGAAAAAAAAAAATGTTCATATTCGTGTGGACATAGCATGAAGTGTGACATGCCAGTTGGCACGTCCGCTCGAGCCCTAACTTCTGCTCCCGCGAGACCTTCCGCCCTTCCGCTGATCACCAGCAGCGCCATTTTGAATTATCCGCACGAAAAAAGCACTGCGGTTGCATGCTATTTGGAGCATGACTTATAACCATTAAAACAAACAACAACAAAATGACATGGTTTAAGGCCTCGGTTCACACAAATCCAGGACTGGAAAAAAAAAAATGTCCAGATTCGTGTGGACATCTGTGGACATGGCATGAAGTATGACATGCCAGTTGGCACGTCTGCTAGAGCCCCAATTTCTGCTCCCGCGAGACCTTCCGCTGATCACCAGCAGCGCCATTTTGAATTATCCACACAAAAAACACTGCGGTTGCATGCTATTTGGAGCATGGCTTATAGGCTAGTTCCCGTGTTAAGAACATTCAGCAGAGCACCTCGAGTTTTTCTTCTACGGCAGAAACTTTATAGTAACTCTGTACTATTCTCAAGAGCAATGGTAGGTACTGTTTGATTTTAAAAACGAGAACGCGCCAAACTTGATAACTTTTGATCTTCCACGAAGTTATACGAAATTCAGCCTTTATAACAGAACAATTTAAGGGTTAAAATTTTGGTGCCTCAAGATCTCTATCACTTAATATAAAGGTTTCAGTCATTTTTATATTAAGCAGGTTATAATATAGGGAGAGACATCTACGCAACTAAGATTAATATAATTTTTTATAAGTTTGCGTGGTTGTTGTCAACATGCGTTGTTCATTTTTGGAATATTAAAATTAGTTCAAGCTTAAGCTTATACTTTTTCTTTTTGACATACGCTAATTTTATTCAAAGTTTATAGTACTGTGATGCTATTGTTTCGTTTAAATACTTCGATAAGTCCCACCAAATGATTCTATGTTGTTCACTCTGCTTAAGACCCCACCCCCTTCTCTCCCCCATCAAAATGTGGTACACTTACTACTCTAAAATTTGTTAAAGGTTCATAATATTAATCCCAGACACTAAACAGTATCCTATCAACAAAAATCTCATAAAATCTAAAGTGAAATCTGTATCAAGTTGACCTCACATTATTAAAGAGATGGGTCACCACCAGGGCCAGGTTGTTCAAAGCGGTGTTAAAATACCCTAGGGTTAGTGCAAAATTTGAATTCAGATATAAAATCTTATAGCCAAATTTGTTGTGTCGCGCTGCGCTGTTTGCAAACTTCGAATGGGTTTTTCTGTTCCGTCGATCATTTGAGTGGGGGCGGAGTTAATGCTAATCACAATGTAAAGCACTCGCCTAGCTTGGCCTGAGAATGACTCTAGACTGCTCAAGAATAGCGAAGAAAATCGCGATGATGAGTGTCAAGGGCAAGAGACAAGAATAAGAATGATCAGAGAAATCTTTGAAGAAAACTAGTCGATTACTACCCAAAAGCAACGAACCTCAAAACACAGAAACAAACAAAGTGGATGGAAATGCACCAATCACAAGTAAAGATGTGTTTCCTAAGAGGTCCGCTAACATGATTGACAGAACAGAAAAACCCAAAATTCCTTTGAAGTTTGCAAAATGTGCAGCGTGATACAACGAATTTGGCTATAAAAAGCAAATACAATTTAATTCTTTTGGTCTGCAATTTGGTGATTGGATGCTGAAAAGAATAGGAAAGAGTATCCGAGAAAATGCTTTTAAACAAAAGAAAAAGAATCCCCAATTGAAATTTAACCCTAGGATAGCATTAATCAGTCTTCGAACAACTAAGCCCAGTTGTTTAAAAAGAAGAGAACAGGAAAGCCTGAAAAAATTCATGCTGTGCGGGTATGGTAGAGGTCATGGTTCGTATACTGAGTAAGCTTAAATTCTATCAGGCATTCTTTTTACAACTGTGTAAGTTGCATCTGTGGTAAAAAGTAAAGTTTCTATAATAATTTATTGGTGAGTGACCTATGTAATGTCCCTACTTTACCACTAAAACCAATAGCAGGTTGGAGTATTTTCATATTCAAAGGCGAATTAAGAGAGGTTTCTAAAAGCTTTTTAGCTCAGAAACAAACACTCCCTGGTAGAACCCCTTCATGTATAGAAAAGCTATTAGATTGATCCCTGAATATTTAACAACTGTTAGACGAGGTTGAGCAAAATATCTTGATTTGTCAATAGTGAGAATAGTTGATTTGCAAGATCAATTAATTTTTGAGAATTTTTAGTTAAGTCCAACACACCTTAGTACTGTTTTTGTTTAATAACCTTACCAACAGGCCACCCGTATAGAGACCGATAGCTTTGGAGAAATAGAAGTACCTGTGGACAAATACTATGGAGCTCAGACTGCACGATCCAAATTGAATTTCCCAATTGGTGATGAGAGTGAACACATGCCAGTGAGTTAACTTTTTAAACATTCGCATTAGCATTATACTTATATTATATGGCTGGCTTTGTAAGTGGAAAAGATGAAGTGAACCATGTGTTCTCATTGGTTATCAAAGCTGTTGAGATTGCGCTATCTTGCCCACTTGGAGTCACCCGTTTTGTGCTGCATGAAAAGATTTTTTTTGGCGATAATTTAAGTTAAACCCATTATTGACCCATGATTGTTTGCTCTCAAGATGACTGAATTAAGTCATGTTTGATAATCCAGGGCTAGTGGATTTTGTTCTTAACTTGCTTGATGGGCAAGTGCTGTTTTTTGGGGAAATTCAAATTACAGAAGGATTGTAATCAATCCTGTTAATCAAAAAGGGTTTTGGGGCTAGTTGAAATGACTTGTGGGCTAGTACATGCTACAGGTAGCTACAGCTTGCCCAAATGGCAGGCTGTAAAGCTGACTTTCTTTGCACCCTGCCACTGAAACCCTAAAAGGAACTTGGCTATAAATGTCCAGCTATCCTGATCAAGCAAGCTTGGTCAATATTGAATAAAGTATTTCCTTAAACTTCACAGAGAGGCTTTTAAGACAGTAACAAACAAGTGAATAACAATGCTTTATTTATTTATTTATAATTTTATTATGGCTCAGTGCTTTTGAAAATCTACTCTGCCTGGTAGATTCCTAGTCACACATGTACGCTCAGTTTCATATCCTAATGGTGTTCAGCAATGTGATTGCAATTAACATCTATAACCATTAATTTTTATGTTGCCCACTTTTGTTTGGTCAGTCACATGAGAATTTTGCTGGTCTTAACAATGTAAGTAGCGAAGCAGTTACAGCATTTTTTTACTGGTATTGACCTTATTCTAGGCACCCACAGGAAAGAAATGTGTTTTCAGTCGTGTGTCTAGAGAAGCACTGTGAGTAACAAGCATTTAGAAAGTATTTTTTTTTATTAAACAGGCTCCAGTGATCCGTGCATTTGGTATCCTAAAGAAAGCAGCAGCTGAAGTCAATAAGGAGTTTGGGTTGGATGAAAATATTGCCAATAACATCATGAAGGCAGCAGATGAAGTGAGATGTGTAGACTTAAAGAGACTAAACTCAGATTAATTAATTTGAGCAGTATGCTGCTTTGTCCATCAGTGTGCAAAAGTTATAAGATATGGGCAAATCTGTTTCAGTGTGGGCAGCTTAGCCATTTATGGCATTTAACTTGCCTGTAAGCCCATTCTTTACAGACTCGTAAAAGGAAAGTGTTGAAGTTCCAATGACTTAGCCAAACTTTAGGAAAGTATAGTTAACTATGTACATGGTTTGCACGCACCTTGAAAGTCCTTGAAAATTGCCATAGGTGCTGGAAAGTTCTTGAATTTCAGTGCTAATTAACTTTATCCAACCCAGCAAACACAGAAAAAACTTAGGATAAAATTACTCGATGTTGATGAAGAAGTAAAAAAGACCGAGACTCAAGGCTCCTTTTATGAACTGAATGAAGTCCTTGAAAAATGGGAAATGGGAAATGTGTCCTTGAAAAGTCCTTGTTCAAAAAAGGGTACGAACCCTGTATGTACATGTGTGGCTGATCGTGTTTTCTCAATTCTGTGATATTATTTTCAGGTAATATCTGGGAAGTTAAAGGACAACTTTCCACTGGTGGTGTGGCAAACTGGTTCTGGTACCCAATCTAACATGAACGTTAATGAAGTGATCAGTAACCGGGCCATTGAACTGATGGGAGGAGAAATGGGATCCAAAAAACCTGTTCACCCCAATGATCATGTCAACAAAAGTCAGGTTGGTACAGAATACACTTAATCTGATATTAAAGACTTTTAACAACATAAGTCTTCTCAGTTAGCCGGTGTTGGAAATCACAAGAGAATACATTTTAGGCTCCTTCAAAGTAATATTTCAAGAATCTCCCTTATGATTAAGGTACGCATGCCTGAGAAAACAGCCAACATTTCGTGACGCTGCCACTGGTTTTCTCACAAAGTGATGTCTGAGGAACAAGTACAAAAATTCCATACTGATGATGCATCACCACCCAGGTAAGCGTAGTGCTTCTAATTGGTTGTCCCAGGAAGAAAACTTGCTTCAACCAATCAAAAGCTCTTTCCAGATCATCAGTATGGAATTTCTGCACTTGTTCCTCAGAGGTCATTTTGCAGGGAAACCATAGTATTGACTGTTTTCTCAGGTTAGATATTGATTTTGTAGTGTCATTTTTTTCATTTCTCAGTCTTGTTATTACTGTGTTTCTACTGTAGAGCTCTAATGACACATTTCCAACAGCAATGCACATTGCGGCAGCACTGGAAGTCCAGGAGCGTCTTTTGCCAGGTTTGAAGAAGCTGCATGGTGCACTTGAGGCCAAGAGTACTGAATTTAAAGACCTCGTTAAGATTGGCAGAACTCACACACAGGTGTGTGATTGCAGTGCTCATTATTAAGGGTCAAAGATTTTGTGAGTAAGGGTCAGAACACAGTATTCTCCACAAGCATTTGAGGTTAGGCGAGCTTCCTTGCTTAATTTACTGAAGAATGGTTGCCACCTGGCTTAAAAACCAAAGATGTAACCCAACTGAAGCTCGTGTTGACATAAAGAACTAGTTATTTCAAAGACAAAATTGAAGAAACATTGTCTGGTGTATTTGTTTGTGCTTTCTCACTACCTGGTCCAGAATGCACTTACATTTATACATGTAGTATCAACTTGAGGGATTTCGTCGAATAAAAAATAGTTGACTATCATAGTTTAGTGGAGGAAATAGCTTCACCTATTTTTCTTACTTAAATCTGATTTAAATAATTATGTTTAAATTGACTTCAGGATGCAACACCCATCACACTAGGCCAAGAGTTCAGTGGTTATGTACAACAGATACAGTATGGGATCTCAAGAGTAGAGGGCACTCTAAAGCGAGTGTATGAGCTGGCTATTGGCGGCACAGCTGTGGGAACAGGTCTCAATACAAGGATAGGCTTTGCAGAGAAGATGGCAGCCAAGATTGCTGCATACACAAACCTCCCATTCACCAGGTATACACTGTCAGTCACTGCTGTAGTCACAGTTCTTGGAACCTGTATAAAATGACAGCTGTTTCAAACTGTGTACTCATTTTTTTTATTTGCCACTTTGACAATAATGGCGACAGCACAGGCAATTGAAATAATAACTTAAAATATTTGTTAAGTCTAGTAGTCCCAACGATCCCTGTTTACTAATGAGGGTGCCTAAATCATAATGTAGAAACGGTTCTATGCTGAATTGTCTCAGCTACTAATCTGTTGTACACTCCACTCTACAGAATTGTTATAATTCAAACTGCGAGGAAGTGTGGCCGAGTGGCTTGCAATCCGGAGGCCCCAAGTTCAATTCCTGCCCTGACCTCTAGGGGGCATTGATCTTGGTAGTCCCAAGGTCAAATCCTCGGCCATGCTTGTAAATAGCCAACTGGTTTGTCTCACTAGGCCAGTTGGGATTCTTAACCCCATTATGTTATGTTATGTTATTTGTTTCAAGCGTTCACGAGGTCCCAATAGCATTAGTGCTTTAAATAAAGCCAAGAGTAAATAATGGAAATTTATTTGTTTATTTTATTTTTAACCTGTCCTAATGTGACTAGCTTTCTCCTTTACACTTAGTGCTCCAAACAAGTTTGAAGCCCTTGCTGCACATGATGCTATGGTTGAGCTTCATGGTGCACTGAATGTGATTGCTTGTAGCTTGATGAAGATTGCAAATGATATCAGGTTTCTGGGGTCAGGCCCACGCTGTGGACTTGGAGAACTATCTCTCCCTGAGAATGAACCAGGCAGCAGCATAATGCCAGGTAGTGCTTGAAATTCATGTTTATTTACCACTGGCCATGATGCTAAAAAAAATAAAAGTTCAAACTGGCTTATTTTTAATTTCAGTTTACCCCAGATGTGCATTGCAACTCTGATCCTTGAGCTGTCGTTTACTTGTATTTTGTTCCTTCAGGTAAAGTGAATCCCACACAATGCGAGGCCATCACCATGGTAGCAGCTCAAGTAATTGGCAATCAAACAGCAGTCTCTGTTGGTGGGAGTAATGGCCATTTTGAACTGAATGTATTCAAGCCAATGATTATCAGAAACGTCCTTCAATCTACAAGACTAATTGGAGATGCATGTGTGGCATTTACAGATAACTGTGTTGTAGGGATCCAAGCCAATGTAGAGAAAATCAATAAGCTGCGTGATGAGTCACTCATGTTGGTGACAGCTTTGAACCCTCATATTGGTTATGATAATGCTGCAAAAATTGCAAAGAAAGCTCACAAAGAAGGCACAACATTAAAAGAAGCTGCCATTAGCCTCGGGCTGTTGACTGAAGAGCAGTTTAACCAGTGGGTGAGACCAGAAGATATGTTAGGTCCAAAGTAAACAGCTCCCATTGGACATCAGAGTAACAAAACAAGGCAGTAAAAAGATATGAAAGTGATTTAATTACAATTTAAAGTGTTTTAAATGAGAGTTTTTAATTACACAGGTAACTGTGCCTGTTTACTTTTCACAAAATTAAGGCACTATAGAGAAGGACTCTTTGAGAATGTGTCTAAACGAACAGGATAAAAAGAAACTAAAAGGTCTCCATTACAGGAAAATGATAAGCCAACTTTGACGTAATTTATAGTTAGCTGTTATTGACTGTACATGCACCCATAAGTGTTGGAGTTTGTTATTGGGCATGGTAATGTGTGTTGTCTTTTTAACTGTCAGAGAACAATAAAATTGGATCAATGATAAAGTGAACCACAACATGATGAACCTCTTAAAACTATGAAATTGTTTTGTTTGGTTTTTATCCAACCATCTCTATAAATTAATTACAACTTATGTTTATACCATAAACATTGTGTCCCAGTTCTCTCAAGTGTTATGTACATTGCTGTGGCATGAAAACATTTTAACAATAGTGATATATGATGTCCCTTTACAATCCATCAAGTAATATCAGCTATTTTCCAAAGCACTGCTTTTCTGGTCCTCACCATTTACATCATCTTGTAGTACACTGTATAGAACTCTGATACTCAAGGTACAATCTGAACAACATACAATGTTATGTCCATTTTCCAGATCACTCTCGGTAATCAAGTACTCTCCACTGCAACGACATTGGCTTGAGTAACTCTGTAAATCTGAAAAAGTGAATATTGAAGAAGATTAAGTGCAGGATATATCAGTGGTTTTGATGCCTTGAAGAAAATTATTTTCAACTTTTACACCTTAAAACGAGATTTCTGCATTTTCTCCACCTAAAATAAACTGAGAATGGTTAAGCTACACTTTTCATCATCTCGAAGGAATCACTTCAAGAATCTTTGCATCGCTAAAAATCGCATGACAGGGTCTCTAAAGCAAATAATAATAATATTATTTGCTTTGGAGACCCATCAGCATCATTGAAGTACCTCACCACTTTCCTCAGTTTGTCACCTGGAGGGGTGGGGAAAAAAAGGACAATGCTGGATTGTAAACAACAATATACACTGTAGATTGCTAGTTGCCAAGTACATTGTACAATGGGAGAACTACCCTCTGATAGCCTTCTTTATCTTAATTACAGCACTGTGTACCGTATATTGGTCACTTTACCTTCATGAAATTCCATGTCATCAAGATCAACCTCTGCACTGACCGGCCAATCTTGTGATAAACTCTGCTCTATATGCAGTAATCAAAGGGAATGAAAACAACAAAAAAACATTTACAGCAATTATTGCAAGTAACAATATCTTGTGGAGCCTTTATAACACAAATACAAAAAAGTGGATATTATGAGGTTGCATAAACCATGCCTGTATACAGATGTCAAAATGGAAATTAACCATGCACGTACAGTGTAGTATTGATTATAATCGTTTTTAATACTATTCACATGTACCTTTCAACTGTCTGTCACAATTTTCTCTTGTTTCATTGTCACTTAAAAGTTTCCATGCCTTATCAATGGCCACGAACATTTCCTTAGCCTTGTCACGATCTTCCTCTGTTAATGAATCATCAAGCTTATCAGGGTGAAACTAAAAAAATAAAATTCCATTGCCTTGCCTCAGTGGCAACAGGTTATAAAACCAACCAACAGGGATGGTCAATGAGAGCCGGGGGGGCAGGGGGGGGTCTGAATGCTGATTCTTGACATTTATAGAGATTGGCTAGATTGCAGACTACCCGGCCCACTAAATATCTACATGTAACTTTAAAAACTGCTCCAGCAGTCAGCCAATTTACTTAATTAATTCTGACATAGCCTGCAGTGCAGGCGTTTTCTTTGAGCGCGCAATTTGCCCGTGAAAGTGCCATGTTGATACTTCCTGAAGAGAGGAAGAGATGAGGCAAGTCAAAGGGAGCGGGGAGGGGGCGGGGAGAGAGAAAAGAAAATGCCGTATTTTTTCTCCCCTCCCCCTCCCCACTTTCCTTCTTTCACCTTCACACCTACCGTAAGGGTTACTATTTCTAGTCTTCCCAATCTTCCACTTGCATAAAATCAACAGCTACAGCTAACAGCTACGGCAGCTACAACAATATTACGAGCACGGACAAGGTTTCGCTCACCCAAAATACGCCTGCACTGCAGGCTAATTCTGAAATTGACTGTGGGACTTTGGGAGCACCAGTTTACGTTGTTCTATAAGCACACTATTTACTTGACATCAACTGGGCTGTGGTCGCACTAGTTGAATACCCACTTAATATTCACTTTTCGGCAACTGCGGTAGTGGAAGACTGCAGGAACACTCGTTTTACCCTCTTAAAGTAATAATATTTTAGTCAATGATGAATTTTAATATTGCTTAATGATCAATGCTGTGAAATTAATTTTTTAATTATTATTATTATTATTTTTTTATCCATTTTATCTTTTATAGAAAAATTTTTTTTTTATTTAAACGTCATTACTTTTAATTTTATTCATTTTATTTAGGCGTCTTGCGTGATGGTAACCCCGTTGCAGGACTATAAATTTTTGAATAAAGGTTGAATAGAACACAACTGCTGGACTGTGGGAGCAGTTTTTCAAGTAAGATATTTAGTGGCTCTGAAATTCCGCAATTGCTCCGAGAGATCCAAGAAAGCAGGATACACAATCGCCAAGACAGATGTCTCCTAATCCATCACAGGTCTATGATAGTCAATACAATAAAATTATAGCATCATCTTAACTTGGTAATGCTGTGGCACCGGACTTCATAAAGAATTCCAAGCGCATACATGTGCTACTAGCCTTTTGAAATAAATATAACAAAAACCTGCGGGTAAGAACCTGCATTTACGCAAATTCGCCTAAAGAGGTTCTTACAAATACACTGGCAAATAACAAAAGTTTTAAGCTTAACTTTTAAAAAAGGACAACTCTGAAAGCTGTCTCAACCTTTGTAACCAGTTGTAGAAAATAAGGTTAGTTATCGAACCTTGAGCACAAGTTTTTGGTAAGCTCTTTTGACTTCCTCGTGTGTGCAGTTTGCCGCAACGCCAAGCACCTTGTAAGGGTTGCCGACTTCAGAAAAGCAACTCGCCATTAGAAGTCGCCATTTTGAAAACGGGGATCTCAAAGGAGAATGAGCTCTAGTTTTTTTCTTACAGATTTCTCGATTGGTCAACGTTTTGAAACAGGCGCAAGGAGCCAATCAGAGTTGTTCTTATAAGGTCGGGACAAAAAGTACGCGGCTACCAAGCATACATGAACCAAGATGGCGGCACTCCGATGCCTCCACTGTTTGCAAGTACTACGAGGAGTACAGCGTTCATCATTTGCTAGCACTTTCTTTTCACTCAGTAATGAGGTAATATTTGGTCTTTTATAATTTGCTCTCAATTTTCTTAGTTTTGCATGTACAGTGAGGAAAACTTGTCGAATCAGGGAGCTTAAGCAACATCGACGCGACGGCAACGAGAACGACAAAAAGGCAATAGCTTTGGATTAGCAATACATCACACTTTTTTGTACTTTTCTTTGCTGTTACTGCACGACTACAACGTGAAAAATGCTAATTTTCACGTTTTTTGGAGGACGTGAACATTTAAGATAAGACAACGACTTTCTTTTTCTTTTCCAGTACTTTGACATAGTCCATTAGAATTCAACTCCATTAAAGTTTGTCAACATTTGAAAAATTGAACGAGATGGAATAAATGCGATAAAGTTTGGGACAGTGCAAATTCACTTTTTAAGTGACGTTTTCGTAGCCATTGCCATTGTAGTTGCTTTATAAGCTCCCTATTTTAAACCATTGGCGACCACGCAGCTTGTTCAAAGTTGTCACTTCAGACAACTATACCCCGCTGACCCTCTGCGCAGTAAATTTTCACTGGAAATCGGCTTTTAAAATTCTCTTATAAATGTCAAGAATAGGGGGATTTTCAAATAAAATTCACTAACTGCGTATCGAAAAGTGCCCAAAAACTGAACCTGAAAGTAAAAATTCTATAAAATTCGCCCACATCTTCACAAAAGTGATGCGTGTTATGTGAGAAGCACTGAAATGAACTTGGATACTGTAGTCTCACGATCGTGTTTTGAGCTAATTTTATGAATGAACAGACAAAAAACAGTAGACAGGGAAGTTATTTCTTGAAATTTTTTATCCAAAATCCCAGTGTTAATCCTTTAAAGCAATTCATGTAACACCATCTGGATCATGGATCCAGTCACACAAGTAAAATTGGCTGAGCACAGCCGATTTGGCTGGGGGTGGGGTACATTTTGTAAAGTGAGCATTCTATTCAACTTTCTCTTTCCACTAGTGCCTTTTAACGGTGTATTTTTAACCTTGAAATGTGGAACTTTGGTCTTGAAGACCACCACATGGAGATCACGTGGCAGCCATCTTGTTGAAACTGGATATATTTCACTAAGATGTGAAAACGTTTTCTTCTACTACCCCCTAAAAAAACACCAAATATATGCAAAGAGGACAGATTCTGATTGGTCAATCATTCCTAAATCCTTTTGAAATAATAGGGGACAAAAAAACTATTTTGGGGAGGAGGGGAGGAATTCGTGTTCATGCACAAAAATCAAGGCCGGTTTTGGCTGGTTGGCTGTCTTTGAGTTAACATTTTTCTAAAATTGGAAGTAAAATAATGCATCAGTTATGAAATGGTTAATATGGTCTCCACTTAAAACAGTTTTCACTTCTGTCGAATAATGCATTCCCTTCTAAGTTTTCCTTGCCTCTAATGCAACATTAAGCTACATTACATACTTTTGCTGATCAATGTGAATCTGATTTTTGCCCCATGATAAACATTGCAGTTACGTTGTGGGATATTTTCTGTTGGACTAGCAATTCAAAAATGCAGGTATGACAAACGTCATTATCATTTTTATTTTATTGTGTGCCTTGAAAATTTGATATTACCCTGGTATTAAAAAGTATATTTATGGGCATTAAGTAAAGTGCATGGTAAAAAGATTACGGAAGTGTATCCTTGCAAACTGTGCTGTGATCCAACTGCACTTTGGGCCTCACATAAACTCCCCAAAATTAATTTAGAGCCTGTTTGCAAGCTTATTTAACAAACCTGTCATAAAAGAAGCAATGTCCATATATGCCATAATACTATTGAGTCAAAAACAGAGAGCATGTGGCATCATGGGAAGGTTTGTTAATTAATGTGGTAACATTGGATCTGTCAGATGACACCACATGCATTAATTAGCTAGAACAAGAAGGGATCCATATCCATCTTAACATCGGACATTCAGCCCAGTGAGACCCCTTAATATTTTAACACCAGATGTTAGTGGTTGCATATGAAGTGTCAGAGACTGGGCCCAAGAGTTATATAGTTGAGATTTTGATTGAAAGGCTACTTCTACATGTGAGCGAAATCGATGGTGACTGAGGGCTTTGAATCTTGTGTGATTGTGATGTGGGAGTGAATTAAACCTGTTGCAAAACTCTGTGACTTGTGACCTTGTTGGGGAAACTAAACTATTATTGGTACTGTAGGCTTTCCCAACATGAAGTTAAGATTTTAAGCTTACTTGCTATTGTCTGCATTAGAATGGATGAATGAATAAATGAATGAGTGAATGTAAGGTCGTTTCCACTGTTCTCATACGTACAGTAACCCCTTATCTTTGGAAGCCCAAGGGACTGGGTTCAATACCTGCTATCTCCCATTTTTTTACTCTGTTTTATAAAGCGTTGTCATGACAAGGAGGAAATTGACACTGATTGTTCCTAGGGCTTTTTGAGAAGGTTCAATAGGATATTATGCTCCTTTATTTTAAAAATGTAGGGTGTGTGTTGATGAGGAATGGTCTTTCAAAGATCATATTACACAAAACATACTCTGTTTTGACTTATGATAATTCTCAAGTTAGTTTAGCCAAGTTAATGTCTTTGCTATTTCTATCCACTCATAATTGCCTTTATGTGCTGATTGAGTTTTACTCGTATAAATGAACATTTTTTAATTGTTGGTGGTATTAAACATTGAAAATCACAATGTACTGGGAAAGTGCAAATAATCTTTCCCTACTATTATGTAAACATTTAATTGAAATGTCACAAATTTGCATAATTCCAAAAAACTGGCATTTTTTGAATTTCATCTGATGGTAATTTCATTATGACATTTGCCTGCTTAATCTTTGCTCTGCTTAGTCCCAAAACCGCGTAGACCTGTAAAAGCTTTAACTTTGCTTGTGGCTGCCAAACCAACCTTACGGGGCATTATAAAGCACTTATAGCACGTAACAAACAGTGACAAAAAGTGCACGTGTCAATTAGAGATCGCAACGCAAAGTCACTGCCTTAAAGAACGATTTTATTTTGCAAGCACGTGGCCAGTTGAATTTCCTCTCACAGGACTATTTTCATGTAAGGCTTGCTCTTTAAATGGGCAAGATAAAGTGAATCCTGTGGTCTGATTGACTACCTTAGTGGAAAAGATCGGCTTATTTTGTCTGCTGCCGCTTGTTTGTTCAAAATGGCTGGATAGAGGGATGACCAGCCATAGACACATTCAAATAATGACTTATGAACAACTTAATAGAAAAAGTGGCTTCTCCCTCATCATGTAGACTTTAGGGTGTTTGATGCACTGTAAATGATTTCTTTTTTTTTACTAAATAGGCATAAGGGAAATTTCAGCTCCTTGGAAAGCCGTGGTAAGAGTCGTTTATTATTTTGTTAAAAGAAAAATCTCTTGATCCCTGATGTCAACTCAAATTTGTTTGTTTTGGCAGTTCCAAGGCTCTTACTGGTGAAAGACTTTTCTACATTGGCCACTGAAAATGTAAGTCTTTTTCTCAGATTTCACCAGATCATTGATACACACATTGTAGTTCTACTGGAATGCATGTATATGCATGCACTATGTTCGCTTCCTTCCCCTAGACCGTTTCACTTAAAGTAAAACTAACCGCAATCTTGACCAATGGGCAAGAGAGAAATAATAGACAATCTTCAGATTTAGAATAAAATAACAGTTATCTTTACAAAATGTTATTATGTTTTTATTAGAACAGAGTTCTGTATTCACTGATTAATGTTAAAGTCAAAGGAAGCGATGAGGCTGTGTTAAAGTCCTACACTGAGTTTATCATGAAAGCTGCTTCACATTTAAAGCTTGATATCTCTGGAAGGTACATGGTAGAAAATAAATGTTCTAGACAAACGTAGTACCGCTGCTGCATGTGCATCATCAGGCTTGAGAAACCTCAAAATATTTGTGGGGCATGAAGGCGTGTCTTTTACGTGTATACTAGCACCAATTCCGCTTGGATCTTTGGCTTTTAATTTTAACTGAAAGGTCTCATTTGAATTTCAATATTGTCAAAACGGTCTAAGGTACTTGAAAGTAAACATTCACCCATATTATTAGAGTTTTTTGTGTTATTCAAACCGTCTTAATAAAACAAGGCATCATTGTACTCACACGATTCTAGAACATATGTTGCCTGTTACCTCACGCTCCACAACATTTAATTGTAGTTGTAGCTTTGGTTTTAAAAAGCCTTGTTAACCCCTCAAGAAATCTAAGCAAATGACTGTTTGCTGCGAGGGAAATATGCTGCAACCAATCAGAAGGACTACCCTGATCTGGGTAGTGACACGTCATCAGTATAGAATTTCTTTGCTTGTTCCTCTGACGTCATTTCGCGGGGAAACCAGTGGTGACGTTCCGGGCTGTTTTCTCAGGCAAACGTACTCTTTTCTGATTATCTGTAGGATTCTACTACCTACATCCATTCAAAGACACACAGTTTTAAAATCTCCTCATATTTACAAGAAACACAGGGCTCAGTATGAGATAAGAACACATGCAAGAATGTTACAGGTATGTGTTGGTTACATCCTGAATAGGAATGTTGGTGACTGTGACTTATGTTTTGGCAATCTCTGCAGAAGGTAAAATCACAGAGTAAAAGTTAATAGTGTATCATCAGTAATGAAGGCATGCGTGGAATACCGTATTACTCGATTAAACGCTGCGGCGTTGATTAATTTTTTTAGCTCTTCCGATTCTGCAATTATTGGAGGGCGGCATTTATTTGAAAATCACATTTTTAAAATCACTGACAACAATTACGATAAATCGACCATTTGCACCTAAATATTGTGCAAGAACAGAAAAAAGTTTAATACTCCAATGTATCGGTTTTTACGTGAGGTAATTCTGTGTTTTTCACAACATGAAGGTATATAAAATAGTAAATTAGTAAATGAATAAATAAATAGGGTGTAAAACTCTTCTTTTTTTTTTCTTTAGGTTAAAAATGTAACTGGTGATACAGCAGATACGTTCCTGGAGTACATCCAACGGAACATCCCCGAAGGTGTCAGCATGAGTATTGAACAAACAGCGCTGGAGTCGCTGCCTGAGTTCCTAAAACCGCCTCCTCAAGCACAAATTTTCACTGAATTAAAAGACAGTTAGCCAATGTATGCTGAGGACAGCTTAAGGACATGTTGAAATGTATAAATATGAAGAGAAAGGCATGAACCACCAGTAGAGTTAAATGCCTGGCTGGATTAGCAAACAATCCTACACCCTCCCCACCTCCTGAAATATCTGGTTCTGATTGGTAAGAAAATATTTTGTGGCCAATTAGAGGAGCTCTCCGCGTGAAGACCAGCTTCAGGCGCTGGGTAAACCAGGAAATATTTTTTCAAACTCCAAGTTTAGGTCCTCTAGAGGAAAAACGAATTCGACCTCGGCCAAAAACAGCTGTGTAAGCAACATTCGTTTCTCGCGCGGCTGAGCTGATAAACGTTTTCGTTCGCAACAATGCTTTCTATTTTAGCCTGGTCTTGTAAGCCTATTGTACTTTAAATTAAAAGTATGACTGGAAGCGCGGCTGCTGATCTTCACAATCATGTTAATCGTCTCCACAAATACAGCGACAAATTGCTTCTGAGAACTCGTCTGAAGAACACAAAAACCTTAACCTTTCCAAAGTGTAAAGTCAACACTAGCCTACGAACTGCAGACGTATTTCCTGTCGTCGCTTCTCTCCCTCCGAAAGAGAGAAGCGACGACAGGAAATACGTCTGCCGTTGGCAGGCTGAGTCAATACGGAAAAAAATGTTGTTTTTCTGGGCGGGAATCAAGTTGTAAGTTATGCCGGGAACACACTTACCGTATTTCCTCGAATAGCCTTCTCTCGATTAATCGCCTCCCTTGGATTATCGCCCCTCCCCCGCCCCTCTCGCCATCTTCTCTTCCTTTTATCTCCTCCCTGTCAAGTTGAAATGCAATGAGATTTAGCAAAACTGATCAGTGACGATTCAAGCTCTGAAAATTAATCAAGGAACTAAATTTGGAACACTTAAAAAGCCCATGTTCAGTTTATTCGACGTGATTAATTTTTGAATTAATGGGAAAATAAAAGAAAATATTTGGGGCGTGACTTCCAGTGAGCAATATATGAAATAATCGCCTCCCTCGATTAATCGCTCCCGGCTATTATTCGAAGAAATACGGTACTTGGTTCAAATGTCAATTTCTCAATGTGGTAGAAAGAACCACCGGTAGAAGATCAATTTGCGTGAAAGAAATCGGGGACTTGAGCCAGGTAGAAATATCTATGGGCAGCCTCATTCTCTCTTGTGAGCAGCCCAATTTTTACCCTTTGCCATTACCAGTCCGTCACTACTGCTACTGCTGCTGTTATGCCCTCTCTGAATGCTGGTGTCGGCAAATGAGAGTTCAGCATCAGCCTGGTCTTAAGGGGGGGCAACCTCCACAGCACCTCACACTCATCATCCAGCTACTGTTTATCAGCTTCATGAGGGATGGAGGGAGAGTAACTATTTGGCATTGCCATTTGCCGTCTCGATATCACCAGTTCATGACAACCAATCATCCCTCTTGTTACTGGGCGAGGACCGCACCTGGACTATTAAACCTTGCGTGGGTCTCCAAAACGAACCCAGGAGTGAAGTCTGGAAAACTTAATAGAGGCATTTTAGTATTTAAACAGTAGATATAGGCATATTTTTTTCCCCTAAAAATTTTTCATCTGTTCGGATTTCCTAGCTGAAAGTCTATTGATCCGAAAATTATAGGGATCAAAACTTACCTTTTCGAAAATTTCAGCCAGAAAAAAGGCTCCCAAAAATTCTAGGTGACCTTTTAAGAGTAAAAATGCGTTAAAAAATGGGCAATTATACCATTTTTTAGATGTTCGGAAAATCTTAGGAGAGGTAGCCCAGCAAGAAATTTTACAACAAATGTTCCGAAAATTCTAGATCTCAAATCGTCTTCCAAACAGATATTTTCCGAAAATTGACGTTGGGTGCCCCTGTAACGAGTTGCGACAAACATTGAAAGTTCACAGTTCGCAGTTCACTACCCTAGGTGCCAGAAGCTTTTCATGCGCGGTTTCCGGTTTCGGTCAAGTCTTAAAAAGTGAGTTCGCAGCCAAGTGATAATATTACATAATTACAAAAGTCTTCCAAAAGGGTACAATGTTCAAATGAGTTTATGTTTCACTCTCACATGAGATTCTATGTCACGCAATTGTCGGCGACTAGGTTTTATGGTAGGCTGAGTGTGTACAGCCGTTCCCTGCCCTCAGAAAAAGTCACCCTTGGCAGCCCAGTTAAAGTCGCCTTTTGGATATTCTAGTTAGTGTTTTGTACAGCTAGGGAATATTTATTAACTATATTTCCTCATTCTTCAACGTAAATTTAAAAAAAAAATTCGGTGAATTCAAAACCCCAACTAATTAACCACAAGCTTATATACAATCAAACTAGGTGAACGCTTTGGTAACTGAAATTTTAGTCTACATTTCTTCATTTCCTGAGCATATAGAAACTCAGGCTATTTTTTTAACAGAAGAAAACTTTCGTTGAATTTATATTAAGTGCTTGATCTGAGTACAAAATTAAACTTGAGGACGATAAGGCATAACTCAGTGGTGCCGCTTAGCCCTCTTAGCATGCTGTGATGACACTGATGGTAGCCTGGCAACACGTCCGTTCTCAAAAATTTTATACCTAGGATTAAATAGGCCTAGCCTGAATTTCAGTCGTCTCCTCCAGTCGCAAAGTGCTCAAATTCAGGATAAAGTAAACCGTGCTCAAGGTTTGGTAAAGCTGCCAAATGGTTTTTTTCTCAGGGGCACCCAACGGCAATTTTCGGGAAAATAGCTGTTCGGAAGACGATTTGAGATCTAGAATTTTCAGAGCATTTGTTGTAAAATTTCTTGCTTGCAACGCGGACATACAGTTCACCAAGGAGATTGAAGAAAATGGTAAGATACTCGTTTTTAACACTGATTCCAACTCTCAGACCAACTCTGGCCCTGTTACGACAGCGAGCTCGTTTTTCATCCCTCACTCCCGGGAGTGATGAAAAACGAGCTCCCCTAAAAACGCCTGCGTGGGAGGCTAGCCTCTCCTAGGATTTTCGAACATCTACAACCTAGAATTTTCGGGAGCCTTTTCACAACACGATTGGATTCTCCATCTGATTTGGTCCAAGTTTCCGTAATAGTCTAGTAATCCCCAAGATGTCAATTTGATGATCAACTACATAGTCTTTGATAAATAGTGCCTTATTATTTATAGAGCACGCATTTAAAAGACACATAGACATGTGGCGGGCATTGCTGGCTTTTAAAGGCAATCGCTGAATGGTAATCAGGTCATTGGGATTACGACAATTAGGCGTATGAGCTTCTGTTGATGACTTCGATGTGTATAGTACGCGGCTGAGACAAACTGGTTTTCCATGTGCCGTATTGACGATGATGTTGTATTTATTGTCATCAGGCTTGAGCGACGAGTGGGCATTGTTTTCGAAATAATGCGAGTAGATGTTGAATGGTTGCATGATAAATGGCTGTTTTTCTGTCGATGAGAGCGTTGAGTAATTTGCACTGGTATTGATAATTGTGAATCAGGACCAGGCCGTGAGTGTATATCACCACTGAGTTGAGTGTGCAATTCCAAAAAGTTAAATGAAGCCCCGGGGGGGGTACTTTAGGAATTTCTGGGTGGGGATGTGCCGCTGGAGCCCTTAGCCTATACCAGAGCTAGTTCAAGTGAATTTTGCTACCCTGTACTAGAGTATACTAGAGTAAACTCCCCAAATCCCCCTATCCTAGAGTAGCTGTTTCCCTAGTCTAGATAAAATCTGATCACTTTCCTGAAAAATAATACCCTATTCTAGACCCAAACGCTCTGATTTATATACCCTATCCTAGAGTAAACTGCTTGAAAACCATACCCTTCACAGCGGCACATCCCTTTTTAGCCCATATATGGCAGTACCCCCCCCCCACCGGGAATGAAGCCACTGCATTGTTGTAGTAGGTAATACGAGATTTGTACTATCGTTTTACCTTGAACGCCATGAATGCTAATGTTGATGGTCTTAAATAAGCTAATTTGATATGCAGATTCAAACAATTTACCGCGAAGAAGACAAAAGGACCAGAAGTAGTGTTGATTGTAATCCCCGTTGTTTCCATGGTTGGCGAAGATGCATTGAACCAGTCACTACGGTGGCCCAGAAGGGTCACACATGCAAAAAAAAAATGCTGCTGCAAATTAAAAATTTTACCTGCAAATTTAAAATTGTACATGCAAACTAAAAATATTACCTGCAAACTAAATATAGTACATGCAAACTAAAAATTGTGCTGCAAATTGAAAATAAAAAACATATCGATGCAAATTAAGCACGGGCAGTATGAGTGATGAGGATCTGGTCCAAGCCTTGCGACCTGGCCTTACAGTCGTCGGCCCATTCACGTTTCATGTTTGTAATATCTTTAGTTTGCATGTACAATTTTTAATTTGCATGTCCTATTTTTAATTTGCAGGTAAAATTTTTAGTTTGCAGCAACATTTTTAATTTGCATGTGTGACCCTTCTGGGCCACCGTAATACGCCTCCAAGACCAAAATTGTCAAACATAAAATCATGAACTCTGCTGTTACACTTTATTTTTTCCCAGGGAAAGCGGTCTGACTTTTACCAGATATGAAGACATATCCATCTGTATTTGAGATGATTCCAAAAGAGACGGTTTCAAGGCATAAAAGTACCAAAATCAGAGAGCGCACAAAGCCGTGGCACATCATTGTAATCCCAGAGGCATTTGTTTGTATATGTTTTTACTCGGCGCTTCGCGCTTCGTCGCTCAGGCGAAACATATCAGCAGGCAGGAAAAACACCTTTGACACCCAGGGTAGCAGGGTAGCAGGGTATCAGGGTAGCAGGGTAGCAGGGTAGCAGGATGACTTGACACCATAAATGTCAACAACCTTTCCGGCAAACAGAATTTGAAGACAAAAATGAATTGAAAAACTATAGTCTTGATGCGTGTTGATGATAGCTCCTCGGTATTGCACTTTCTGTCCATCAAAGGAAAACCCCAAATTCTTTTAGAAACTAACTCCATTGTTGTTTTCCTCTCATCCGTATATAACCGCCTCAAGGTCGCGTGCATTTGCCCAGTTGTATCCTCCTACAGCACCATGGCGTATCCTGTTGTTCTGCAAGTTGGGTCCGATTCTTTTCCAGACAAGACAATCGACCTTCTATCCAACTTTTAGAGGTAAATATTATTCTTCTTTTACCTTCTTTTGGTCTAGTTAATTCACAGTGTTTTCGTTAATGGAATAAAAGAATCACTCAGATCAGTGAGCCAGTGCACTGAAGGGCAAACGACTTGAATAATAATCAATAGGGCAGAGTGGGACTGAGTGCATCGCTAGTGCAGGCCAGCCAGTAAAAAAGGCGGCTCTATAGTTTCTGATACTCTCAACTGGCTTTCCGGCACTTACGAGGAGTTAACCTTTTTAACTGTCTGTGTGTTCATTAAAGACGAAAAAGAGTAGGGATATATCTGAATTAAAATTGAGAAGCGGATAGTACTCAAGCAGTACCTTATTGGTAAAATATAAAAGTCGCTTTCTGCCAGCTCCTAGTTCATTTCTTACAGCAACTTGCGACCCTTACCGATGCATCCTCGGAAATGGAGTATGATCGAAAACAAATAATTCATTTGCATGATTGTGTGATTGTTCTTAAGAACTGGCGAAAGATTAATAGAGCATACAGATCGCTGGCAAACCCCGCTATGGAGATTATCCTGAGGTTTATTTAAACAGGTAAAAGTGGCCATAATCGCGGTAGGACCTAACAACAATCTTTAGCCTTCTTAAATCGCCAAATACAACTTGCTTTTTTAGAGAAAAAAAAAGGAGATTTATTCCGTGATTCAGTATTCTTTGAAAACTGGCGCATGATCAATAGAGCATTCAGTTGTTACAGGTTTAAAATTCCTCGAAAAAAACTCATTATATCACAAAAAAAAAGGAAAAGAGAAATAAAGGAAACTCGAAGTTTGTTCCAAAGGTACATCACAACAGAAGATGAACGAATTAACCACAAAGACATAAATGCTCTCCGATGTCAACTTGTTAATTAATGACCATAAAATCCGTCACATGTGACCATGGGGAGGTTTTAATTAATCAGCAAAGACGAAGTATGGCGACGGCAGCCAAAACTACACTATATAAAGAACTTCGGCGTTGTTTTAAACTTTATCACGAATGTATTATCACTCTTTTTTGAGTATTTTGTGCACACTGGGTGGGCAAGGAACACGGCTGACGTAGATTTTTTTTCCTTCATGTCAACACGCAACTAACTACAATCATATACAGACAGTTATTCAGAAGTGATTTTAAAAGAATTAAAAAACAACAGCAAAAAACTTTGTACTCCACTTTAATTTACATTATATAAAAAATATTATTAAATATAGGGTGAAACCCATAAGGGGTTGAACCCGTTTTGAGTTTCTGGTATAGGGAGAGTACAGGCTGCCCATAATAACCATTGAGGGCTAAAAATTTTGCATGCAAGTTTCTTCTTTTCATCTGAAAAAATGTTGATGATGGCTTCTCTTTGTTTTACACTATCATCGAACCAAAACCACCACAGATTCCTTTGTTCCTTTCCTCTCATCCATTGCTCCTAAAACGAAAATCATTTATCACAGCCCCGAGGCTTTAAATCCTCCTATTCAATCAAATTCGTCATGTTATGTTCTGCAAGTCAGGTTCTTACTTCTTCGACAACACAGTTCTAAAACTCGGCTTCGATTTCAGCTTTCAAAAGTGAGTATTATTCTGTCTTTTGCTAAATTTATAGTGCTCTTATCAATCGCTGAATCTTCATCTTCGGCGATCCAGGGGCATTCAGTAATTTTTAACGTCGGGAGGAAATTGGGCGGATGAACGTGTTCAAGCCGAGTGCTCGACGGAAAACGTTCGTCGCGCCGTTCCTGTCCACTCGACTAACTGTTCCTGGGTCCCCGAGGATATCGAATATTCTCCCCTATGGTAAGGAAACCAATTACTTTCATTTGGAATTTTTGATGAAACATTTTCCTATAAGATGATCCCAGCTCAACAGGACAGGTAAAATGGCACGGAATATAATGTTTATTGCCAAAATAAGAGAAATCGGGTGGAATCTTAGAGCCTAAACGCAAGGTTAAACGCCATTAAAAAAAGCTTTTAGGGGAATTACGATCGACTGGGCGAAAAGGTGCATGGTTTTCTGATTCCCTCAACGTACTGCCACTCAGTTACGGACTGTTGCACTCTAAATTGTTTACCTTTACAAGAAATGAGAAATACTCGGGGAACATCAGCCCAATAGCTTTAACTTAGACGAGCCGCGTTTTCAAACTATTACTTTTCGATCATCTTCACACCTGAAGCCTTCTGGACATGACACGTCAGTAACAGTCAAGCCAGCTCCTAGTTTGTTCGTTCATTATTGCGAATTTAAACCTTCCGGTTCCACTTCAGTGGCCAAAAAATTAGCCTGCGAAAACATCCGTTTCTCCTCGCTCTTCGTCGCTGAGGACGTTTCGCGCGGAGGAACGTCTGCGACTTAGCGACAGAAACTCCATACTGATGACGTAAAATTTGTCCAGAATCCGGTCAGAAGCGCTGATTGGTCGACGGAGCAGTTACATTGTCTTAGCTATTGTTTACAAATGACAGACAAAAGACAAAAGGCCAAAAAGGTCAAATGTAAACACGAAGAATCTCTAACAAAACAGTCAATATTTGTGCAATATAGTCTTCTCTAGAAGAAGCATTTGAGTTTTGCTGGAGCTCGTGGGCAGATCAACACAACACTTTACCAAAATCGACCAGAAGACACGCAAAATTAGACAAATTTATATTTGGAACCCCATGACTACCGGATTTATTATGTAAACATTGATTTGCGTCATCAGTATGGAATTTCTGTCACTGAGTCGCAGACGTTCCTCCGCGCGAAACGTCCTCAGCGACGAAGAGCGAGGAGAAACGGATGTTTTCGCAGGCTACCAAAAAATCGGATGATGTCCTCACTTACTCTTCGGGCTTGGGTCGAGCTCATTGTTTATCTTCAATAACCAACTCAAACGTGCAACTCTGCTCTGGTATGAGAAACCGCAAACAGGTTAATTGCATCATTTGATATAAAGTAAAATACAATGACAATAATAATAATGATGATGACGATACATGAATATGCTCGACATGCAGTGTCCTCTCTGCAACAGGACGCCACTCTCGCGCAATCGGAGACCTCCACTGGCCAGAACAGTCTTGTCACTTCTCTTTAGAATATATCTCTCTACTTTCAGGGTGTAAAATACCTATCTCAATGGCGCACGAGAAAGACAACAAGATGGAAAAACACATGGACACGGAGCAGAAAGTCCAAAAAAGAATAATTCTTGCTTTTGGTGTGATTGGCTTTCTGGTAGACTTCTTCTTCAGTACTTACCAAAGTGCTGCTCAAGACATCTTTGAAGGAACTAACATCCCTACGCCATGGATTACTCTTTCTATTGCTGCTCCAGCCTGTCTCGTAACGTTCATTTATCCTTACGTTTTTCAAAGGGTTCCAGTTTCTGTGGCATGTTTTGTACTTTTTATCGCCTCTGTCGCTGGAATATTGCTCACATCACTTGCTCAAGACCTGAGAGTAAGATTATCTGGTGTGTGTTTGGTTTCATTTGGAATAGGCAGCATGGAAGCAGTTTTTCTTTCTCTATCGTCCGTGTACGGAGGACAGACAGTACATAGCTACAGTATGGGTTCAGCCCTTTCGTTTGTAGCAGGACCTCTGTCGTACGCAGGTAGGTAATTTATAAGAGTCCTTTAATTTCTAAGACGAAGACGACTATGAAGCTAGAAAAGTGCGCGGGAGAGAATGTCGTAGTAGCTAGCGGAAGTATCAAATGTTACATGTCTTATCATTTTGCAGAGAAGGCTTAGCTTATACTCCTTCAAAAAATTAACTGTGGTGACGTTTCTGATGAAAAAAGGGAAAATTTTAAAAGCTTTCCGAGATGTCTACTTGTTTTTAGAATTATAAGCGAAAAATCTTAAAGCTAAATCTCTTCCCCGTAGTTGTTACCTAGCCCAACATGATAAGACAAAGATTTAGCCAAGCTTAAAAGGGGGTCTTTTTTAAATACCACAACATGCTGATTTTTTCGTGAAACACGCTGCTGAAATCTATCCATATATGCATTCAGATTGCTGGTATGACTTGCAGAATTCCTAGTTTGTGACTGAAACAAAGCTGTTGGTCAGATATTATCGAGATCTACTGATTTCAAAAAATTAATGAAATACTTGTGTTTCTCTATAAACAAGAGGCGATCGAACAAGTGTCCCGTCACAACCACCAAAACAGTAATCGGTGATCGATTGAATATTGGATATTTTCTAAATGAACGACTATCAACCCTTCACTTGGTTCAATTCCACAAGTTTGGTTTCTACCTCCATATACAGAAAACTTTATCTCACATCTCCCTCACGCGCATGCATAGATATAAGTGGGAAAGAACTCTGCGTTTTTACGGCTGTAACCCTGTGATAGTCTTAAACTACTACCTAATAGGTTAAGGAGTGCTTCCTACGTGTCAATGAAACAAATTGGTTGAAAATCGTGTATTCAATCAAGACATACCTAATAAGGCATATAAAGGCAATGGGCGGGCAAAGAATTGTGGTAACAATCCGTTGAATTGCGGTTAAAAAATCCAGATGCATTGTGGGTTGAAATCGAAAAATTTTGTTCCTGTGTGGATTAGGTCTGCTGTCTTGCACGCTCGCTTCAGGCTTGCTCGCGATGCAGCAAATAACCACATACATTGCACTTCAGAAACAGGAGAACTGTCAATGCTAGTTTTCTGTTTAGGTATTTCAAAAGTGCCATGAGGTGTCTCAAATATGCTTGAATAATTCCAAGTCTCCTAAAGCCTGATTCACAAAGATCTCTTAAGTTAGATCACGTCTTCGAGAATCAGTTCACGAACAAATCATAAAGAAGAATATATTTCTTTAACTGAAAGAAATGATAATATTCCTGTTATCGCAGCTCTTTTTAAATGAAACAAATTTTGCTTGGGAGAAACCTTAAAGAGGCTGTGTCATGGCAGTCCAGTTCATTTTGTTTAATTTTGCCAATAACTCGCCCTCAATCGCTATGGAGCTTGAAGTAAACAAAGAAATTACATGGAAATGACAAAATCAGAGATTCACGACAAACAAATATGTCTCCTGAGCATTATTTTTGAAGTTGCAAACAGCAGAGATCAACTTTAAAAAATTGTTAGGCTGAACAGTTTTCAAAAACCCTAATTTCAATCCGTTTCAATCTTTTTCCGTTTTATCCATCCGTAGCATCTGTTGTATCTGTTGTGTTTAATACTTTAACCTTCCTTTATTGTTTAAGCGGTTATTTTTACGTTTCTTTTAATTTAACGGGCATTTTGTAATTACCTAATTTGGCTGTATTTCGTGACACAGCTCCTTTAATTTACTTACAACATTTTCTAATGATTGACAGGTCTTACCATGTTCGCTTGTTGGTCTCCAGATTTTTCGTTTCTTATCCTCACAGCATTATGGATCTTCTTGCCCATTTCATACATTCTGTTAAATGGGTGCAGCAACAGCCACAGCCCTACGTCATACAAAGAGGTTCCTTACATCCCACTCCAATCTGATGCGACTCAACAACCCGGCGTGTCAAAATTATCGTTCAACGACATGTTAGTTCTCACATGGAAGACACAAGAGCAGTTTATCCCACTGTTTGTGGGTATATTCTGCAAGACTTTGTTAATCGGTGGGGTTGTAACAACCATAGCTTTTTCTAACATCCCCATCACCCCAAGGAATCAATATTTGTTATATACATTGGCATCTGGGATTGGTGACCTTCTTAGCAGGCCATACTTGGTATATCTGTCTCTTTGTGCCATTGGAGACAAGTTTGTTGTAAAGAAAACATGGGTTCCTGCATTACTTACTGTTTTTATAACAATGTTCATGGTGTGCGACTCCTGGTTTCGACTGATACCTGAATTTTCTTTCGCTCTCGTGTTGGTCCTGTTCAACACCTTCCTTCAGGGTATCGTCTATGTCAACAGTTTCCTGAATGCAGGGGAGGGTCTTAGTGTAGAGGAAAAAAGATTTTGTCGGGCATTGATAGCTAGTGCTATATGGCTACCAAACGTGGTTGGAGGACTAATAGGCTTGGATACAGAAATTCAACTCCGGCAACATTGTCTGCTGTTTCATACTGAGGCTGTTTGTTATACAAGGTCACACACTGTATGGAACCCCAATGTCTCATGTGTAATTTAAAGAGTGAATATTTTAAATCAAGAGGCTAGCAAAACTGCTCTTGAGGTCATTTTTCATTTTGCGAATGCGTAGTATCTAAGCAATTTTTTGTTTTGTTTTTACTGTAAAAAGTGTTAAGGAGCTATAAAGTGGACAATAACAGACTCAGCTATCTACTTAAAATTCGTACCACCTACCGAAGGAACTTTGCATCCAGCCAGTACACGGCTAGCCTATGGCAGCATAGTAATTGAACACGGATCATCAAACGTGTGCGAGTGCGCTCGGTAGGATGATGATGATGATGATGATGATGATGATGATGATAATGAGACTTAGTGGCTTAGTATTAAGCACTTACTTAATAAGTCAATAACTTATTGATTTTCCAGCTTAAATGCTGAATATAAATAAATACAGGCACAGAAATAACCAAATGAATGATCAATGAATGACAATTACAATATTACAATTCCTATGGCACCAAAATTCCTGCACAAACAATTAAAAATTACAAGTATAAACTTTCAAATTTACAAGTATGAAACATCAAGTGTGAAAAAGGGCAATAAAAGTTTACTTAAAACTGTTCTGTTAAAAAGAAACATCTTCAACTTATTCTTAAAGATATCGACCCAAGGCAGAGGAGATTTTTTGGACCGAAGGGGAGTTTGGTAATTTAAGGGGCAGAGTTCCAGAGTTTTGGAGCAGACTGCGAACGCACGGTCACCATATGTCTTCAAATTGGAGAAAGCTGTAGCAAGTAGATTTGACAAGGACGACCCGCTAAGGTTGCATGTCGGATCAAAGAGTAAATAGTTAGTGGGCTGTGTTAGCCAACCTCGTCCCCAGTGTCTTCTCGTTTTCCAATAAGACGCGCCACATTGGAAAACGAGAAGACCCTGAGGACGAGGTTGACTTTTAGCTAGAGTTATGTTTTAGATCACAGAAAATTTAGTTATTTACTTAATTTTAATTTGCAACCAAATTACTTAATTCATGTCATCAGTTCAAAGTCACATGGTATTTTGGCCGCGCGATTCGAAAACCTTTTTTAGATCATAGGCTAACTTTTAGCGCTCATAAGATCGTCAATTTTCACTCAAAAGAACCCAAACATTGGAATCTAATACAGTGAGACCTCTATTAAGCGGACCCTTAATTAAGCAGACACCCTTTATTAAGCGGACACTAAGACGAACCCCTATTCAGGGGACACTTCTATTAAGCGAACGCGGACACTAAAATCGTATTTGGCTAATTTCTATTGTTAAAAACCTCTATTAATAAGAGGACACCAGACTGAATTGACAATAGTAGAATTGGATTACTTCCTTGAAATACGTACTATAGTCGATTAATAAAGATAAATCAATACATTTAGCTGTCAATAAACTGTAGATTAGACCGATGTCTGGCAGTATAATTGTCATTCGAGATCAAAGTTCACCTACAAGTCTTGCGTAAAGTGCAGCACAGCTTCCTTAGCTTCCTTAGTTTCCTCAACAACATGGAACTTAATCACAGTACAGAGTAACCGAACGCGTTGAATGTTAAATTCATCGTTAACAAACATGGCGCAATTTTCACAAACCTTTATTAAACGGACACTTGAGAAGGTCCCGAAGGTGTCCTCTTAATAGAGGTTTCACTGCATTTCAAATGGTAAAGTTTATAACTGAACACAAGGGACAATTACGGGAGAGAGAGGGAAACCCCCAGTCTACTGAGCCCTTGGATATCAGTGAATTTCACTTAAGTTATTTTTAGACCAATTAAAGGCTTGAAATTAATCGGAAGTTGGTTTCAACGGATGTCTGCAAACTTTGATTCGGTGTTGTTAAGAGAGAATTCAACAGTCGCCATTGCGATATTCCGCATTGTTGGCTTTGAGGCAGCCGCTCGTGGACTTGATGAAAATTTCATTTATACTTGAGAAATAGACTTGGGCCACTTCCACACGAATCCATATGATCCGAAACCGCATTTTTTGAAGCCACTTTCCAGAGTGATTTAAGGCCCAATACGGATGAAAAAAACTGAAATATGCGGTTTCAAAAGTGTCCGGATCAGTGAGGACGGACCTTGGTGACTTTCAAACAAAACAAAAATAACTGTGGTTAACAATGCGCTTTCGCATCGGAATCTAATCATCGTCAAAGGTACCCATTGCAAAGACCCGCCCAGCCGAACGGATCTCAGTAAGCTACTTAGTCTATCTCTACTCTGATCACAATAAGATAAAAGCCCACGATCGCTACTCACTGTGTTTGTAGAAGTAACAGGACCTTTTTGCAACGTTACAACGTTTGTTGGCACCCAACTCCTTAGCACATCTCACAGAATCAAGACATCTGACTGTTACCGGGTCCCGTCTGAACTAACAAACCTCAGACCATTTGACCTTATAGACGATGCAGACTCGTTCTCCGCTGACGAAACCCCGCCAACACGTCCAGCGCCCCCGCTCCCACCAGTGATACCGAGTGGGAACTCGACCCTCCTACTCAGGATGTTTCTGAACAAGACAACCCTCCTGCCTGCCCAGATACGCCTTCCGATTTGCAGGCCCGCCCCGATTCAGACGGAGCCCCCGCTTAACAGTGATAGCGACTCTGATACTGATCCCCCACCCAGTAGGCCCACCCATGAGCTCTGTCTCTAAACGAACATAAGACCATGTGACTCAAACTATTATTTCTTATCACTTAGGTTGCCGCTAAGTTAACCGTTCATGAATTTTGTATTAAGAGAAAAAAGAGTCTACAAGAAAGAGGTCACGCCAGTACCGGTCAGCGGTACTTCTGTGAAAGGCATGCTTCTCACGCCCGCTGTTCATTTTTTCGGTTTTCCCCTCGTGATGGAAGAAATCTCGAGGAAGCGTGTTCCCCTCGCGGGGTATTAAGATTACCGGCGCCTGCTACGCAGGCTGGTGCGGCATTGTAAATTACATGGTCACGTTTACTTAGCTTGTGAATAAATAAAACGCAAGAGAAAGATGTGCCTTTTTGCAGAACAGGTTTTCAGATTCAAGTAAGAATGATTCAAGTCAGTTCCGAGTTATAGGTGGTTTTCATGCAATCTCGGGAGACACAAATAACAATGGTGAAATGAACAAATGCTGGTGGACCAGGACCTGTGGTGGACAAACAAAGCGAGCTAATGAGCGATCTTTTGTTTACCGTCCACCAGCATGGCGAACACGGAAATGTACTGGGTTGGCTACTGTCAGAAGTATCAGGAATATGTACGACGAGGATGTCGCGGAGGCTGTTGTCGCGGCGATACATAACAGGCGACAGAGAGTTTTGGCGGCGGCTCTCGCGGTTTTACCACGAGAAGCGAGCGCCGAAGGGGCGAGAAAATTCCGCGTCTCCCCCCCCCCCCCCCATTCTCCGCACGGCTTCGCAGTTCTTCTGTCAAAAATTTGCTGACGCTAAATACTAATCCCCCCGGCTATGCGGGCTTTAAGAAAATAAGCGACTAGCGGTGCCGTGACTGCGGAATGACTCTGAAACACCACTCTGGCTTCTCATTTGGTTCGCAGTGGTCACTGGGGCACCAGGCGCGCAAGGGGTGAAGAGTTACCATGACAACCTCTCAGAAAAGCTACAATTGTTCACAACATGGCGAATGTCGGAGGACTCCATTTGCAGGAGCCGAGTTCTGGACCTTTAGGTTACCCATCTAGGTCGCCTTTAACATTACTTGTAAGTTATTTTGAGAGGGATAAAAAACCAACTAAATTCCTGTTGAACTAATTTAATAGGAACAGGTCTAGAACAAAATGTCAAATAGTCACTTGTAAGATGTCTAGATCGATAATTATTGACCACAAAGCCAATATAAAGCCAAGAATATTTGTCAAAGAGGTACTTCCTTTTCCTTTATTACAGTCAGGTAGAAGAAGTAGGAGTCCGTATTATGAAGAGCCTGTGTCAGAAAGGGAAGAATGGTGGAGAAGCACACTCAAGGTAATCTGTGTGATATGTATAGTGGTAAGCTTATAATTAACTGCTTTACTATTAAGTCACCCGAAAGTCATCTCTCCGGAAGTTAGATCGCCACGAAGCCAAGAAAGCATGTTAAAATGTGTGTTTGTCGTTCTGTAACCCTAAAAAAGGAGTCAAATGTTGGAACACACTGACAACATTTTAAGCCGCGCCGTATGGGCCAACAGCTATATGTATATGGTCATGGCTTCTACTGCAGGAAGCTAAACTAGCTAAGGCTGTTCAGTGTTGACCTTAGTGTTTCCCTGTTTCAGTTCAGTTGTCAACAATTGGTTTTAAGTCTAGAAATCATCCCGAACCATGCATCCTGACAAAATCTTTCTACACGACCTGATCGAGCATGACATCTCTTATTATTAATCATTATTGTGATAATGTAACCTTTTTAAAATCAAAACTGTATTCCAAGAGGCTTTTCACTAGATGTGAAAAAGTTGAAAAAAAGAAGCCACTCTGGAAACTAACTGCCTATTTATTATTAATACACTGCCCACAATGGTGCATTACTGTCCAGTTACTTATATGCATCAAGTCAGTGTCGTTCCCATTCATCCTTGGCGATTTCGGATGTGACACCACTGTCAAGCTTGTCAGGAAACTTCACCAAGGATGCAGCCATCACAGTTGGTTCCAAAGCCCCCTTACAGGGGCACCCAACGAGGATATAGTTCAAAACCACTTAACATAGCATTGTTGAACGTATTTTAGTATTTAAACGGTAGATATAGGCATATTTTTATCCCCTAAAAACTTTTCATCTGTTCAGATTTCTTAGCTGAAAGTCTAGTGATCCGAAAATTATAGGGATCAAAACCGTACCTTTTCGAAAATTTCAGCCAGGAAAAGGCTCCCGAAAATTCTAGGTGGCCTTTTTTAGGGTAAATATGCGTTTAAAATGGGTAATTATACCATTTTGTAGACGTTCGAAAATCCTAGGAGAGGCAGGCAAGCGAGAAATTTTACAACAAATGTTCCGAAAATTCTAGTTCTCAAATCGTCTTCCGAACAGATATTTTCCCCAAAATTGCCGTTGGGTGCCCCCTGCCCTTACTTGGATAGCATGAACTGACCTGGGAACAAGGCTGACATGTAGTATGATTATATAATTAAAAGTATATGTGCTGCTAAACTTATAAAATATTACTAGGACACACCAATTCCTGGAGCATACGACTTAAAGGATTTTGTTCAAGAATTACAAGGCAACCCTGTGAGGACCACATATGGATTTAAGAATGCAGGAAGAAAGAAAAATGCTGATCCATCCAGAAAAGGTTCAGCATTGATGCCAGGGCTGTACAAACACAGGACATGTGTAGACCAGCTAGCAACACAGCAAAAAACATATAGCTTTAAAGCATGTGACAGATATCACACTCCTACTGCTCTTGTAGGATACATTGATAAGGTTTGTAACTTAATTGAATGCAAATTACTCTGTTGTTTGATAGTATGCAACCTCTTATTAGCCCCATGCAAAAGGAGGCAACGTTGTTGGCCAACATTACTCCCAACATTGTTGAATGTTACATGTTGTGTCCATTTGCACACCCTGTTACATGTTGTTGGGGGTTGTTGTGCAAAATAAACGAGTCAAACGTTTGAGCCAACAACTCCCAACATTTCTCTTGTTGCGTGGTCGCCAAAGCTTATAGCGCAACAATGTTGGATCAGTTTACACAGCTCTTCCAACATTGTTGGGGCCACGTACATGCATCATCACACATGGTCTCCAAAGTCTTATGGGTTGTGTCCTTCCCACGATACACTGCATGTCCCAACATTGTTGGCCCAACAATGTTTGGATTTGTTGCATCCATCTGCATGTAGCTTTAAAGTAAAAAACATAACATCACTTATCTTTTTTCAGGTTCTCTTAAAGGCCATGACATTCTTATCTTCAGTATGGAATATATCTTTTTTTACACATGTGGTTTTCCGAAAATATTATATGTGCTTTTTGGGAAAAAAATCAGTTGGCACGGAAGTTCTTTTGTTGATTTTTCTTTTCTTTTCATGATTAAACTCTGCAATAAACTGAAAATAAAATTCCCTGACTTTTCAGGCTTTGGCAAGAACTAAGATATGTATCTCTACATGACTTAACAGAGTTTGCCAACTTTTCCAATGTTGTCTTTCCCATGACCTTTCACCTACTCTAATCAAAGAACTGAAAGTAATAAAATGTTATTCATTAGTTCCAGATATTTGACCCAAATTTGTTTTCATTGCAGGAATTTGCCAGTAGTCAAATAAGTCCAACCACATACTACTCAGGTTATAAATATGTTCCAAAGTTGCCATCAAAGTAAGTGCAATACTCCTGAAGTCTTGAAATGACTATAAACTGAGTACCATGATCATTATAATTAACAATTATTCCACGAGTACGCGTTGGATATGAGTTGGCTATAATCATCACATATCCAGCAAGTGTGAGTGGAAAAACAAAAACACCCACAAAAATATTCTTCCAGGCTTTATTTGAAAAAACAACCAATTTTCAGCTTGTTTTTAATTTTGAGCAGACAAATGCAGTTACCATATTTGGAGAGCATGGTATAATGGCTCATATACCATGATGGCTAAGCCAATCAGAGCTGTAGAATAAATTGCATTATCCAATGATTCAATTTTAATAATATCTGATAGTTCTCAATATTATTACTTAATAAATGTAAAAAACAGGAGTAGTGAAACAAAAGAGTAAGAAGTATACATATTTGTACATGCTAAATGTCTAACAAATTTTTTTTGTGGGCCTTTCACCCATACCCAACCCCGTTTAATTAGGATTATATTTCATCATGAGGACGGGGGAGCTTGGTGGATTCCATTATCATTATTAAATAGTACATACTAAGTTGACTAACATGAGCTTCAAATTTGTACTGTTTTTCTTAGGCATCCTGCATTCAAGTCTCAAGAACATAGATTCCCAACAATTTACTTTAAACCTGTAAGAGGCAGTTTATAGAAAATATTCTTCCCATAGTTAATAATCAATAAGTATTAAATGAACATGTCACTTCTATTGTGTAGGTGGAAGCTAGTACACTCACTGCATTGTATAATGTTTGCAGAACTGTTAAGGGGGCAATGGCATAAAATCTTTAGTATTCAACTTTGTGTATGAACCATGTTAGAATAAAAGGGTATGCTCTCTGCACTGTGTACAAAATTCTCTAATTTGGCAGCAAACTACATTTCATGATAAAATCTTTCCAAAATAATAATGCAGTCATACTTTAAAATGTCATACTAACTTTTTCAAGTTACAGTCCACATGCATCCTACCAAATCTTAATTAGTAATTTCTGAAAGAATGATCCAGTGTTACTACTAAGTGGCTCAAAGTTTTTTTCTTTGTTTATTATTTTATTCTTTCAGAGAGAAGGACCTCCTCCAGGACAGTACAAACTTTCAAAAGATTCGATTTTACCAAAAGGACCAAATGTTACATCTCCATTCAAGTCAAAAACTCCAAGATTTGTTCAGCCTCATGTCCTGGTAATGTCCTCAATAATAAATATCTTTTTACAATATGTAACAAAAATAGACTACAATTTTCCATGGGTAAAATGTTTAAAACTCAAGGGAACTAATGCTCATGGTTTCACTGCAAACATTATAGTTTTGAACATTTCTACAGTCTGTAAGAGTATACATTAGACACTTGGAAAATTGTTTGTCTATTTGTTGTTTACAATAACATTGACAGTTGGTAAACATCCAATGAAGTTAATGTTGGAAATTGCCAGCTGGAGAAAAAGAAATACAAGTTGTGTCATCATCATTTTATCTCTCATAGACCATAGTCCATGATCAGTCAGTGCATGAGCTAGCAACAATATAATAAGTATTGTACATTCAATAAAATATTGTATTATTGATTACAACATGCACCCTTCCCACAATATTTCAGCAAGCTTACTTCTCAGTCTTGCAATGATAAAAAGTGATCATTTTCAGAATTGTCTGGTACAGATGATTATTTTTCAGCCTGGCACTAGGCTCTCTAAAGGAGTGGGGAAAAGGAGGAAAAACAGGTGTATGTAGAGGCACTTCCCCTTGTCCCTTCTTAAATGGAAACAACACAGATTATAAACAAGGGGCCAAGATGGTACAGGATATTAAGGCAGTCAAGACTGGGTGTGCAAAGTGCACACCAAAATGTTGTGTCATAGAGTTGAGCTAAGTGGTACACTTCTTGTACTCCAAAAGACAAAGAGTGTTGTCTCCATTGGTTGTAGATAATCACTATAAAAGCCTAAGAGATAGCTGCTGTCACCTATAACAGTGATATTTGCAGCAAAAATTTTCTTCATAGTCTTATAATTTTTATTATAATATGTGATGTTTCCTCTTCTTTGTTTTAAACAGAAAACCCCTGGTCCAGGAACATATTGCAAAACATACCAGACACCAATGCCAGATACAGTAAAGAAAATGGCAAGAAACTATGGACTGTTTTTTACTTCTGGGACTTACGGAGAATATTAGGAGCACTTTATTGGCACATAAAAAGGAAGGAAAGAAAAAGAAATAGGAATTTTTATTACAATATTTATTATTGAGGTTTACAATAATTTATTGTAGTTTGGAGCTGTTTGGTCAACACCTATAAAAAGGTAGAGCAATGCATAAAAAAATCATAGCATGTGAAAACCATAGTTCTAACACCATTTGGAGCAGTCACACTGCTCATCAAGATAAGAAAGCAGGCAATAATCTCAGGTTCACTTAACCGCAAAGCATTGCAGTTCCTGTAAGTATTTTTCCCACTCACTCAATTCTGGTTTTGAGGGTGAGTTACCAGTTGATCTTCTCCAGAAATGAGCATGTAAAACAAGCCACACTCAAAGAGCTGTATAGTTGTATTAGAAAAATAAGAAGTGAAACACTTTTCATGGTTTTGAAAGTTGTAATTGATAGAGTTATGTTTTAACTGGAATAAAAGGTTTTGTACTCTTGTTGTTACTGTTTATTGGGCAGTGTTACACAGACTCAGTCAGTTCTCAGGTCTCTATGGTCATCTCCCAAAAAATAGATCCCATATCATAATTCTTACAGTCACCTTCTTTCACTTGCTATAAGTTAAAACAAAAAAGGGCAGAGAGAAGGTTGACTGTATTAGCAGGAAGCCTTGTTCTGCTTCTTGAAATAAGTCATTTTTTTTAACCTACATGACAGCTCTCTTTACCGTCATGTAAATGCCGCGTCACGCAAAAGCTTAGAAATTCAAGCTTACTCTATCAGCTCCTATCGCAAAACCAAGAACCCTTTTGAAGCAAAAATTTGTATGAAAATTATTTTTCAGCTTCTCTAATGCATCGTGAAAGTAAAAAACCACGCAAACGACGTATGTTAGGCAAGTCAACTTTAGTTTCCCAGCTTACTGTATATCACAAACAATGAACAAAGAAAATGTGAATATCGGTACTTATGCAGTGGTGGATCCAGGGGAGGGGCCCGGGGTCCCGAGCCCCTCCTTATTCCCCCTATTATTAGACCAAACTGAGGCCCGAAGGGCCAAAAAAATTTTTTTGGAGACCACCCCCCTCCCCGCCACTTATCACAGGGTCTGGATGACAGGGCCCCCCGTTATTTGAAGGTCTGGATCCGCTTCTATTATGTCTCATTTCTCTTGTTCACTCCAAGAATCAAGCTGCCAATCAAATGACGTATCATGATGTCATACGGCTTCAAATAGTTTGGATTGTCGGCGCGCTTGCCACTGTACATCAACTATGTCGAGAAAACTACCGAAAGAGTATCAGACCTTTTAGCTATTTGTTGGTCTAAAATTAGTAGTAAATGGAAGAGAATACAGTTGAAAACATCTTATTCTCACTTGCTTTCGCGAGTTTTAAATTTCGCGAAAAATCAAGAGCCATATTTCGCGAGTATTTAATTCCGCGATTTTTATAGATTTTTATATTTCGCGAGTATCAAAGGTGGCTATTTTTTCCAAATGAAGCGTAATTTGTATAGGTAATAGCATGATTTGTAGTGATATATGCCATAAATACCACGAGTGATATTTCAAAATTTGAGACAATTTTGAAATATCACAAGTGGTATTTATGCCAAATATCACGTTCAAACGATGCTATTATTTCTCGAGCGGTTAGGCGAGTGAAATTTGAGACAATTTTGAAATATCACTAGTGGTATTTATGCCAAATATCACGTACAAATCATGCTATTATTTGTTTATACTACTAGCCGCAAAAGGTTTGTAATTTTCACATGTAGGTATTTCAAATTAAGCTGAAATACCACTGCTCTAAGCCAATCAAATTGCAGAAATTTCTCCTGTAGTAGTATAACATAAGTTATACTAATAAATTAGAAATTTCTGCAATTTGATTGGCTTAGAGCAGTGGTATTTCAGCTTGATTTGAAATACCTACATGTGAAAATTACAAACCTTTTGCGGCTAGTAGTATAAACAAATAATAGCATGATTTGTACGTGATATTTGGCATAAATACCACTAGTGATATTTCAAAATTGTCTCAAATTTCACTCGCCTAACCGCTCGAGAAATTACGTATAACAATTTTGAAATATCACTCGTGGTATTTATGCCAAATATCCCTACAAATCATGCTATTACCTATACAAATGTAGACTGTAGTTCGACGCCTTAATAAACTGCTCAAGAATGTTGGGATCTGAATTTAAACCACCCCATAAAATGTTTATTTATGAGAAAAGTACCCAACACGGCCTGACACTAAGAAAATTGATTGGAAATGAAGTAATACATAACTTAGAAGATTAGAATAATATTGGGCATCGCTTGCGCGGGGAGGTGGGCGTATAATTAGTTAAAATGTTTTGAAATTTCACTTTTGAGAGATATTAAAATACACGCGCAATCCGCCTTCCCCGGCGGCATTAAAAAGTATTAATTTATAAACTTGTAATCTTTTGGTTTTTATTCAGTACTCGCCTAAACAGGCGTGAAGGAATTTTCATCACACTGAATAAAATATTTTAAGCTTTCAACATAGATTAGCAAATCGATGCTCAAGATCAAACGTATTTAGCGCCATCCCGTTTTCGACACTGCGAATACGTTTGAGTCCATAAATGTAAAACATAAAATGAATATGCTTTACGTATCTGTTTTTCCGTAAGTCAGGTGCACATTAGGGACCTTAAGATCCGAGGACGGCGACGGCGGAGAAAACGTCGCTGAAAAAGTGAATTCGCGTTCTTTCAATCTTCATAGCGATTACTCCAAGTCACTAACTTTGTCAAATGTTTCTGAACCCTCCTAAAGTTGAATTCCTAAGAACCAGTTTTGTGGTGTTGCCCTACATATATATATATTTTTTCTATTAAATTGAAGAGACTTGCACTTTCATAAATGATTTCTGTCTAAGTGTGATATAAAAGCAGAAAACAGTTCTACCTTGTGTAAGAATCATAAGGGGAGAAAGGGTCTTTCGACGGATGTTAACGAGAGCTGACCTTTTTACACATGTTTACAAGGCGCGCGCAATACGCCCGCCAGCAAGTAGCGAATACAACACATTTTTCACCAACTCATCTTTCTTGGGCTGGTTTTCGGTCAGTTAGCATCGGAATGGCTAAAAATGAGTATTGCAATACTAAAGGCATATTATGAAAACAGAGCAGTGAAATTGAATGGCGTAGTTACAACAACGATGGAAAATTATGGAAAGAGAAAAATTCCTCTAGCTATTCTACCGGCTAGTGCAACAAAGAATTTCGGGATTAAGTTCATGAATGTGAAATAGTTTACACCCTTCAGTTTCAGCATCGACCTTAGGGCTTGTTTACATGGAGGGGGACCCCAGGTAGGTGAGGTAAACTATGGCAGGTCACCCCACCTATCATGTACACGTGATCAAATTAAAATGAGAGATTATATGGACAAACGGGTTACCCCACTTAAGCGGGTTACCTCACCTACCTGGGGTCCCCCACCTCCATGTAAACAGGCCCTAAAAAGGAATGAAGTCCCAGGATTCAGAGGAATTCCTATTTGTTTTTTGTTTGTTTCTTTGTTTCTTTGTTTAAGAAGACAATAGTCACATCTATAGAACTCTACTCAAGGGCATGGGCACCTGTAAAGGTGTTGGATCATAAAAGAGTCGCTTTTGCAAACCACAATCTTTTTACTCAGAATAAATGATTATTGAACCTAACAATGTTATGTGTACAAGTTACTTACAATAGCCTTTGTAAATAATTTGCGGTAGTTGAAATAACAACCTGGTATTAAGTTTAAAATAGGGCCGTTCAAACGAGGAAAAATAAGACGCGTCTTACATAGGACGAGTTCCAACTGTCTCGTATAAACGGCACATTTTGTTTGAAATTTAGCTAAGACGCGACTTATCTAAGAACAGCTCCTAACACCTGTTCTTCGATAAGACGCGTCTTTGCTAAGACGCGTCTTAATGTGCTGTTTATACTGGATAGTTTGCGTCTTATTTAGGACACGACTTATTTTTCCTCGTATAAATGGCCCTAATATTGATTTTCAGAAGTCTTTTACGTCCCATGTTCTTTCCAATAAATGTCTATCAAACTATTTAAATGTTAAACCTTTATATTAAAATAAGTTATTATTTTCTTCTAAGCTCGCTACTACTGATGGTAAAGCAATTTTCGTTTAGAAATCAGGAAATACATTATAAATCATCACTCTTTCGCTTGTCCCTGAAATCGCACAAGTGAGCCCGCTCGCACCCAGGCTAGGGTGCTGTGACAAGTAATCATCTAACGACTACGAAGTACAATTAAGTTGCACATTTATCTCGGAATGTTAACAGGAAAAGATTGATAATTCTGTTGAGAAGGTGTACTGTGAGCTTTTATCTAGCGTTATGTTTCAACATATTTTAAAGAGTATTGTAAATATTAAGCTTAATTAAACAGCAATCTACACTAATTTTAAATCTGGTAGTTGTTATCCCATCTGTGGGTACATTGCAGGAAAAACGGGAATTATTTAAAGCTATGACCCACTTTTAGCAAAACAATTGACCATGCACTGCTGTAAGGTTCTGAATAAAATTCCGGTTCATAATAATTGTTACAGATTCTGATCTGATAATTTGAACATATGAAGATTAAAATGTTTAATTTAGCGTTATTATGATTCCAGGTCTTTGTGACTCAAGGCTCAGGATGTCAAGGTACTGTTAACTTTCTTCAAGTCTCCCTCCCGGCGGTACTCATCATCACAGTATTCTTTCTTCCAGAAAAAAATTACTGCATGTCTTTCCACGGCGAATGTATTTTCATTCTGAGACAGCACATAGGGTGCATACTAGACCAGCAGACGAGAAGGAGATAAAAACAATTTTCAGCAAGTACAATGTATAACAAAAAAGAGCTTTTATAATCATGAGTTTGTCTGCATGAAGTACCAGTCTCACTTGGGAGGAACGGAGGGTGTTTGTCAGCCTCATTTTAGATGTTCATTAAGGTTGGTTATTCCAGTAATTCCTCTTGTTATTGGATGGAGCACACAGTACTTTTGTTCTGTTGTTGTTGAAGAAATAATGAGCTTGGTAGATCTGGGTTTTTATTCTGCCTCAACATGTCGAACACCTGAAGTTTAAAAAAGAGCACTTTAATAAAACAGCACGGCATACAGCCATTAAGGTTGAAATCGACTGAAAGAGTGCTTAGGCTCGATTTCCGGGAGAGGAGCAAGAACTCATTTCCAGAACAGTGGCTGGTAATCAAGCCTAAAGAGTGTATTGCTTCACTTTCATTATAACTGCTCAATTTTCTAGGCTACAAATGAATAAAGTGGTTATAATAGTTTCTAAAGAAACTGTCTGTTAGAATACGTTGCATCAGTGAGGAGTGAAATACAAAATTTTGTTTCTATCAACTGAGCTCATCAAGTGAATTGCAACTAGCCACGGCAAATACATTTTAGAGCCGAATCCTAACCCCTTTGCCAGAAATAAAGCCAAAATCTTTGACTTTTAAATCTCGTTATGACCCGGACAATCTGACGACTTTATCAAGTCAGCTGATGAAACCAAAGTTTTGAGTTTCTAAACTTCAAGCAGTCCCCCCCCCCCTCCCGCCACTTTTTAAAGCCCTTTGAGCAATTTATAAATTTTCACACGGAAACCCAATTCTTTAGCTCAGCTGCTGGTCAAAAGCCAGGAGTACCAGCTGCATGAGTGACAGCTTTGCCCTGGACAGGAAAAACGTTTGAAAATCTAAATGAATATTACATTACCCCTAAAACTTCCATGAAGTCAATGGAATTAGTGTTGTCTGCATCAATTTTCCTAAAAATGTCTTTGACTTCTTTTTTGGTATACATTGTGGAACTTCCCTTCTGAGAAAGTAAGTCCAGCATCTTTTCTAGTTCATCACTATCTATCGTCTGCAAACAAAAAAATGAAAGCAACTTATAAGACACCATTGTTAAGAGTCAATTAATTGTTTTGTAGTGGAAGCACACAAACTGTGATCAAGCATTCCTTTTTTGGGGGGGGAAGGGGAAAGGGAAGGGGGGGGAGAAGAAGAGTTAGAATTTTGCCCACTCCTTCTTGCACCCTCAAATCATCAAATGGGGCTAAAATTTAAAAAAAAAACCCACATAATTTACAGCAAAATATGACAACTTTTATCATTTTATTGACTTTTAAATAATTATATACCAGTTGATACGTATGCACGCCTATCAGCAGAGTGCTCAATAGAAGGGCTAGAGCGTAGTATAATCTACTAGGTTGCCTGGTGTCAATGTGAGATCCGACTAGGCAATTTTCATTACTACTTAAAAATAATTACATATATCAGTATATTTAAATATATTATATCAAGTTAGCCTGTACTATTATAACTGCATTTGACTCACCCCATTTCTGTCCAGATCTGCCTCCACAAACCTCTTTTCAGCAAAAAGAATTGTGCTCAATGGAAGATCAGGATACCTTTCTGCAATTGCCTGAAAAAAGAAAGATTTCAATATATAGAGACTTTTATCATGATTTCACTTCTGCCCTGTTGGTGTCCCAAAACAAAAAAAAACAGTTGGTGGTCCAAACCAGTCTTAATGGGAGTTGAACTCTTTTCTTATGCAAACATTTCTTTTGTTGCAACAAATGTGCATAGCTACTGGCCAGGTGAGTGAAAAATATGCTTTATACCGGTACTTTCACTTTTGTAGAACAAGTACCCAGTATTTCAGACTTAAAAACATACTGTCATAGCGCCTTCCTGATCTACAATTACCAGTATACAAAGAAGATTTAGATTTTCCTTTTTATTTTATTTACTTAATTTTTTTCGTCTTTCTACTATATTTTAATATGTTCTAGAAGATATTAGCCTTTCAGGCTTCTCTGAAATTTGAGTATAAAATAAAGGGTATGTTCATGTATGTTAATGCAAAGCTTTATGGTAAGTTCCTCACTTAACTTAAAAAAAATAATTTCCAAACATTTTGTGAAGTGCTGAGATGGGAAAAAGATACTAGAACAAATTAGTGTGGAACATACCGCATATAATCTTTCTGGATCCTCAAATGGGTCATCGTGATCAACTTTATTATTCATGTCAGGTGTTAATAGTCCTGTGTCTTTCGCTCCTTTCTCCCTTTTCTTTGCTGCGGGTCTTTTTGGTTTGGTTACACTTGATTTTCGTCGCTTCTTTTGCTCCTACAAATAGAACAATCGCTGTCAAATTATGGCTATTTGGAAGTGAATTCAGACCAGTTTATTACAGAGGATATCCCATTCACCCCTGGAGATGGTGCCAGAAATTCTGCATAAGATTGTTTATTTAGATTGTTAGTTATTGGTGCAAGAGGTGTATGGTGTTCAAGAGATTGGTTACGTAAAGCAAGTAATTAAGATATCATAAAAGTGTGAGACTTTTGTGTTACAGTTCACTTACTTTCAAAAAATTTTCTCATGCTTTTTTTTTTGCTTACTGTAAAATCATAATTAATTATTGGATGAGGTTTTTGTCACATCTGGAAAAATCAGGGTTGAAGTAAGCATTACCGGCCAGGGCCAAAGGCTGAGATATCACAAACACTAAATCTTAATGCATCTTATGGAAGAAAATAACAGCAAACACACTGTCACACAGAACACACTCAGTATGACATTGTTCTAGGAAATCATGCATTGCATGCACAACCTATAAAGAGGAATGTGCTGAATTCCATAAATAACCTCATACATTACTGATCCATCCTCAGCTGAGTTACCCATAATACCATGCAAGAACTCCCCGAGACAATTGGAACAATTACAAAAAACTGGTTCAAATTAGCCCACATGTTCAGTTATCAGAAGAAGCAAGTGAACTTACTTTAAAACAGGCAAAGTTCAATTAGGAAGAAAAGACTAAATACGAAAGGAAAATAAATTTGTCAGACAGTATTGCTGACAATAAATTTTTCGTTTTCAGGTCATGGTGCCTAGTAGATTGTTTCTTTAACTCTTAATTGTTTGATACTTCCTTTTCTAGTATTATGTCTATAAATTTACCTTATTCTTTTCAGCCACCTAAAAATAGCAAAAGAAAAAAACCACAAATATAATATTAACCTTTTTGTTGTTTTTTCTTTATAGTTTAATAACAAATTTTACATGCCGATAAAAATAAGTCAGTGAATAAAATATTATTATTGAACTAAGGATGACGGTAATCCAGTCAATTATGGTGATGATGATGGTAATCCAGCTAATTATTACTGTAATCAATTTTCCTCCTAACTTTTTCGTGTTCTAACATGATTCCCCCTCCCCCTCCCTTAGCATTTCCCACCACTCATTTCTAATACCGTAAAATTCTGAAAATAAGCCCCAGGGCTTATACTTTTCAAAGGCCCTTTTTGAGGGGCTTATTTTTGGAGGTGGTTTTATTCGGAGGGGCTTATCTATGGAGGGAAATTTGCATTTCAAAATTGATTGGGCTAGCCTTATAGTTTCAAGTAAATTTGCCATTTTTGCTTTGTTTTACTTTGTATTTGGGGCAATTTTCCAAGTACAAGTCCCCGGGGGCTTATATTTGGAGGGGCGATTTAACAGAGGGTTTTTTGCGTTACCGGATTGGGGTGCTTATATTTGGAGGGGCTTATACATGGAGGGGCTTATTCTCGGAATTTTACGGTATTACATTACAGGTAAGGATCTAAAGGGGCTATGTCACCAGGATATCACTGTTTTAGGTCAATTCTGCAGTGAATTCATTTAATTTAATGCCCTTTAATACCTATTTTACACAGAAAGGGTCTTTCTTCAGCTACTGTTATTAGAAAAGAAACAAAGGCACCAAACAACAGAGCTCTCCTGGGGGCTTTATTGTTTGATTGAATTGCTTCTTTTGTTCTACATAATCTGTGTCTCAGTACCTACAGAAGGAACCCCCAAAATGTTCCTCAGTGTATAAGTGTATAGTTATGAAGATATGAAACAAATTCCATCAGGGAACTCTAACCACTGGTGATTTTTGCAGGGAAAGCCAATAAAATGTGAAAAAAGTTGGCCCCAATTTTTCCATCCATGTCCATCCTTGTCATCTAAACCAACAGATGAGGGAAACAGTTTTAATATGTAAATGTCATCTTAAATAACATAATTGGAAAGACATTTTAGCTTTTTAAAAAGAAAGCAAATAGTGTGACATAGCCTCTTAAACCCAACTGGCAACCTACATCAGTTAATTATTTCATAACATGTCTCTCACAAAATGTTTACTGTTAACATTATAAGTTTATACAAGTACATGCATGTTAGAAATAAAATAACTTTATAAACTAAAATATTTAGCCTTACATATACTAACGAAAAAATAACGTTGGTGTCAACCGGGTACCATATTTCAGTATACTACACAGCTGACATCGGGGACGACAGTATATTTTACTTGATGATACTTAAGACAAATTAGAAGTCAAGGGTTTAGTAAAGTTTTAAATAAGGCTTCCAGGATCTATTCCAGCAACTGTAGTTAAACGCTGCGACTATAACGTACATATATACTAGCCTAGCATTAAAGTCTCACTTGCTTCTCCAGATCTTCCAGTTTCTTAGTCATCTCGTGAATCTTCCCTTTGAGGATGTTGTTTTCTCTCTCCTTCTCGGTTAGTTTGTCTTGAAGTTCTTTTCTTTCCTTCACGCCCGTTATCCAGTCCTGCGTTGCTTGGTCGCGCTGTGGAGCACCATTCTCGTTATTTTCTTCAGACATGAGATGTGAACGTTGTCAAACGGATTAAAATTAATCTTGTCTAAAAGTGTGATACAGGTGAAAATCGATCTCAATGACGTGCGATAAACACTTGTCAGCAGTTTATATGTCGCTCATTTGTTTTCATATACACAGTGGTTGCTATATAACATACATTCCATCACGCTCTGCTGCTCCTTTGCAAAGGTGCTTGTAGACCTCGTAATATAACTAGCAGAAGAAATAACTCCAAGGAATTATGAAATGTTCCTTCATCAAAAGATTTATATTTCCCCCTCTAGTCAATCATGTTCGATTTTGCAAAGAATCTCGTTGCCGACCGTCGAAATGGCAATCGGGTTTGGAATGCGTGATACGAAAACACTCATACATAATGTATTTACTCCCAAAGCCTATAGTCTGCGCCCGCGAACATTTTAGATTGCTCAAATCCAACATGGTGACTTATCGAAAGATGCCAAATGACAGATTAGTAGATCCTTATAAAAACTGCTAGTAAAGAAAGTTTTATTGATCTTGGAATCTTTCAGTATGGACTTTGACACGCCTACGTTGTTGTACAATGAAGAGGAATATGGACGAACGCCTAAAAATCACAAGTCCATATTTATCTATGAATGGCTGAGGAATCTTGAAGACAACATCCCTGTTGCTTCAAAGGTATCACTTTGTGAGATTTATTTTCAATTTCATTTCCTGCATCTAAAGGTCTTCCCCTTTTCAGTTGCTCTGTATTTTTATCACCTAGGCCTTGATCTTTTTTTAGTGGAACTGTAGAATACCTGGCCATTTCAAACAAAATCAATACCAGCTGTACTTAATACCCATTAAAAGGCTGGACCTGCAGTTTAAATATATAGTGTACATTGTAGGTCCAAATGAAATTCTGGTTAAAACGGTTTCAAGCTAGTTTGGTTGCATGAATTTCGTTTTTTTTTTTGTTTCTTTAACCTTGCAGTGATGAGGTTGAAATGGCATGGTAAATGTACTATAATTATTGTATTAGACAGCTCTTATATCACTTCTTTTCTGTCTTGTCCTCTTACAAAGAGTTTGTCGGGAAAAATTGCCCTCGATTGCAGGTCTTAATAATTCTCTTAAGGTAAAACTAGTTAATGAAGGGATTTCAAGGCTGTGCTCTAGCAGAGCCCGGTGGCCTGTGGCGCCTAACTCTTGTTCTCAGGTGACTAGAAAATCTTTGCTTTTTCATAGAAATCATATGCTGGGCACACTGGATTTCACAAGTTCAGGGCACTGGCTCCCTTCAATTTTTCTTAGAGCACAGCCTTGGATTTTGTTTAAATGCTGCACAACTTTATTATTAATATGACTTTAGAATTCTAATGATCTTCATCATACTCAGTGTACATAGTTATGTGAATTTATTTATCTCTTGAGATAAGATTGTTAGAACATTTTTGTGTTCATCCTATAGGCTCAGATTAAAGATTCACAGCAGAAGCTTGAGGTGCAGCTCTCGAAACAGCTGACTGAAATTCTTGGCCCTCCTACCAGACAGCTGTTAGCAAAATGTTATGCATTGCTTTACAGTGTGGGTAACACATTCACAATGTATGAAACAGTCAATAAGTGCAGTGATATTATCAAGTCAAAGGATGAATCCCAGTCTTATCTTCCAGTTAAACTGTAAGTTTTGTGCAGTAAATTATGTCTGCAAATAATTTTTCTTTTTAGAAAGGACATGCCTGCAACCAGGTCACCTTTTCAGCAGAACAGACAGACCAAAAACGTTGTCGACAAACATCATGTGGACTGAAAATTGTTTAAATCAATGTGCAAATCTTAAGCTACAAAATGATAGCATAGCTTTGGTATTTAATCCATCCGGTCATCATGTCTGACCACTGGTAGTTTTGCCATTGAACATGGGCAAATGTCAGTGGGACATTTTCTCATGACCAGCTGTTGGATATATTTTTTATGCTGGTGTATGGTAAAAAGCGTCTTTGATTGGATGCTAAGGGAATGTGGGCCTCTACAATTCTTATCAATTATAATTTCTAGGTTAATATGGTTAATTTTTTATTTCTGTTAATTTTTGTGTTTCCTTTGTGTCAAATTCATTAGAATATTTTACCATACCCAAAAACAAAGGAAAAACAAAATATAATTAAGCAAAATAACAATGTTACAGTTCCAAAAATTGATTTTTATTGATAAATATTGAGTCACTAATTTTTCTTCTATGCCTCATTACCTTCTACTTGCTACAATGGCAGCAGGATTAGCTCAGTTGGTAGAGTGCCTGATTGAAGAGCAGGAGGTCGTGGGTTTAATATTTCCCAGGGCTAGACCAATACTCTGGGTCTTAAAGTAACTGAGAAATGAACCTAATGACATTGTCCTGCAAATGGCTGGATCTTTGCATAGCTCGGATGACCACATAAAATGGTGGTCCCATCTCCAGAAAGGGGGTGTGAAAAATAGTGTCCCCAACAAGTACTTTTGTGCTAATACATTGACTCTCACATAAAGTGCAGTTTTTTTTTCCAAATCTTTTTTTCATTTGTCATTTTCAGATTTCCATTGATTCTGCCAGTATTTCTCAGAAACAAAAAAATCCAGAATATTATTTTGTTTAATGAAAATAATTATTATGTTTTTTTTTACTTTGGTATTATCACATTACTTTTATAGAACTGCAGTGACTTGCATCGGAGCGATCTATGAAAAATTGGGAAGAATGGTAATTTGACTGTGTCATTATTGTTTCTCTGAGTGACTTTTGAAAAAATAATAAATTATTTTTATAACAAGGCTGATTATTATACAACAGTATTTCATTGTTCTTGTTTGTTTACAGGCAGGTGGATCATTTCAGGAGACAGTACAGACTTTAATCAAAGCCATGAAAAATGCAGAGGTGCTTTTAATTTACAGTAATTTGAAGGATATTAATGTAATAGCTCATTCAAAGTGCTAAATATTTATGTAGTTATTGTAAATGTTAAGATTGTAAATTCTTGTATATTCAAGCTACAACCTGTTAAACCTGTCAACCAAAAATAATTGCAGTGTTTAGACACTTCACCAAAAAATTGTTTTCTTACTTCATTGTGCCACAAAGGCAGAATTCTTATGTTTACAACATCAATTTCTCCTCCCCTGCCTTTTTCAGGGTTGGCCTTGCAAGTTTGAAAATGATCTTGGAATCCTTGCAATTTTGATAATACTATATATGTTCTTGAAGATATTAGCCTTTCAGGCTACTCTGAAATTCGAGTATAAATAAAGTTCGTAAGATTCGATATCAGGCTTACATGTACATGTACAGAGAAATGCGCTACATTTTCATTGACACTGCCAATGAGTGCAATAAGTCTTTTTTTATTTGATAGCTGGGAAATGTACTTAAAGAGGATGAATTTTGCAAATTGTGAAGAATCAGGATTTGGCCAAGCATAAATCATTACTTTGTAAAAATTTTCATCTTAAAAGTTATGGGTAAAGGCCTATAACCTTCTTGTTACCTTAAAATCAAATAGGACAGTGTCTAATATGGCCTTTCTAGTTCCATTTGCTTTTCCCTTTTACTAGCTCAGGGACATAACCCAACAGTATTAATTTTGATTTATCTAGTCCCAGGGACGCTGTGAAATTATGCTGTGTCTTGAGCGGGTACTACGGGGTCTTGGAAGTAATGGTGCTATGATACATAGGGATGTTTACAAAGCAGTTCGGGGAGCTTTAACAGACAGAAGCATGTCTGTTCGTTGTGCAGCAGCAAAGGTATGCAAGATCACTCTGTTTTTCATAGTGCAGGAAAATACTCTAAAGGCTGCATTTGGAACATTGACATAGACTTTTAAACACCATTTCCTTACCATTTAAACATGCTTTTCTGTATTTCAGTGTGCCTTGGAGTTAATGAAGCAGGCCAACTTTTTGTATACTAGTGAACTTGAAAACATGACATCAACTTGTTTCAAAGCATTGGAAGGATCCAACTATGATGTGCGTGTTTGTATTGCTCAACTGATTGGTTCATTAATGGCCATGACGCAGACTCCTTTAACTCCAGCAACAGGCAAAGGTAAAAAGACTGTCAGTCCCTGCAGTCTTGAGGAAGTGTTTGCATCTATGTCAGGAGGATTCCTGCGTGGAGGTACAGGTTTCTTAAAGGGGGGCGGTGGAGAGCTGCTTAAGAGTACTGCACCACGTGAAGTAAGAGTTGGTGTCACACAGGTAAGCAATGTTCTCAGAATCTTTTTTTTCAAAATTGCTTCTTTTTTTCAACGGCTGCAATGGTACATAACATGGCCAATATTCCTTGCTAGACTTCCAATTTAAACTGTTACTTATACACTGTACTGCCATGACTGAGTGCTTTGATAACCTTGAGGTGGCTTGATCAAGATTACATGTATGGCCATGTTGGTTGTAGCCATTGCTATTGCCTTCTCTAATTAGTCTCAGTGGTTGATCAAGTTAAGTTTTGAGTGAATATTGACTCCATTCTCGACTCAATTTGATTCCTGCAACAGTTGAATTAAGATTGCAAACTTACTTTTGATTGGTGCTGTGTGTATTTGATTACCAGGCATATGTGGTGTTTTTTACTGAGATGGGTGGAGTTTGGGTGCAAAGAAATATGAGCCTGATTCTTAAGCATGTGCTTGAGCTGCTTTCAAGCCCCAAGGCAACACAGACCCATGTGGAGGCAGTCTATTCCAGACGCTGTGTTTCATTTATTCTGCGTGCTGTGCTTGGACGACTCCTGGGTGAACCAGCTCAGCTGGATGCAGCTAAAGAACTGTGCAATTTGATAACCAAACAGATGAACATGGTGAATGAAGCTGTGCATGGTGCTGCTGATAGCAGTTCCTCTGCAAGTGTTATTCAAAGTATGGATGATGTGATTAGTACACAGCATGTTCTTGTCTGTGCACTGCAAGAGCTTGGATGTCTCGTACAAGGACTCAGTACAAATGGCATGTCTCTCATCCATGAGAATTTGCTAGACCATGTCCTGTCAGTACTGCTACACCCAGCTCCTGCTGCGCAGTTGTTAGCAGCTTGGTGCCTGAGGTGTATAACAGTTGCTGCTCCATCACAGGCAACACCCTTGATTGACAGATGTATTAATCGCATTAGTTCTCTCAAGTCATCTGGAGAGGCTGTCGGAGGTTATGCACACACTCTTGCAGCTCTTGTTGGTGGAGTTTATCAGTGTCCACTGGGGATTCCACATGCAAAAGGAAGGGTGAGGTTGCTCTTAAATCATTTTTTTTGACTACCTAAAGTCAGGGTTGTCACTAAGATTTCAAGTTGCCGGGTAAATACAACAAGTAGGAGGGGAATCAAACGGCTAGGGATTTCATTTGGTTCTATTTTTCTTGTATTTTCCAATAAAAGTAGCCGGGGAAAATCCCTGGCCCCCGGCTCTTAATGACAACCCTGTAAAGTGAGAAAAATATAATGATATTTAGAACATTCCTGTCATGTAAGTTCATATGCAAGACTGCTGACTGCAAAGCTCTTGAAACACTTGACCTGTAACGTTGTTGCAGTGCAGTCCCATAATTATTATTGTACACCCCTACAGATCCATGCCTGGGGGGATTTTGTTTTTCATTTAACCACCATGTACAGTGTATCTATTATTTATCTAATTATTTATTTAATTTTTGTTAGGCCATATTCAATGTTGCGGATGAACTCCTGAAAACAGCAACCCAGAATCCTAGACTTGCATTACACAAATCTAAAGCCGGCTGGATTTTGTTAGGGGCTCTGATGACATTAGGTGAGTAGGTACTGTGTATTCTCCAGTATGAAAAACAGTTCCATCATAGTTGGAAAGCTTTTGTCTCACCCTGGTAACCTGGTCTAGAAAATAATTTCCAGTGTTTCTGGAGTTGTAAATAATGTTGGCCAACAGTAACTGTTATAGGATATTACCTAATAACTGTCTTGCAGCCATGTGAAATTTCTAGAAGCATAAATTTTTGACAAGGTAGCTTTTGTGGTTCAAAATAATCTTTGGTTTGAATTTTTTAAAGTTACCAGTTTACGGTAAAGTTTTCAAACTGGTTTGACTTTTTCAAGCTGATTGGAAATTTTTAAACACATTATTACTCATTCTCATTGATTTGTACCTCTCCTTGTAAAATGAGGTATAAAATAAACTTGTGACATCAAGGTCTCACATTTTAGTAAGCATTCATTTTAGCGATTAGGGTTAAGCATTTATTTCAAGTGGTTAGCCTTCATGTAAAGTCATGGCCACAGCACAGTTTCAGTGATTACAGTTAAGTGCTCATTTTAGTGATTAGGGTTAAGCAGTTATTTCAAGTCTTTAGCCTTCATGTAAGGTCATGGCCACAGCACAGTTTCAGTGATTACGGTAAAGTGCTCATTTTAGTGATTAGGGTCAGGCCTTTATTTCAAATGGTTAGCTTTCATGTAAGGTTAGGGATAGCATTTGGTACCCAGTTTTGTGATTGTGGTTAAGTGCTTTGTTTGAATGGTTTGGGTTATCTTACAGTAAGATTTCATGCAAGCCCTTAACCAAATGTAAAAAACAAGGTTTTCTAGTTGCAGAAAGACAAAAGTTAGACACCTGAGGCACCCGGGCTCTGCTAGAGCAAAGTCCCGAGTGCAAGTAAGAAATAAGAAACAAGAAATACTTGGCTTTTGTGACAACAATAAATATTTATTTTTGATTCTCACTAGGCCCATCAGTTGTCAAACATCATTTGCCACAGATGCTGGCGTTATGGTCAAATGCCTTTCCTAAAACAGTGAAGGACTTTAATGAAGAGAAGAACAGAGGTGATGCTTACACATGGCATGTTACTCTTGAGTGCCGAGCAGGAGCACTGTGCTGTAAGTTCAAGCATCATGCTGTGATATAATTTTGGAGGTACATTGCTGTTACTAGGTGTCAAACACATGGCTCTTTGGTCTATGAGTCAGTGCGTCACAGTCAGTTGCTGAGTTAAGCATCCAAAACTCTTCTTTTAGAAAAATATTGCGTTTATGAAATGAAAATGTGCAAGTTATCAGAAGTAAGCAATTGAAGGAAGGAAGACTTCATAATGATTAGCTTACGGGTTGTGTGTATTTCTTTGTTATTTTTTCTGAATTTCAGCCATGGCCAGTTTTTGTGCTTCCTGTTCTGCTCTACTTAATGATGACTTGACTCGTCACCTCTTGGCTACTACAGATGCATGTTTAGCTATGATACCAAGGTAAAATATTTCAAGAAAAAATAACTCTTGCTAAGTTAATTTTTTTGCTCTTAACAGGAGTCTCATGTTGCATTTGATAAAAAAGTCTAGTAGGATGGTTCTTTGCATGGTAAACCTCAGACTGGACAGTTTGGGTTCATGTTCGTGTTTCAAATCTAACTAGCAAAACCAATCCGCACCACTCAAAGTTTGCAATGTTTCTGCTATTTAAGGGAGTGGATACAAATACTAATTAGTTCTTGCATAGAGTTTTCAGAAGTGTATGTGCACCTTAAGTGTCTTGTTCTTTTTCTTCATCACTTGTGATGTGTAAGGGCTTTTGGACTAGGGAATCTCTATAGCATCCAGCAAATCATGGTTAGCACCTCACAATTCTTCCAGTTGACTAGGAGAAACTCTGTAGTTCTTTGAATGGCAGTGGTTGGATTAAGTGGATCTCACGCCCAAAACCCATGATCCTTATCACAAACTGGCAAAAAATATGGGACATGCACTCTGACAATCCCTTCAATTCAGTTTTCTGCCCTGCAGTCAGTTGCCTTTTATTGCAATCTATTGCACTGACATCCACCTTCGACTTGGAGAAGATGACTTCTTTTACAGCACGGTCCTTGTCCTGGTTAAGTCCATCGAGGACTGTGGTCAATAGTCGTAGATATACACTGGCATGAGAAGTCTTGGAAGACAGTGTCACCATTTGTCCAACATGATCGGGTCTACACCGAATGTCGTTTACTGCCAGAGCTCAAAGTTACCTGTCCTGGTGTCACCGATATATGTTGCTTTGATTCTAGGTCACCACTATGGTTAATAACAGCTTCAGATGGACTTACATGGTGCTCATAAGCAATATAAAGCAACACAACACAAAGTCAAGTGAAGAATGATCCTTGCAGGTGTGAATGCAATTTATGCAATTGTGTAAGAAGCCTGAAAAAAAAATGAAGGACTTCAACGGGATTTGAACCCTTGACCAGCTCTCAACATCAGTGGCTTCATAGCTTAAGTGGTTAGAGCATCGCTCGGGTATCGTGAGGTCACGGGTTCAAATCCTGTTGAAGTCCCAAATTTTTTTAAGGCTTCTTACGCAATTGCATAAAATAATTGCGTTCACAACTGCAAGGATCATTCTTGACTTGATTTCATTTCCGCAGTTCTTATATATGATTTGCTCCATATACTTTTGTCACAACACAATGACAAAGTGTCCCCCTTTACGGTAACCCTAGAGTGGGGGGACTTATGCTACTATCAGAAATAATAATAGTCTTATACATTTTAATGAATACTACGTAACACATTTGCGTTTGGTTAGCTTTCCTCAGATAATCAAGCAGCATGGGAATCATTTGAAGGCCAGTTCTGCTATTGTCAGATTACGATTATATTCAGTACTTTCTCTTCTGCGACCAAAGCTCTATGAAGGTTTGTACCCTAGCAAGACCTTAAGGAAAGCTGTTCCAAAAAGGAGAATAGTTCCTTGTGTTTGATCATGGCATTTCACCTCCGCTTTTGTATTGTCTGATATTACTTTCCATGTCCAACATGCTTACACTAATAAGCCAGTGTATTCGGTATTGTATATTTATGACCCTTCGGGAGGTATTCTAACACTTTCACGTGGAATTAGCTGATGCTTCCAAATTTGAGCTAAGGCTTATACAAAGTGTGTGACATAACTGGAGTACTGTTGTTAATCAGCTCTCGTTTAGGGAAACTCTAATTTTTATATAGTGCTGAAAAAGAAAAATAATAACATACTGGAAAACAGTTTTTTTAAGAGATATCATTTTGTCAACAAGCTCACGAGTTGGTACATCAGTACGTCTCCTTTATAGGTGTTCTTACACAAACTGTAGATACACCTACACATAACAGCCGTGAGGTATGGTGAGGTATGTGGAATCGTCAACGGGAGACTTTCTTTAGCCTTGTCTTAAAGTATATTTTATTTTTAATTGCATTAACTTTAAAAGCGAAAATCGGTTTTCACTTTTGGTATGTACACCCCGATAAATTTTTTCCTGTAACCCTCTGTAGGAAGCTTCCATTCTCTGTTGCGCTGCTTGGTGGCAGAATTCACTTTGGCAGAAAATCCTGCCATGACAACTACATCGCTGCTGCGCACTGTGTGCCACAAGGATGATTCTATTCTGCTTGGCTCATGGCTTCAGGAAACAGACCACAAGTTTGTTGAGGAGCAGGTTTGTAAGACGTCAAGCAGAGTCTTCTGTTTGAGTTTGAAAGTAATCTGATGTTGCTGGATGAACAAAAATTCAAATATTTGCATCGTTATTTATATGTGCACTGTGTATCTACTAGTTGCTTTTAAAAACCTGATCTTTTTCTTTTTTTATCCCAGCTTCAAACCAATAGTGCATCAGGGTCTGGATCTCTTGAACATGATCCATCATGTATATTTGAACGCTGCCCTGAGGTATACTTGTCAAACGGCGAACATTTTTTATGTTATTTGCAAAATATTATCGGCAGTTTCTGTCGATTTTTGTCACTTCTGCATTTTCCTAGTTAAAAACATAGTTACTAGAGTGCAATGGTTATGAAGCCCTTCAGATGTTTTTGTGGACCTGACGATGCACAACGTTCAATAGAATTCCTATCATTTTGACTGATGTTATTGGCAAATAAAAACGTCACATTGATTTCAGATTGTTCCGTCATATTTTGTTAACCAAAAAAATGTTGTTCTTATCTTCCAATTCGATGTTTGCCGTCTTTCTCAACCAGTCTTACAACACTGTATGTTGAATACTGCTGGGTACTTTACTTTCCACCGTAAGTTGTTCAATTTAATAACTTTGTCTGCCCTTTCAAAACTGTTTGTTTTGTGTATGTTGAATAAACTAGAGCAGCCGTGCATCTGAGCTGTCAGTATTGACAGATGATGACAGTCTTTCTTTAAAACTTTTGTAACTGTAATGTCAAACTGTTTTGCGGCTTAAGAGTAGAACCATTGGGAAAAAAATCATAAGGGTGGTCAGTTTGTCTGTTAACAAGTTATCTGAATCATGGGGTGGAGATGTGAAAGATATGATAATCAGCCTTTCACAAGAGTAGACAAGTAATTTCTTTTTCATCCGCTTGAGACGTGCTGATTATCACATCTTACACATTTATTTACTGAGCTCAAAAATGAAAATTGCCCGGCATCTTTCTTTATTTATCCCAATAGGGTGAAGATGTGCCTGGTCCACTGCCTTTAGGTGTGGCAGTCATAGATTGGTCCATCAAACTCTTTGGAGCTGTGTTCCCATATGTTGCACAAAAGCACCGCAGTCAGCTGCTGGCTCATTTTGCTGAGTGTATTCGGCAGGCCAAGTCATCAAGACAACAAGCGATACAAACCAACATCTTGACAGCATTTCTCGTTTCCCTGAAGGTACTGCCAGTACACTTTCTGAAACAAATTCAAAACATTCCTCCCATCTCTGCGTTAAGTTCCCATCTGTAAAACATTTGCCTGTTCTTGAACAGTTGCCGCTGCATATGAAGGGATGCGGCTTATTCTCGACTAGCAGATATTCTTTATAAAAGCAGTTGTCATAAGTTGAGTGGTATTTTTGCGTATTCTATATTTTTGAGTTACAGTAGTAGTTCGGCGATTCTGTCTTTGAATAACCTGTGGAATCTTCCACGATTTTCTCCAGTTTCTCGCTGTCAAAGCAGCTGAGTCGCCACGCCACTTATCCTTCTTTCTGTTAATATCATTACAATTGACGACAATTGTATCGATCCAGCCTCCTCCTTCGCAGGCAACTCCGGTTACACGATCCATATCGGCGATTATTCTCTAAATTTGTTCAATGCTTGCTGATTTTGAAAAATTATCCGGGGGGGGGGGGGTCAAAGCCAATCAGAAAAGGAGAATGAATTGTTTTGAACGAATAATAGTGGGTGGTGGACCTTATCACTGGAGGTAATAAATACGACCAAGATAGCTGTTCGGGAAACATACAAAGTAAATGATAGAACGAACGTCTGTTTCATACCTTCTACCTGAATTGAAAAGTATCAACAATTATTTGTTTTCAGGGACTGGCTGAGTCAAAGACCAGTGTGGGTGATGAGGATGTAAGAAATACTGCTGTCAATTTAGTCATGGTAAGTCTTCTGGAGCCACTTTTCTTTTCTTCACCTACAGTCAATTTTGTGCTCGTGCTTTTAGTCAAAACAGGTTGAAAGATGCGCCTTAGCCGGGGTACGCTTTTGCCGAAAGTAAACAATGGACATTATTTTTATTATTATTTAGGCTTTTCACTGATATTGTTTTTATGGTTATGGGACCATCCAACCTTGAATAGCGAGCTAATCAAGACAAGAGTAAGATTTAAATCATTGAAAATTTAGGAACCAGAATAGAAGGGAGAAGCTTAAACTATACGCACCCAAACGGAAGTTACAAAGAGAGTGTGATTTGTTTCATCTTTTGAAAGTACTTGTCTTCTTCTTGATAACAGTTCTTACATATAAAAAGTGTCTTACGACTGGGTCTTTTTTCTAGGCTAGGTTACACTGGGGGAGATTGTTCCAGATTCTCAAATGCTTCCTGGGGCCCGTTTCTCGAAAGACCCGGAAACTTTTCGGGCCCGAAGACAAATGTTAAAATCCTAACCTGTTGAATAGGTAGCACAGTTGCTAGCCCACAAACCAGTCAATTTTTCCTCTTTAACTGACAGTTTCATTGAATTATTTTCAAAATTATTGAAACTTTGATCTTGAATGCCAAGACAACAAACACAAAACAGCTTTCCGGGCCCCGAAAAGTTACCGAGACTTTCGAGAAACGGGCCCCTGATTCGTTAGATTGGGGTATTACGGGGCGTTTACACACCGGCTTCAATTAATTCAAAAAAGTCCACTCGGATACAAAGTGTTCTGGCACTTAAGATTCCAGATAAAAAATCTCTGGACACTCGACCAAACCGGGACTTGTTTTTTGCGTGTAAAAAAAGAAACACAAATCCAGTACCAAAGTGTAGGATCCGTCCCGATTTAGGGAAAATCTTTGGTAAAATAACCCTAGCCAAGGTTACACGTAGAAGATTTGCTTGTGTTTGTTTAATGACAGGGTGCTGTAACAAATCCTGATCCGATTGTTCGCTGCGCCGCGGGTGAAGCTCTGGGACGCATAGCTCAAGCTGTAGGGAGTCCTATTTTTACATCAAACATAACTCAGAAGATCTTTGATCAGCTGAAGGCGGCTCGGGATGCTGTGTCCAGGACTGGATATTCTGTTGCACTCGGCTGTATTCACCGATATGTTGGAGGAATGGCTTCAGGACATCATCTAAACAGCAGTGTTAGCATACTTCTCGCTTTAGCCAAGGATAGTTCCTCCTCTTTAGTCCAAGTATGTTATGTCAGCCAAACATTTTCTTTTTTTTTTCAATCGGCGACAAAATGAGTTGAGACATTTCGCGCTAAAGGGGCTTTTTGACGTTTTACTGACTTCAAAAGAGAAAAATATAACTTTTCCTCCCCCATCCCCTCCATGCAATGTTGTGCCAAACTTAGAGCTATCTTTAGAAAACAACAAACTCCCCAACTTTGAAAGGAGGAGACAGGGGAGGAGTGTGGATTCTTATGTTGTCTGAAGTTACCCTATTTGAGTACAATGTCTCAAAAATTTTGTCGCCGATTGTGGTCGTAACAGAGACATATTCCATAACTCAATAGACCCTTCCGGGTTTTTTCAACTTTTGGCTGGGACCAACTAGCGAAAATCCCTCAACACGGCTAAAAGTACCCCTTACAATTAGTCAAGTTGCCAAGTTTAAACGTAATTTGTTGAAAACTAGCTAAGATATAGCTACGCAAACTCGCCGAGTTTTACAAAGGTTTGTATGGTGGGGGGAAAGTTTGTGCCCAGACATACGTCTGGAAAATTTCGCGACTTTGTGGACCAATATCTTCGCTCGCTTTGGACGTATCTGAGAAAGGCTACGGACAGAGTACACTTTAAGCAGATAGTCGTAAAAGTTTTGAGGTCATCGGGGACATGAGAAATTTGCCAGGCCTTAAAATCTTAATTCATGAAAATTATGATTACTGCAATACTGTCAATATCACCATTACCATTATTGTAAATGACTTGTGAGTCAGGGTAATTGTAAGAATTTCTCTTTGCTAACCCTTATATTTTTTTTCTGCTTTGGGCAGCCTAGATAGTTGATCAAGCTATGTTTTTGGAAGCAATTCCTCCGCAAATGATTAAATGTTTACATGCGCATTTAAGATAATTGTCCACAGAATTCGGAGGTATAACGGTATCAAGGAGGCTGAGCAATTCACTGTATTGTGGTAATTTATATGTAGGTTTGGGCATTGCATGCTTTGGCTCTTATTGCCGACTGTGGTGGTCCAATGTTCCGAAGCTATGTTAATCCAACCTTGGAGCAAGTTGTTGACCTTGTTTTGACCGTACCATCTGCTATAACCGAAGTTCACCAATGTCTTGGGAAATGCCTGGCTGCTCTTATTACATCAATTGGTCCTGAACTTCAAGGTGAGCGGCAACCTCAATTGTCATCAGTCAATACGTCATAGAAGACACTGCACTGTTGAGACATGTTTCGGCAGTTTGATAAGTTCTTCTTAGTTGCAACTATTTATGATGGAATTGAATACAACATAAACTTTAAGAACGCTTAAAACTTGGGGGTTAGACTTAACGATGAGTTTTCTTTGCAGTAGTATTCAATAGTTTTTGCTTACAGTCGATTTGCAGAAAAGTTTTAACTCGAGGAGCTGAGTTGTTATAAGCAACAACAAATTTAAACCACAATTGATCTAATGTGTTAGAATAGTGGCCTTTTTGAAACTCCATTCAACACTTTTTTCAATTTGTAGGAACATCAAAGTCTATCCGGGACCTGCGTCTGTCATGCGTGGTGGCCTGTGCCATCATGCAAAACCATCCGGATTCATTAGTTCAAGCAGAAGCAATCAACTGCCTTCAGCAGCTTCATGTGTTTGCACCAAGCCATATTAACATAGGAACTGTTGTTCGCAAATTATGCGTCAACCTTTCAAGCCCTCACCTGTTGTTACGGCGAGCTACGGTGGCTTGTCTTCGTCAATTGTCGCAGAGAGAAGCAAAAGAAGTCTGTGAAAATGCTTCCGCTGCTGCAGAGGAGCTAAATAAAAGACGGCAGTCCAGTTATGCTGTTGTTATAGGCGACAAAGGCTTAGAAGGTATAGATTTTAGTGTTTGGTCTAGGGCGCGCTTTTGTGCATGCTGTGCTTTTTTAACACCTTCTCTTGTATAGAAAGGAGAAGTGGTTACGTCACGTTGCCATGATAGCAGGATCTCTGGATCTCAACCGTGGTCCTGCTGGAAATATGGTAGGAAAAAAATTGACATGTACAGTGGAACCTCGATTTAACCAACGACTATATAATGAAGTCAACGGTATGACGAACGATATTCTTCGCCCCAGTAATAGAAAACTACAGCTATTTCGAGGAAGGTTTTTCGGATAAAGTGCACGCTACAACCCCGAAAGGTATTGTGGGTGGTTTTGAGTTCACGGTTTTTTCAAAGAAAATTGAAAGAATGGCACGAGAGGCCATGGACATATGTTTGCGAGAGCTAAAGGAAAGCAACAAAAGTAGGTTCGACAGCTATAGTGTCGGGAACAGTGTATTGATCATATCCCTTATTACCTTTCGCGATTGTCCCGTGCACATTTTTTCCGACAACCTTTCTCGAAATAGCAGTATATGGGAAAGAACCTCGACATAAGGAAACCTTGTTATAGCGCAAGTATTTTGCTAACCCCCCCCCCCGTTCATGATTGCGCTCAGGAACTAAAAAGTACTGTAACGTGTTTTTTAGGTGCATTGTTTGGCATGTTGGACACAGAGACTGATGTACGGTTAACATCCGATATTCATGATACTTTAAACAGCATGCTTCAGTCTCTTGCTGCTAATAATCTCACTCACTGGCTGGGGCTGTGTAGGGATGTCTTGTCGGCATCTAAAAGCGGTAAAGGAGGAAACGGAGGGGACGCTCAAAAGAGAGAAACTGAAGAAGGTGAAATATTGACACTATATGAACATTTTGTTGTACAGTGATGTTTGATAAACCTAGACAGCGCGATAAGACAATACAATTTAGAATGCTTGAGGTTAACTCGTCAAATTATGAAACGGTTTAAGGCCTTCAGTATTTTAAGGAATTAAGACATGGCACTGTAAACTGTTTAAACAATGCCTGACAATTAGTAAAAATGACTGAAACTGAGAGGCCTGATTTGGCGCTCCATTCCGTGTAATTGTTTTCGAACGAAAAAACTTTTTCATTCTTTGTAATAGTTAGTTCCCAAGACTTCAGCAACAATGCTACGCTAAAAAAGTTGAGAATAAGTTAAATTTTTGTAAGTTATGAATATCCCCATTGGGAAACTGCACACTAGTGTGAAGGGTGTTGATTTGTTTTGGTTGTCCTGTGCATTGCCTCTTTAGAAGCTGATGAGGGAGGGGAGGGTGATGCTGATGAAGGAGGAGGAATGACAGCAGGGGAGGCCCCTGAGGAAACTCATCCCAAGGTGGATCCAAGATGGCCGACAAGAGTGTTTGCTACTGAATGTATCAAGAAAATCATTACCGTTTGTCAATCAAGACAACAAGCTCATTTTGATTTAGCACTGGCCCGTGAGAGGCGGCAGCAGACTGGAGAAGGTAGGAGTAATTATGTGAACTCTTAAGGCAGTTCAGTGTTTGTCTGCTTTATCTTATAAACCTTTGTAAGTATCTACCCTTGCAGTTTCCAAGAACGGAAGGGCTTAAGCGAGGAAAAAGATCACATACTTCAAAGTTTATAACAATATAACGTTTATTTTAAAACATGAACTGCAACGCAAAAAAATATGTTATTTAGGTTTTCTTGAAGACCCAATAGAGATTGCCCATTTGCCATGCAAACAGAAGAGTCGACACCTTTCCTTTATAGGATGTGATTCTCTTCTCCAACAGACATATTCAAAATGTATTTCCGCTCTGTTACAGTACCTCCAGGACCTCCCAAAAGGAAATGCAGCTTCAGGAGCATCAAAGTTGTCAAGGCCATCATTGTCATTTCTCAACCCTTTTTTTTTTCTTATTTTCGTTGTTTTTGCAGATTTTCTAGTCATGCATCTTCAAGAGGTTGTCAGAATGGTGTTTATCGCAGCCACAGCCATCTGTGATCAGTTGAAGCTAGCAGGGTTGAGCACTTTACAGGTACATTAACCAACTCTTTTATATGGTGGCTTTATTCATTAACTCTATAATTTATGACGTGTAAAGGTCTTTCTTTGAACAGCCACCTCCCCTTAAATATGCTCCCTTCTGCTAGCCCAAAACTAAAAATACGCTCGTCTAAAGATTTAGTGCCCTCTCCCACCCCCTGCATTTGATTTAGTAGTTTACAGTCCCTATTAAGATATTAAGTGGGCACCTTACGTTAGACGAGATCCTGTCCACCGTCCTCATACGCGACTGAAGTGTCTCCTGCGTTTTTATTTTCGGCCTGTGTGAGTGTGTCTTTAATATTCTTTGTAAATTTATTTCAGGATGTTGTTAACATATTTGCTTCAGTTTCTGACCCTGATTATCCAGGTCATGTTATACTCGAGCAGTTTCAAGCTCAGGTGAGAGTTGTCACTTTAAATTTTCCGTTCTGAGGCAGTTCAATCAATCAATCAATCAATCCTTCAACTAATCAATTTATTTGTGACATAGCTTGAGATAGGACTGCCCCGAATATCCGAGTAAGAGGTTCATGTATAAAACGCATGACAATAATACATGGGTAGTTGAAGTACGTCTTATAAATGTAGGCAATGAGACAAAACATAATGAATTTATTTAGTTTTTAGTGAAATGTTGCGATAGATGTACCAGAAAATATGAACGTATCGTCTAAAAATGAACTAACAATGATTGGCAGGGAGCAGTAAAAATGCAGAAAAGAATAAGAAAGAATAAAAGGGGAACTGAAAAACTTCCCGATTGAACACGATCTCTAAACAAAAAACTCGAGGTTTAAATTCCTCATTTGTAATAACTGAAGACAATTGCCTCGCTCTGCGTAATTGTGGGTAAACTGTAGTAGGTCGCAAGGAGTGCGCTAACCACAGTACCTTCTTCTGTTAAACATGAGGCGTAATGTGTTTTTACAGGTCGGCGCTGCTTTACGACCAGCGTTTGCGTCTGATATGCCGTCTGATGTTACTGCTATGGCGTGTGAGGTCAGTAAAATTATATTGTGATCTTGACCATTGAGCTCAAATTTCCTGTATTGCAGCTTACAACGTACAAAGCACTGTTACGGTGGTTCCAATCGAATGTCAGTAAACCGAAAGCAAAGTATTTGCAGAAGCAAATCAACCAATCAGCACACTCCAAGCAAGTACATACAACCGGTGCCGGTCAAGAGCGCGAAAAACTCTCTCGAGCAAGTCACGATCAGGTTAAGTTTTATGATTGGTTGAAATGTTGGCGTGAGATTGTTTTCAGCCAATCACAAACTATACCAATGAATGAAAAGTCAAGCTTCTCTTTCTACTTTCACACTGATCACGCCGTATAGCACGCGTTTACTGCGTTGAAAGCCTTTCAAGTTTTGGGCCTGTTATCAGTGTTACAAGCATGTACTTCTTGTGAACGTGATCTCAGATATGAGCTTCCACAATTAACTGTGTATAGAAATTTATGTCTGATTTTTTTCACTCGTCCCCTTTTTAAACCACAATTTAGCAAAGCTATTATCTTTGTTTTTGGTGTTTTCAGGTCTGCAGTGCATGGATTGCTAGCGGCATTGCACGAGACTTGAATGATGTACGCAGAATTCAGCAACTGTTAGTAACTAAGCTCTCGAAAGTTGGACAAGCAAAAGATTCTTCTTTACAGCTGTACAATGAGGCTGCCACTACAATGGAAAAGCTTGCTGTTTTGAAAGCTTGGGCAGAGGTTCTGTTTATTTAATTTCATTGTGTATTATTTTCAGTTTTGTATGGTCGGTAGAACTCAGCTTAGATACATTGTCCATGTTGTACATGGACATAAGCTCCCTGATGGAGACTGAATATGTTGCCAATCTTCTTTGTATTCTTGTTATGGAACATGACCAATTGATCGTACCCTTGCTGAGATGTCTTGTTGTTTCAAAGAAGCTAAGTTTTTCATTGTTAATGCAGTTTTGGCTTTCACTAAGGGTTCATAGAACTGTCTAAAAGAAATATCAGGATGCTCGGATTGGCAAAATTGGAGAAGTTTTAAGCGGATTACGTTGGGGAAACCTTGTAAAAAACGTCCGTCTGATTTAAAGTTCAGGTCCCGGTTGTTCACTATCCAGTGGATAGGTATTAGGGAAGGCATTTGCGTTATCTATTGGATACAGATTTATCCCGTAAATACTGTTATCCATCTTTCGAACAACTGGGCCCTGATCTTTTGATTACTGGCTATGAAATCAAGCGCGCGCAAACCGGTGATATACCTAGTCTCAGAAGAGTAATATTTGCTGTGTTGATATCAGGTTTACATAGTTGCCATGAAGCAGCAGGATAGTCCGACTCCATCGAGTGCAGGTGAAGAGGAAGACTTTACAGAATCTTCTGGCAGCCTATTGGAGTTAGTGCAACCAGAATTAAAATCGCTCAGTAAATACTGGCTCGGAGCTCTGAAGGATCATGCGCTTCTTGCTTTGCCGGCAGAATATTCATCTCAGCTGCCACCCCAGGGCGGGATGTTTTACAGGTACCGTATTAACCTTTAGTCTTAAATGATACAGATGGAACAATTGTTGATAAGAAAGATGTCCTCAGCGTGACATAAGCAGTGGGCAATGATTTTTCCCTGATAATAATTAGATCTAGGATCTCTGTTAACTAGTTGGTGATCAATGCACAATTTTGTTGATGTTTTTGTTTTAATTAGTAAGCTGAAAATGGAGACCCATCTTTGAGGGCCTCTCATGAGGTTACCATAGAAACACATCACTTTCCCTAGATTGTGCTGTTATTATTACACTACTGTTGCTTGTTCCAGAAAAACTCAGAGCGATCAAAATTAGAGTTACAGTTCTACTTTAATTCACGCTGAGTTAGAAAAGTTTTAGAATTTCTTTACGTAACAATATTTGCTGTGTTGATGTGCTGTAGCCCTGACTCTATGGATCAAGCCAAACCTCATTACCAGAGTAGCTGGCCTTCTGTTGTTCATGCAGCTTCTTTGTGGTTAAATAATGGAGGATTTGAGAGCATAAAGCGTGATATGGAGCAAGGTAAGTTACCAGGGTAAATGAATGACCTGGGTTTGATATAATGATGAATATTTCACGTTTCGTCAAAATAAACCAAACAAAAACAACAACAACAACTAACTAACTGTAGCCTAAGAAAATAGCCGACATTGCACGACGCCACCACTGGTTCCCCCACGAAATGATGTCAGAATTGAGCGCAGAAATTCCATATTGGTGACGTGTCACTACCCAGATCTGGGTAGTGACGCTTCATCATTATGGAATTTTTGTGCTCATTTCTCAGACGTCATTTCCCGGGGGAACCAGTGGTGACGTCGTGAAATGTCGCCTGTTTTCTCAGGCTACTAACTAACGTTATTTAGAGAGGGATGGGTAGGGATGCACGGTTTCAAGAATTGGTAAAACTTTGGCCCTTGAAGTCTCCCCAAATCAACTTAGCTAGAGACACCTTCAAGGTTGAACTAAAATTTGTGAGATGAGGATTTTAGAGGAGAAGAGGAAACTGGAGAAATAAGCAAAGGAGAGAACCAACAACAAACTAAACTCACAAATGGTGTGTGTCGACTCAGGGACTCGAACACAGGATACATTGGTGGGAATTCTTTCAACACTGTGCCATCATCCCTGCTCCTCATACCACCCGACGCTTACGTTAATCACAAGGCTAGGAAAATCATTCCTGAATACGAACTTATATTTATCTTTCAAGTTCATTTTCATCAGTTTTACATCGGTCACGGTATATGCAGACAATTGCCCCTAGAACCACTCCTTCGAAAACGTAGAGTTTTGTGACAGAGTGGGGAGGCGGGAAGAAGTAACTTTAGAGTGGTCTTTGTTCTTCCAGGGTTGTCAAGCGGTTCTGTAGAAATTAACAATGGAGCAGTGATCACAACTGCTAAGACACCAACAGAAGTCAACGCCGATTACTTTCATTTACTGGTGGGCATCTGCATGGAGTCTTTGTGTTCATCCAGAGCGACGCAACCCAACAGTACTGTGTCAGCCTGTCTGAGTGCATTCTACAGTTTGCTAGATTCACAATGGGCGAGAACACTCATTGGAAAAGAACAGGTGATGTCAACAAAGTGTCTTGTTTTGCTTTGAATATGGGCATTTAAAAGGATCGTGAATTCGGACCCTGCATTGGTAGAGTACTGTGAGAGTGATGTAATTACTGGGGTTATTGTTTTTCTTGTTTTAAGTTACTACAACACAAAGATTAGCAAGTAGTCCATGCCAAAACTGCAGAGAGTGGTTTCATTTGTGTAATAAACTCCAAATTAGTTAGAGTAGAAACTTAAAAGAAAGGTTCAACTCTGCCTTAGGTAGTTTTGGCACCCTTGAGTATGAGTGACCCCTGTTGAATACTTTGTTGTTATTGTGGTTATTGGTGTAGTCAGTAGTAATCTACCATTACCGCTGTCTCTTAAATTATCTTCCCTGGAAGGCTTATACTGTATTCTTTCCAGCTATTTTCGAGGGGGAGGGTGACCCATGGTTGTAAAAGCTCGATTTATCAGTCAGCTGTCTTTTAACGAAGCTTTGAGTGGACATAAGTGAATAAATTGTGGCCCTTCAAAAACGGAACGCGTAATGGATAGGGGGAGGCTTACCAAGCAAGTCACATCTTCATGTTTTTCTGTTTTTTTTTACCCGGCAGATTCTTGGTGTTGAGTTGCTGAGTGTGTTACACAGAGTGCTGCTTACACGAGAGTCACTCGATATTCATTTTGCTGCAATCAGAGTTGTTAGCCAGATTATTAAAGCAGCACAGGAATCATTAGACAGCAAAAAGGCTGCAAATGCTGAGTACGTAACATCTCACTTTATTATCTCAATTATAAAGAATGACTGAATAAATAATTGTAGTTATATGAACAGCTGTAATACCTGTAGAATTTCTTCCCGGAACTGCTACAATTGTTATGGTGTTGTTTTCCTCTTGAAACTTACACCTCTTTACTGTGAAAAGACAGAGGCTCCGCTTGAAGGAGGTTCCTTACGTGCCCACTAAACCACTTAAGAATGTTTAAAGACTTTTTGATTGTGGCTCATGGTTCTATTTGCTTGCTTTGCTGCTTTGCAAGTCAGCAGACAAAATAGAGTATTAGAAATTATTTTGTTTCCTTCTGAAGCGCCAGTGAAAGCAGTGGAGAGGAGAGTGAAGGAGAAGAAGATTTGACGCCTGGCCGATCTTTGGTGTTTGGTGTAATGGAGATTTGTATGTGTGTACTCAGAAGGCAGCTGCCAAATCTCCTCCCGTCATCTTCTGCTTCTAATCAACAGCCAGTGTTACTCGTAGCCATTGGCTCAGGATTCAAATGTAAGCACCTTTTTTTTAGTGTAGTTCGTGATAGAGCTCCACTGTACACCTGTCAATCTGTAACAGTAAACGAGTTTGAGAGGATGTCGCGACTGTAAAGGCAATAGGCGCGCCGAATTCCAGAATGTGGTGGGGTGGGGTTCACTTTCGTTGAACTGGTAAGACGCGGTAACAACTCCAACTCGACGACGTGTCATGCCACAAGGGGGAGGAAAACGTTGGTTATCTGATGCGTTTGGCTGGCTAATTTAATAGCGATGGCCTGACACCGTGCTAGAACAGCAACAACAACGAAAAACAACAATTTTATTTGTAATTACAAATTTTGACGAGAAGCACGGTCTGCAACTAGAAAAGCTATTCAAGGCGGGCAGTGCATGCAACTATAAGCTCTTTAAGGCAGATGTGTTGATTGCGGATTTTACTCATGACGGTTCAGATGCTTTTGTTTTTAACCCATTAACAGGCCGTTCTTGATATACCTTAATATTTTGGTAACTTCATAGTTGTGGTATTCTAAGAAAAGGCTTGTTGGATTGTATTTTTTATTTTCTTTTTCTGTGCGTTGTTATTTCGTAGCCTTAACAGAGCAGAGTTCTAAATTAATATGTGAAGCAGTGTCCATCCTGCCAGCAGTAACCGGCCTGTGCACTCCAGAAGCTTCAGTTAATGTGTTACCAAGTGTACTGTACCTTCTGACTTGTGCGTTACGTGAAGTGGCGTTAATCATGGACTCCTCGTCACAGAAGGCTAGATCAGCTATACTACAAGCTTTGAAACAGCTTACCACTTCACCATATACGCACAATCCTAAATGCTCCAAGGACTGGATTGACTTGCTTCAAAGGTTGCTCTCTTATTGATAATTTGTACTCTAAGTAGTAACTGTTTTACTCTGCAGAGTGGAAGAAAAACCCAATATTCCCTGAGCAAAATACCTTTGGTCTAAAGTCAATTTGTATTCCAAGGTGTTATTCATCGTTTGTTTTCTGTCAATCGTTTGTCCCAGGCCATCCATTAGCGACCGTATAAAGCAATGAGAACGTTGACATCCCGGAAGTTTTCCAGGACTCGAAAGAAAACTTGAAATCCAGCATGTCCTTTGGGCAAGCAGCCTTGCTATTCTTCTGTCCCAGGGCCGTTTCTTGCTTGACGTAGTTAATGATTTTGTTAGAGGATGACTTGCCTGGACTCTTGCCCACTTGGCGAGTAAGCTTAAGTTACTTCCACAGCAAGAAAATCTACTTGTCCTGGATTACGGGACGGGAATGTTTTCGAGCCTTGTTTTCAGACAAAAGCGTTGTATTAAGTAAGAAACCAAACTTCCGGTTGCTACTATGATGTCCAGGACGTCAGTGTTATCGTTGCTTTAGCTTACTTCTATGTCATTTATCGCGACATTTCGATCACGTACTGTTGGTCTTCATCAGTCGATGATGTCGCTTCCTGAAAGGGACCATAAGTAACGCCCTAGTTGCTTATGATTGATGCAGTACCAGCCCCACTCATGGTCCATTTGCTCGGCAAACAGGGCCAGCAAGAATTTTCTCATGACAAAGTCAATTTGTAACTTACTTATCGCTCATTTTTTGATCTTTTTATTTGACAGTGCATTAGCCACAGTGCTGTCGGATGCTAAAGCCAATGTAGGTAATACACCAAACGTAGCCGCTCCGCAGTCAGTTGCAATGGATGACAGTGTTTTCATGTTAGCATTGGCCATCTTTATTCTCTCTGCACCCAAAGAGGTTGTATTGGCATCAGATCTACAGAGCCAGTCCATCAATGTATTTAACAGGTGTATCACATCGACTAACATCCAGGTCAGTAGGTTATTTTATCGATCTTTTTGGGTCGTGTAAAAATCTTTTACTAGGAAATGTAAAAAACGTTATTGTCACAGAATTCGCGGCTTTTCTGTAAATCGATTGGAACTGGTTCTCTTTTGACCACATTTGCAGTACCCTGACGGCTGCGCGCTGGCATAATTCGATGTCAATTGTTTTGTGTTTGGGACCCTTTTCATGTGAGCCGGGCTGGCCCTATTTACTGGGATGACTTTGAGCCCTGTGTATCATGTGGCGGGCCAGCCCGGGTTAAGGGCAATATCTGGCTCGGGGGTCTAAACTGTCCCTTAAATTGCTCCTGCATGACGAATTCGTCGAATAATCTTCTCTTCGCTACGTTGCTTTGTTGTGTTCTATGTTTATGCAGTTTCATGTTCTGTTATACGTCTACACTCTTAACGGCAACAGTTTGAAAATATTGATGACTTAATTCGGTCGGAACGAATTTTAATACCTTTTCTCTTGCTGGCCCCTTGTTAGCTGTCCCCCTGGTATGCTTCGCCCATGAGATGGAACGCATCGGGTTTATAGTCCGCAGGATTTGGAGGGAGTATAATCAAAAGCTTATTGAAGTCTCAAAACTGACCAATACCAATCTTCTCCTAACAATATCAATACGTAATGAAAAGAAGAGGTTAGGAGAATTATCAAAATGGTCACCAAAGAGAAAATGCATTGATCTTTTATCAAATTCTCTATGAAAGAATTCTTGAAGGAAATGTATGGAGATCAGTTTGGGGAATTTGTATGAGGATATTTTTGGGGGGGGGGGGGGGCATGAAGGGTTAACCTTATTTGGTGAGAACTAAACTACGAATTGAACCCTGAGCCGTTTGAAGTTTGTATTCCACTGAGTGACTACGACCAGGCCTCAGTTGTTCAAAAGCTTGATGGCGCTATCCATCGGATAAATCACTATCTAGTGGTTAAGTATTAGGGCGACCAATTGCACTATCCAGCTTTTCAACAACTGGGAACAGATATTTAATTTCTTCTTTGCAGATTCAGCTCAAGGCATTACAAACATTAGAGTCGGTGTTTCAGTGCAGAGAGCGCAGTGTTGCTTTTCCCTTTATCAACGCTTTAGCCCCTCATGTTGTGATGATTTTAAATAACATGTGCGTGGACAAGCCAACAAGGGAGGATCAGTTGACAGTGACCTTAGAAGCCATCAAAATAATGGAGATTTTAGTGGATCTAACAGAGGACCATCTAAGTATGTTTTTTTGTTTTCTTATTCATTTTTTCAAAATTTCAGATCGTTGTCGATATTCTAGGCTAGTCGATAATCCATTAGACCTTTATTTGGTCATCGTACTCAAATATACTGGCACAATGGGTCCTGTGAATGATTCACAGTTCACGCTAGTTATGAGGAGTATCTAAGATCTACTTATGGTGATAGGGCTTTTTCCGCAGCTGCTCCTAGGTTATGGAATCAATTGCCCCCTGAACACAGGGGTGTTGTTTCAACTCAGTTCATACTTATTTAAATTAGTACGAAACATTTGAATTTTGTCTTATGTTAGTTTTTAACTCTAGTTTCTTACCATATTATTGTACAGCGCTTTGAGCAATTAGTGGATACCGCGCTATATAAGTGTCTTTTATTATTACTATTATTATTACTGCTTTGCTTGTCATTGTTTTAATTTAGTAGTGACTAATACTTTTGAAACAGATTGCACTATACTGGCTGTTCAAAATAGTATTATGTTATTTACAGTAGATTGTAGAATAGAAATGCAATAAATAATAGTTAAAAGGATTATTTTTTTTATCAAGGTCTTATGGAAGGCAGCATTGACGTTGTTTAAGTAAACTAGTAACAATAACAGTAAACATACCATCCAAATTCAGATACAGAAACACACGCATAAAAGAACCTGTAATGTTCTGCTTTAGGCATGATTGCGTAGTGAAAAATCAGCCTGGAGAGATTCTAAGAAGGTCTCTACATGACCCCCCTCCGTCTTGATTTGCCAAAATTTAACCTCAAAATTTGTCAGTAGTCTTGTAGGAACGGAATTATCCGTTTTGGTTTTCCAAGTATAACTGTATGATTACGTTATGGTTCAGTGATGTCATATGCGAGTTTCCCCATGTCAATCAACTTAAGAGCTTCGTAAGACAACCAATCATCACTGTTCCTAATTTCAGTGAGCCAATAAAGAAACATGACATCATCGGTCTAGAAAAAACTCCAAACCTGAAAAACCGGTTATGCAAGGCGCATCACAAAAATAAAACAAGGCGTCAACTAACCTAAATAAAGTATATATTTATGACGTCAACAGCATTAATGTATTTTGAGATGCCAGCGAAAAATACCGATTGCTTGGTCCCGGTTGTACTGCTCTATTTCACATGGCATTATCTCGCGTGAAATCGATTAAGAGTGTTCATCAGGGCTGTAACGTTAACACTCTTGTTACAGATTAAAGTTCCTTTACATCTCTGAGAGGAAACCACGTCTTTTTTCCTGAAAGGTTCAAAGTAATATCTTAACTTTATATGTTTCCACTTGCATGAATTTTACTTCTTTTCTCGCTACAAGAAAACATTGATTCTATCTTGCTCTTTTATTTCAGAAGTGCACATGCTGGGCTTACTTGTTCCAATCCTGGTTGCGTTACTGTTGGACAGTACAAGCCTTCCGAAAGGAAGCAAAATAGCTAAGACCCTTCACGAACAGGGCTTACAGAAACTTATGAAAATTGGCCCCAAGTATCCAGACCCCTTCAGGACAGTCATGACCTCGTCACCAGATCTCAAGCCACGCTTGGAAGCTGCAGTGCGAGCCAATCAGACTTTGGTCAAGCCTAAACAGCCTGCAGTACAACCTAAAGTGGCTCCTGCTAAACCATCAATCAAGCTACGCATGGACTTTAGTAATTATAAATAGTACCCAAGCGTTTAATCCTGGAATTTAAACCGAAATAATTATTTCACGGAATCACACCAGACTGCAACAATTAAAATACGTTGAATAATCTTTCAATTATAGCTAAAGTTCACTGTAACTGGACTTTGGTTTCGCACCTTGTTGGTTGAGAAGCAGCGGTCGGTAACCAATCACAAATTGTAGTTATGCTCAAGGATCGAGAGATTGCTTCCACACTTCGAATTATGATAGACTGCGGTTAATAATTATAGTCTTTATTCTATAAAACTGCAATGTATAACATAGACTAATGATTTTATTGTACAAAGAAAAAGATTAAATAAATCTAGGCGATAATTATGTTGCAAATGTAACTTGACAAAATAATCAGTGGGTTTAGGGCCTGTTTACATGGAGTGGGGGACCCCGGTCTAGTGGGGTGGGTTTCTTTTGTTTTCATGTTCTGGAGGACACAAAACAAAAGAAACCTACCCCACTAGACCGGGGTCCCCCACTCCATGTAAACAGGGTCTTAGTCTAGTGGTGCTAGCAGAGCTTCGCAAATTCAAATGCATCAACCCTCTTTGTGTGTAAGTTTCTTTCTTGTTTTCGACTTCAACTTCTCGAGCGCGGATTACCCTGAAATAGCCGGTCAATAAGGGCAACAATTTCTAATGTTACAGTATTATTTTAATATGATATCATCGGAAAAAAAATTATCTCCTTCCCATATGATCTTTGATTTGTTGCGAAAAGACTTGTGTTTGTTAAAAATATATAATGAGTCCCGAGATGGCTGCAACAGAAATTTTATGCCTTAAAATTTCCACAAGAGGTGATTTTTTCCTGATTAATATGGTATCCGGAAAATTTTGGTTTGGTCGTATATACGCAGATTTGTGAATCCACATTAAAAACTTTTCGGAGATCTTCAATCCGAAATCTAATGTGAATTTGTATCTGATGATTACTTTTAAAATCGCAATATTTTCTAGTATAAGAATTCTGGCAACTAATCTTGATATTTTCCCACCTTTCCCGCCTTTTCCGTTTAGAAAGCACAATCGCTTACCGAATTTAAAAGCAAACGTGGCTCTTTGCCTTCTGCTGGATCGGTCTGACTCCAAAATTTGTGTGGGTGAATATTTTACACTTTTGCTAATCAGTTATTTTACAACACTCCCACCAACGTATATTGTAATACTAGATATGTTGTGTAGATTGTATGTCATTAATTATTCTCTGAAATTTTGTAACTTTTGTGTTCCCCATATTGCTTTTATTTTTTGTGTTGTGTGTTTGCCTACGCGCCACGCCCCACCTGGAAATCAGCTTTTGTTGTTTTAGCTAGCGCAAGGAGTAAATTTGTTGACTGCATAGACCTTGAGAAGAATTTGTGTGAAATTTAAAGGAAACGAAGGTTATTTGCTTTGTAAGAAGCTCTTTAAAAAAAGGTGAGGGGCGAAAACAGAACATCTGAGAGGGCTAAAAAGTGGCGGCAGTTGACTGATGCACTTTGACAGACTGCATGTCAAAATGGGCTGGTATTCAACCAGACACGATATATATACTTACCCTCAGATCCCTACGTTTAGAATATTACCTTTAAAGCAAGCTGAACATCACCTCTCTTCTATTTACAGCTGCATACTGGTGAAAACTAAGAAAATATCCAAGTTTTTCGTTATTTAGTTGAGGAATGTGTCAGTTGATTACAGGTTTACGTTGTGATTTAATAACAATTTCAGAGCGTTATTACTCGGTTCCAATGAAACTGTTTTTGAAACCTGGTTTTAGAACGTCATTTCCTCCTATAAGAATTATTATTTTCAGAAAATTTGGCGTTTTACCAGTGAGGGAGCCCACCATAGGACGAAATATCAGGAATTTTAATTCTTCATCATTTGCCATTTCGATTCGGTTCGATCTTAGTGGATGGGCACACTTTTTCTTGTGTCCTTAATTTTTTTTTTTTTTTTTTTTTTTTTTTTTTTGACTAATTGCATCATTTTAAGGCCTTTAGGCAGATCATTTCTTTGGTTGGCAATGTTAAGATATTGTGAAGGAAAGGTCTGATTGAAGGAATTACTTGTAATGGAGGACTGGGTACTAGTCAAAAAACCGTTTAACAGCACAAATTTGTAGTTCTTTATATTGTAAGTTGTCGTGTAGCAATTAAGTCGAAGAACTTCCGATTTTTGCTGCCATTTTCGCTTAAAGAGTTTTGGCGAGTGTAGGAGGTCACGTGACCTAAATTGCATAATGTTGATGTAATAAAAGGTATAACGTTTCGGGAAATCGCTCGTTACACGTACAATTTACAGCTTAACGATGAACAATTACGAAAATATACCATCCCTCAGTTTTCAATTTGCAACGAAAATATCTTTTGACCCGGCCATGCCTCCTCAATTTACTTGGGAAACGAGCGACCCTGGAAAGATTCATTCTCGTCCCCAGAGCCACTCGGCGTAATTTGTAACGAACCAGTGGCTCCGGGACGCAGCGGAAAATACGAATTTTTTCTTTGGCTGAAGATCACACTACGAGCCTCAGCGCTCCGGAAGTTAAAAAATTCGTACCGTTTGGTTGCTATGAAGTGACGTAATCATCCAGTTGAGTATCCATCACCGTAACACTTTTGCGGTCAACTACCGCAGCGCTCGTAAAGTACTTTAATTAAAACCGTGTTCAAAACCCTGTAGGAAGTCTGTTTATTTTTGAGTCGATTAATGCACTGCTGACTTTCAAGAGGTCAACTTTTGCATAAATTATCAAACATTATGTTAAGCGGGAAATCTACCTATGGTTCGCGGAAGAAGCAACCTCTATAGCGGCGCAAGACAAATGTTTCGAGAGTCGAGGATGTGCTCACAAACTATTCACTATGCGACGAAAGGAGAAATCACTGGCATGATAGCTGCATGTAATGGTAATTTTATCAATCCAGGTCGCGCCGTGTTCGCTCGAGAACGTTGTGACAACCTTGTTTGGCGCGCTTCTCAATACTTCCAAAACATGTTGTAATCGGTAAGTAGACTTAAGCACTTAGCATCGCCAAGCCATTCGAATCAGTGTATACCCAATTCTTTGTTTGAAGACTCTCGCAAACACATATACCAAGTAAATCTGGATGGAAGAGGAAATTGTCCCCCTAAACGCAGCCAGATTATATTTTGAAGGATGGCGGCACAATTCAACGCGTCTTCCATGTCAGCCCTAATTGATAGTTCGTAAGAGTATAAATTGCGATCTCCCCATTTTCGCTTAAGTTTCCTTCGATAAAACTTCAGTAGAAACAAGTCAACGCAGACATGACATTCTCCTGCATGAGACACAATCGGCTGAAGGAAATATCTGTTTACAAGTCGGGTAAATTATCCATTCTTGCGCACCGCAAAATCATCTAAAATCAGTCGCTGGAAACCTGGCATATTATTAAGCCTGAGCGCTTCTAAGAATAACACGTTTAGAACTTCGATGCGTAGAAAAAAAAGGCAGTTGTTCTATATCCTTTCTGGTTCATCCAGATAGAAGTCCTGAAATATTATTATGCCTGAGCGCTTCTAGGATATATAACACGTTTAGTATTTTGACCCGTAGCCGTAAAAAAAAAAAAAATAGGTAGTTGTTCTATATCCTTTCTGGTTCATCCAGGTAGAAGTCCTGGCATGATATAATTATGCCTGAGCGCTTCTAGGATATATAACACGTTTAGCATTTCGACCCGTAGCCGTAAAAAAAAATTTAGGCAGTTTTTCTATATCCTTCCTGGTTCATCCAGGTAGAAGTCCTGGCATATTATTATGCCTGAGCGCTTCTAGGATATATAACACGTTTAGCATTTCAACCCGTAGCCGTGAAAAAAAATTAGGCAGTTGTTCTATATCCTTTCTGGTTCATCCAGGTAGAAGTCATGGCATATTATTATGCCTGAGCGCTTCTAGGATATATAACACGTTTAGCATTTCAACCCGTAGCCGTGAAAAAAAATTAGGCAGTTGTTCTATATCCTTTCTGGTTCATCCAGGTAGAAGTCCTGAAATATTATTATGCCTGAGCGCTTCTAGGATATATAACACGTTTAGCATTTCGACCCGTAGCCGTAAAAAAAGAAAAATTAGGCAGTTGTTCTATATCCTTTTTGGTTCATCCAGGTAGAAGTCCTAGCATGATATCATTATGCCTGAGCGCTTCTAGGATATATAACACGTTTAGCATTTCGACCCGTAGCCGTATAAAAAAATTTAGGCAGTTGTTCTATATCCTTTCTGGTTCATCCAGGTAGAAGTCCTGGCATGTTATTATTATGCCTGAGCGCTTCTAGGATATATAACACGTTTAGCATTTCAACCCGTAGCCGTGAAAAAAAATTAGGCAGTTGTTCTATATCCTTTCTGGTTCATCCAGGTAGAAGTCATGGCATATTATTATGCCTGAGCGCTTCTAGCATATATATCACGTTTAGCATATCGACCCGTAGCTTTAAAAAACAAATTAGGCAGTTGTTCTATATCCTTTCTGGTTCATCCAGGTAGAAGTCCTGGCATATTATTATGCCTGAGCGCTTCTAGGATATATAACACGTTTAGCATTTCGACCCGTAGAAGTAAAAAAACAAAAATTAGGCAGTTGTTCTATATCCTTTCTGGTTCATCCAGGTAGAAGTCATGGCATATTATTATGCCTGAGCGCTTCTAGGATATATAACACGTTTAGCATTTCGACCCGTAGCCGTAAAAAAAAAAAAATAGGTAGTTGTTCTATATCCTTTCTGGTTCATCCAGGTAGAAGTCCTGGCATATTATTATGCCTGAGGGCTTCTGGGATATATAGTAGCAGTTTGACCCGTAGAAAAAACAAACTCAGCCGTTCATTTTGTAGCAGATATTTATGCGTTTTTGTCTGTTAGCAATGTGATCGACTTTATACGCAGACCTTAATAATATGTTTTTTTCTTTGACGGCACTGAATAATTTTAGCCGAAACCTGAGCCGTACATTTGTTGAAAGCCGCGCTTTAATTAAATTTCTCGCCCTAGAATGATGACATGATGGCGCGAAAATTGGCGCCTCTATCGTATTAGATGCGAAATATGATCAGAGATAAATGGAACAGTGAATGTTACAAGCTTCTGAGTATCCAGCTGAGATAGGGGACTTTTAGTCCCCTATCTCAGCTAGATAAACAAAATTTTTTTGGTTGCTAAGACGGTGCGGCTCGTGAACGCGCAGAGCAAATGAAAGACATGATCTACTGCGTATAAGATTTTACTTCCTGTCCTGTCAAACTGCAGAACCGTGTCTGATTTACGTCGATCGCAACAATCCTGTTTTGTTTTTATGCAATAGCAGTGAAGAAGGGAATTAAAGGTAAAGGTTGAGACGTTTCCACGACGACCACAAGTCTTGACAAAGAAAGTTTGCCTTCGTTGTGCGCCAAACCTTGCCTCTGTATCGACCGTTGCATCCTGGGAAACTGAAAGGAGGAGTATTAAAGCTGTATATTGGGTGCATGTATTTGAACTTGAATTAATGTTATTGACATGAAAGAAGTCTGTGAAGTGGACTCTTTATAAATTAATAAAAGCATGCCGCAGAATTAAATACAGCGAGTAGAAAATGTCATAGGATCTACTCGCTGTATTTAATTCTGCGGCATGCTTTTATTGATTTAAGCTCCCACGAAATCCGCAGTTACCGAGGAATGTCCTGCATGACCACCAAAAATTATGAGCTAAGATTACCTTCAGCGACCTTTTGAATAATTTGTAGCTGCGAGGACAAACAAAGTAATTTTTGCGAGAAATATCAAAACCCTGTTGCTGGGCGAATGATAAAATCTTTCCTCACCGATGGAGTAGCTTTCTCGTTATCCATACCCTCACGCTCACCCTCACCCCCCACCTTCACCCTTACCCTCACCCTTGGTGTTACCCTTATCCTCGTTTTACCAACGCCGCCAGTTTGGAGCAACGAGCACCTTGATTGACTTGATTTGAGGTGAGCGAAAGGGGGGTGGGGAGGGGGGCATTATTGCAGTCATTACAAAGAACAAGCTGAAATTTGAGCTTTAAAATATATCCAATTGACCTCTCGTATGATCATCACATTTTACATAGTTGTCCATCTGCTGCTTCAGTTTAAAAGATGAGCGAGATAAAAGGCAACCCTGTAGTCGAATCTTCGCCTTTACCCGAGAGGGTTGAAAAGATTCTTGATGGTTTCCGAGAGTCTAAAGCCACGTTTGCAGCTTGCGATTTTGGGATCTTCGACAAACTAAACAATTCATCGTCGCCGCAATCAGCCAAAGAAATCACGGAGATGCTGTCCTCTGATTTAGACGCCACTACACGACTCTTGGATACCCTTGTTGCTTTGGAATTCTTAGATAAGTCGAAGCAGGGCGATCAGTGGCTGTATAAGAACACAGAAATAGCCTCTAAGTTTTTGACAACTTCAAGTCCTGATTCTCAACTTGGCACAATAAGTCTCTTTAACAAGATTCTATACCCTCTTCAGGGTTCCTTGGAGAGTGCAGTCCTCGATGGAAACATTCAGTGGATGAAGGCATTTGGAAAGTCGCCTGAAGACATATTTCGTGAAACAGTTAACAGCACTGAGGAAGACAGCTTACGTTTCAATAAAGGAATGCATAGTATGGCCTTCTCTGCAAGCTATGCAGTTGCTAAAGCCGTCGATTTAAGCGCTTTTAACAACTGCTGTGATTTAGGAGGTAAGTCAGATTTCAAGCCAGATATTTTTTGTTTTAGGGCAAGAATTTCATTGTTATTTTAGACAACCTTAGTAAAAATTAGTATGATGGTGCGCCGGGGTTCTTGCTCAACTAACCTGCGCTTGTCCCAGGGGCTTTAATTTGGACCGAGACTGGTGTCCAATGCATAAAATTTTAATCAAGATAAGTAATATTTGTCCATGCACATACCACCCTGCAAGAGTAGCCACAGGAAGCCCAGGCTGATGATTGGGGAAGCAGCGGCATTGAATAAACAGTTCTCTGTCAACATAATTTCAAAATTTCCAATAATTTTCTTTCTTTTTTCTTTCCATGACATATCCAGGAGGAGTAGGAACTCTTGCTTATGCGTTGTGTCAGTACAATCCTCAAATGAAGATAACAGTCTGTGACCTGCAGCCTGTTGTCAGCTTAGCTCATCACTTCCGACCATCAGTAGAGGATTGTCCCAATCAAGTTAACGTCTCTTTCATGATAGGCGATTTCTTCAAGCCTGAAACTTTACCAAAGGCTGATTTGTATGTGCTGTCTCGCATTCTTCATGACTGGCCAGAAGAAAAAGTTGAACTGATTCTTGACAACGTCTTCAATTGTTTGCCCTCAGGTAAGACAGAAAACACTGCAGCTAATATAGAGAGCCTAGCAACTTTCACCAATGATCCGCGAAACACCTTTTTGTTCCACGAA